TTTTTTTATAGCTTATATCGGACAGCTCGATTCTTCAGTTCTGTATTGTTGATATTTAGCGGGTCATTTAGATCAGGGGTGTGTTAACAGTTTCACGTAATGTATTCGATGACCTATATCCTTTCATCATACTAACAGGAACTGTTTCATACGTTTGATCTATTAACACATTACCATTCGTATCTAGCAAATAGTGTGCCCCATCCGTCAGTCTGTATTGATTGGGCAAGTTCTTGCCTGGCGCAATTCAATTGTATATGTTTAATGGGATATTCCATTACGCACGATACCTTCAAGTAATCAAGAAAATTACATATTAGTGAACCTATCATAAATTTATTACATACATTTTGAAGTATTAACATTTTAAAAATTCTTGACAGTTCATTTAAAACATTGTTTTCGTATAATTTGAGACATGACGGGTGCGAGCCTTTTATTTTGATCAAAGGTTTTCGATGGATGTCATGGAAAAGATGACGAGCTTAAAAAGTAGCCAGCAATAACAGAAGGCTTCATATCGTTGGACTTTAAGTTGACAGCCATTTTTGAAAGAAGAGAAAGAATGCAAATGTCCGGGAAAATCTTCGGTTTGTGTAGATTTGTCTGTCAATGCCGCTTTCTGCAACTGCGTTTTAATATTTAGAATATTTTCTACTTGGAATTGATTTAGTTCAATTAGCCATTTTCCCTTAAGCATCTGTATTCAAAATTCTGACTCCTGCCTGGGCACGAACACGAAATTCTGATAAAAACTATGTTAAATAATAGTCTAGCAGACTATTATTTTTTAAAAATTGTATTTCTTCTGACTTCCTCATCTTGACCTTTGAGGTTGATTAAATATATGGATGCGGATTTTCAGTGGCTGAGCCGAACGTGGAAATGTTAGATTTAGAAAGTGTTTTTAGGGTGTTACGTTTTACGCGTCGAAGAATGTAGACGTGTTCATTTCGTGTGCGGAAACTGATCCCCAGTGGGGGTGATAGAACGACCCCACTGGCTAGTTAAAAATGTACATGTCGACGTCTTAATAAAATTGATAAGTTTTTTTAAAATCCCTTTTGTTGAAGTTCTCATTTTACCTCCGAACTAAAAGAACAAATAGCGATCAGCGACCGAGAGAATAAAGAGAAGACAACTTCATTATGATCGACTCAAGACCGTCAATCTAGAGACCCCCAGAACGAGGGGGTTATACAACATATTTTTATTTGGTGCCGTGTCCAGGATCCTTCCAACAATGAAGGGAAACAAAATGCAACACAACGTGGAAATGTTCGGAGCTTTTTGACAGAGGACTCAAAAAAAAAAAAAAAAAGGAAAAAAGAGAATAAGAAAAAATGTAGTCTATATATTTTGGACAGTCTGTAAGTACGACGATTTTACTTTGTTCTACTACCACACACACACACACACACACACACACACACACACACACACACACACACACACACACAGATCTAAGCAACAAACCAAAATAGAAAGTAATAATGAAAAAATAAAGAAAAAGAAACATTAACAACATTTTTTTGAGTCCTGACAAAAGAAAAAAGGGCAAGTAGGGAAAAGAAAGAGAGAAAGGAAGCATACACGCTGATGTGAAAATGTCAATTTTCATGAAACATTTTAGTAAGAGACTGATTTTGTTTTGTTTTTTGTTTTTGTTTTTTACAAAAGTTTAGACAATGTGCGGAAATTTATTGTTTGATATTGATTGGCACGTTTAATGTTTTTGGGTGCATCCAAATTTTATGTCTGACAGCCTTTTATTCATGTAGAGGCCTGAATCTGCGTACATGACGCAATGGAAAATCATTTTAAAAAAGAGAGACTGACTGTATTTTGTGATGGGGAATTCCCACTGTGATCTTTGTGGACTGTTAATGAGTTGAAAGTTTTTGTGACTGTGGTTTTGCGTGCATTCAAATGCTTTAAGTTTAGAATTATTTTGTTAGCTGTAATTAACTGGCAAATGATTGTTTTTTCATCTTTTTAATAGTGTGGAATTGTTTTATTTTTTATGTTAAGAGCCGTGTATATGTCCATTTGTCTTCATTGGTCGAAGAATTAAGTTATTAATTGTTGAATTTTGAGAAATAATTTTTTGTAGAAAAAGTAATTTAGCTAATTGTTATGGGAATAAGCAGATTAGGTTTGCATGTTTTCTGATTTCCGAATGTGTTTGTGTCCTGAGGTAGAAATGGTCACGCCTAGCTATGTAGTTAGGGTACCTATGATTGACAGGGAATAGAATGTGACCCTGTGCGCCATGAATTATTTATATGGAATAAATATACCCTAAGATAACCCAGGGGTCAATTTTTGGGTCCCCCAATGACCTAGTAGAATTGGTCAGTTGCCTTGTGGGATGCCAAGTTGCTTTAGCGACTAAGGAAGAAATCCTCGTAACCACGGTAGAGCCAGTAATGGATTAGCTAGGAGATGCTGAATGGGTGTGGTTGTTTTCCCCATAGGAGCAGCCAGGGGCAAGAGGAAATGGAGATGATGCGAGTTGAATTTTGGCACACAGAGGCAGATGAGCAATAACAGTAACTATAGGAAATTAATGACAGTAAAAAAAAATTATGAAGATCTGTTCTAGTGAATTTCGTAATATGCAAGAAAAAATTAACTAATTGTTTGTTTGAATAAATAGTATGATAACAAACCATGTGTGTTGTGTCACGTAAGTGGGAAAGGAGTGTAGATCATAGCATATTTAACTTGTAAATATTAGGTGGCAAGGACGTGGCTCGGTTATGAAATTCTTTGACGTGGAGATTTTGGTATGTATTGTGTGTGTTTTTGGACCAGTATATTTGTTTTTCATTGAATTGCATGAAGATTTCGTGTAGTCTCAAGTGAAGGGGCAAAGAATTTTGTTCTCCACAGGAATATTAGATTGCAGAAGTGGTAGCTGCTGATGTGGATGGAGATGATTATTGGAGAGCTCCCTGTTGGACTGATTTGTATTCAGACTGTTGTTTGAGGCAAGGAAGCTAGTGACCAAGAATGGACAAAAGATTATTCGGTATTCTGTTTTTTGTTTAAAAATGATTGTGAAGCGTGAAAAACTGGTCAGAATTTCGATGTTATGTTAATTCCTTTTCAGGAATTGTATATTTGCATGCTAGAGTTGTCATGTGACCGAGGCCCAATAAAAAATTGTAAGGAACACACCCTGAATACACTAAATCATAGACGGTATTTTAGAGCAAATAGCTGAAATAAAATTCATGAATTAATCTTTTTTTGATGGTTGGGTAAGGAGTATTAAATAATAGTTTCATACTTTTATTTTTTTAATGGCAGTTTATTTGGTTCAGACTTTCTGATGATGACTTTGGGGTCACCTATTCGACAAAATAGGGATGTGGATTTTGATTGGCTGAGCCGAACGTGAGAATGTTAGAGTTAGAAAGTGTTTTCGCTGAGTAAGTTTTTACACGTCATACACAGTAGGCGTGGTTAATTCGTGTCTAGGTGAACTTGCATCCCAGTGGGGGTGATAGAGCGACGCCATTCGCTAGTTAAAAAATGGATACGTCGACGTGTTAATAAAACAGGTAAATTTGAAAATCCCTTTTGTTGAAGTTCTCATTTTACCTCAAAACAAACCAAGTAGTGATCACCCGACTGGAAGATGTCAGAAAGAAGAAAGCAACATATAAGTGAATCAAGACTGTCGCCTCAAGACTATTTCCAGCTCGAAGGGGCTATACAACAATTCTATCTGAGAACGAAATGTTTCCTACAGGGCTAGTAAAAAATGCCTGCCCCGAATCTATGATACAGCACTCCCCTCCTCCCCCACTCTACTAAATCTCAATTTTATTGCAACTTATGTACAATAATGATTCATATGTAATATAGGTGAACAATTCAATTAGAAACATTGAAAATCAATTCAATGTATCTAAATCCAAATTAGAGACATGTTAAAATAAATCATTCCATCTTAAATAAATCAACAATGTTTTGAGCCATTTTTTAACACCAACTTAAGATTTTTTTTGTTAAAAAGTTGAATAATTTTAACACATTCAACATTATGAATAAAAACTCCATTTTCAGCCTGATCGAGCTCTCGTCCTTGGTATGAAGATAAACTACATCCAACGGCAAGGCCTCTGATCAGGAGGTTTTGAGGAGCGTTAATTGCTGGTGTTCCCAGGTCCACCCTGACCTGGGGTGGTAGCACCTGTTAGGGTCCCAGCTATGGACAAATAGTTAACGTCCAACTTGTGTAAAAATAGGTTTTAATACCAGAAATACTTTGTAATAAATAAAATTATTTTCAGCAATACTTAAAAAAAATACCAGCAATACAAACAGCTATACATTCTTTGAAAAAAATATGACCAGCAATAGATTTCTTCAAGGAAAAATATTCCCAGAAATAGATTTTTGAAGAAAAACATATTACCAGCAATAAAAATTTTGTCGGCATTAAATAACTTATTGAAGTTGATATGCTGTAAAACAAACCAAACCAAAACCTGATCGAGCTCATGTAACGTTAGAGGATAGCAGATGTCAGGGATTAGAGAAATTCTGTTACTTGTCAAATTTCATAAGGTAATATTCATATAAAATACACATTTTATTATAACTTAAATATGTACAATAATGGATCATATGCAATATAAGTGAACAATTCAACTAGAAACGTTGAAAATAAATACAATGTATCTAAATACAAATTAGAGACATGTCATAGAAAATCGTTCCATCTTAAATAAATCAACAATGTATTAAATAAAGTTGTTTATTTTATGTATTTTTATATTTTCGAAAAGAAAAATATTGTTTCAAATGTTGTAAAATATACAGATTGGATTCCACAAAAGAATTTATTTATTTATTTTTTTTTTTTAAAAATATCTTTTATTTAAATTTGGTTTCAATATCTTAAGTATCGAGATTCCTTAATACAAATTCAGAACAAAGTTGAAAAAGAAACCAATGCAAAGCTGGTCATTCAGATGAACGGACCTATGACGACTATATTTAACCCTTCCAAACCAGACCAGGCACCACACAAATTTCAATTTGACCATAGCTATTGGTCAAATAGTGGTTTTAAAACAGCACCAAATGGATACCTGTCACCAGATCCAACAAATTCCAGCGGCAAGGATTTTTGCGATCAGGTAGAAATATTTGTTTCTATATTATTTATTTTAAAACTTTTTTTTTTATTGTCTATCGTTTTGTACACACCACAATTTCTTTTTTATTTCTTATTATTACAAATGTTATTTTAGTGGGCACAATTCTTCGGGTTTCTATCTGTTTTTTTCTTAATAAGTGAAATTAGTTACAACCGGCTAAGATGGAGAAATCCGTCTTGACCGGCTATTATTAATTTCACAGTTTCTTCCTCTTCTCCTTCTTTTATGTACTGTATCCCTTCAAGAATTATGGCTCTCTACATTTTCTTGTTCATTGTGGTCCTTAATAGGTTTTGACTTTTTTACTATCTCTCCTAATTTGTGTTCTGACAACAAATTACGCACACTCGTTAGGGGAGGGTTACTTGCTGCTTTCCTCTCCCCCTATTGCCTCCAGTATACCTTGTGAGTATTAAGTTTTCAGATACCCTTTCTTCATTATAATCCCTAGAAATTTCAATTATCTCTTTCTGATTCTAAATAGCAGAATCCTTTTCTTTTTTTTGTTTACAATTTCTCAAAATCTTCCTCGTTACTCACGTGGGTTCTCAGTTTCCTTCTGTAGAACCATATTTCGTTTGCCTCCAGATTCTTCTTCAGCTGTTAGGATATTGTATAGCATTCACTGTTTAATAATACAAACAAGGATATATATATATATATATATATATATATATATATATATATATATATATATATATATATATATATATATATATATATATGTGTGTGTGTGTGTGTGTGTGTGTGTGTGTGTGTGTAGACACGTGCTTATAGCGTTCGCATTTCGACCATGAGACACAAGTTCGAATCCTACCATCGGTGATTTGATGTTATTGGTCGTGCGGTTGTACTAAGACAAAGTCACAAGTCACCGTGACCGAGGTTTTGGGCGTTGTTCAAATTGCATGACAGATTATGCGCTTACTCCCAGACCGGCATACGTGCAGTACTGTTAGAAAATGCGGCGGCCAGAGCCAGAATGGTCAGTGAATTCAACAACAGAGGGCACAAGAATTCTGAAGCGTCGATATGCCTCCCACACTCAGGATTGCGACCGGCTGACACCACCCACGGGAAGATGCTGAGCCAATGTGCGACATGCAATCTTGTCACATCAGTCCTCCTACTGCCTCTTAGAATCCAAAATGCCAGTCTTAATTAACGAATACCAAAACTAAATGACACTTTTCATTGATACCGTCTTATTTCTTAGCGTGGGGATCACGAGACGACACAGAACACAACAGTACAAATCTTTTAATCTTTCCCTAGACTATGTCCTGCGCATTTACAAACACAAATATAAAGCGATAATCATTTAAGTATTCCATACTAAATCCCAAACGAATCTACCAATAGAAGACAACGATCTATATTAAGGAATCTTTAGCAAAGGAGGTGTAATTTGATGCAGTAATGATAAAACTAGATAAAAATTACTTCAACTTGCAACTAAAATTCTTTGTTCAGAAGCAATCGGCAGGCCGTTAAATTCAGAAGCCTGGTTTGTTGTGTTTGTAGACACTTCTATAAGGAACGGATGGTCTGGTTTCATTAGACATTGTCGGATTTCTAAATGCCTATTCATTTCCCAACGAACTGCATATAAAAAGTCCCCTGATGTATCCCCTGCACAAATCTACATGCAAATACTTCGAAAATATATCCTCTTCGACTAAACAGGGAACGGTTAGTACTATTATGAAAAAAATGGTACTTTTTTCGCGACAGAGTATTCATTTGTATACATAGTTCGTACAAAGGTTGCATTTAAAGTGGGGGCCCATGTGTACATGCAGGGACAGTGCAAGGGTCTCATCGCTCTCCACCCCCACGAATATATAATACGGTGACTACAACTCTGCTACATCTCAATTTTCCTAAGGTACTATTCATATAAAACACACATTTTATTTTAACCTAATTATGTACAATAATTGATCAAAAGCAATATAGGTGAACAATTCAATTAGAAAAATTGAAAATAAATACAATGTATCTCAATATAAATTAGAAATATGTCATAATTGACTATTCAATATTAAATAAATAATCAAAGTTTTGTAGCAATTTTTAACATCAACTTGAGATTTTTTCTGCTTAAAATTTAAAGAATTTTTATACATTCAACATTATGAATAAAAAAATAGTGAATTTTATATATTTTTCGAAAGTTAGCATGAGCAAAAGAAATTCAAGGATTTAAACTAAAAAAAAAAAGACTCCAAAATGACGTCATAATCCGGGAAAAATTGTTCATCCTTTAATAGCCAGTTGTGTTTAGTTTAATTTGTAACGTATATAAACGTAGATAGAAAAAATTGTTTATAAGATAGCAAGGGCTACAAAGCACTGCCCGGGTCGGGGAATTTAGTAATACGCCCGACTCTGCATGGGCCAAGGCTCAAAGACTGCACAGAGCCCGTTGAGATTTTCCCTATGGGAACGCCTCAGGGAACAAGTAATGAACCTGGTCCCCACCTGAAGGAAGGGTAATATCTGGGAGCATCTTAGAGGCACCAACTTCTGATCGTTCTCGAAACTGTCTGACGTATTGAAACCTTCCTTGTCTTTCAACCCTACCATACTCGAAGAGTTTTCTATTCAATTCAGTTTCAACGAAAATCTGAGACCCATTTGGTCTCTGATTTTTTTTACGGGGGTGTAACAGAGCATTTTGCAATGAAACGTTTAAATGTTTTTTTTTTTTAATTCAACTTCGAAATATCTTCTGCTACGATTGAATAACTTTTCGATAATTTGTTACCAAGTTGAACAACAAGATATAGGACATTACTAATGTTTCAAAAGTAACATCCAATGGTATGCGATATAAGAAATGTTGTAGACTTGTAAAAAAATAAATACAGAAATGTTCTAGATTTGCAAAAATAAATAATTAAGAATTCATTTGTCCAAGCAAATTAATTGTTATCGAATTCCGACATTTAAGTACGTGTGTGGGATGTGAATATCAATTATAAATAAGTATTTAGAAACAGGCAAATACCGCAGTTAAACAAATCATCTTCGTGAACGGGCAGGTTTTAACAATGATTAAGCAACAATAAACTACCTACAAACAATAGACCAACTGAACGAAAAACAAATTAACTGGTTGTAAGGAAATACTGACTACAAGAAAGAATTCAACTCAAGAGAACATACAGAAGTTTCTATTGCAGTAAGAGGGCAGGTATTAATAAAAATACATCAATGTTATTGAGAATAATAAGATTACAGTAATTCGATTACACAATGACATGGATGTTTGGAAAAAGATTGCGACATAAAGATACAGTCTCGCCTGAATTTACAGTATGTCCTAAAACTACCCAAAAATGGATTCGGAAGTAATGAAACTATACATAAACAGATTATATTTTAACCATCTACGATTTACTGATGACCTTTTATGAGCCGTGTTCTTTCCAGACACCTCCGTCTGGACTCTGAAATTTTATCTACTAATTTCTTTTCTTCCTCCCAAGTTGGAGTAGTTAGATTCGCCTATCGTCCGGTTCACACTCCTCTCTTGTCTTTTGAAAGAGAGAAGAATTTTATCCATTGTTCCCTGTTTATTATCTTTCCGGTTCCTTCTAGAATTCTTTCATCCTTTTAACTCCCAGTAGCCCATTACGTTTTTGTGACGTAAAGAAAAAAAGTAAAACTTGTCTTGAAACATCCTTGTTGATCACATGTTCCGTCCATAGAATTCTCAGAATCTCTCTGTAGAACATCTCTGTTGTCCTAATTCACCTCTTCATCTCTGATGAAATTATACAGCATTCACTACCATATAGGAAATTTGATATTATATAGCAGTTCAGTCTCCTTCTCTTTGCTTATAATTAAACCTTCCTGTTTCTTAATACTTTCTTCAGTTTTTGAAAGGCATCTTTCGCTGTTCCAATGTCCTTTGGAATTTCTATGTCACATTATCGTTGTCTGAAGAAATAGTATAACATGTTATGATATTTTTAAATACTGAGGTGTCTTTCTATATTAAGGGTAGCTGTTAATATTAAAAGAAATAGCGTGAAAGTGAAAAGTGAAGACGGGAATTACATTGCTAATTTCCTTACGTCCAACTTGGTGCCGAAAAATTCTTGCTCTAACCCTCTTCCTGAAATCTGACCAAACAACGGGTTTTCTTTAAAAAGAGCATTTCGTAATACCCACGTATAATTAATTTATAATATTATCTATGGTCTACGGTTGTGAGATATGACGCTCGCACGTGTCTTTCAAAAATCTCTACCTATGAAGTAAGTCATGCTTTCTCTTTGGTTGTTCCAACCAAGCGCAGGGCTGACTTGAGCGCGACTAATGTAACGATGCTTATAATTACTTCCCCTAACTTCTAGACAAAGAAAAAGTAAACGGGCATCCCATAACCATGCTTAACCCTTCCAACGATTAAGTAGTTAAAAACTACCTTTTATTTTTCAAACTCTGCGCGAGGCTATCTTGAGCTCGACCATTAATACGATATTTATAATTATTTACCCTAACTCCTAAACAAAAAAACAAACATACCCAAGAGACACTGACAACTTTGTTTCATTACAGTTGATAAAGAAAAGCGAATAAATGGTCCGTGGTAGAAAGTTTTTGTATGCTTCTTCTTTGTTCAGCATATGAGAACAACGGCCTTTACCTAAAATACACATAACCTTTCTAAATTCCATAGCGGCTCACACAGGGCCAAATATCAGGGGCGAAATGGGTCTAAAAATATTAGTCACCAGGAAACAAAGTGGGTCTTAACTACAATGCTATCATTTAATTTTCAAAACGAATAAATAAAATTTTCAAAAAATACATATGGAAAAAGGTAAATTTTTGTAGAAAAAATGTGTATTTCTTACTAATTACAGTTTACATATACATATACTGTACATATTACTGGCAGTAGATAACAAATGTGCATACAGAATGTTATAATAGAATTTTTTATTTGTTTCTTTTAATTTTAAGTAATTGTATTTGTAAATAGTTTGCTGCGAAATTTAGACAGTAACAAATAGTTCAAAAGCACAGTATACCACTGCATGCCATCCACTATACTAAGACCAATCTTTTGTGTTCTCAAGATGATTTTTAGAATCTTCCAATAATTTCCTTTGCATTCAATTCATCTAACAATTCCTTTTCAATGGATAGCAACATGTATGATCCCAAATTCTCTTTAGCGAATTTCTTAACCGTGTTGTTAAGATCATTAGCTTTGAAAATGATCTCACAGACTGGAATTGAATCACTGATAGTGTGCAGATGACTTTATAAAATTCACATTCCTTTTTATTACTAGAAGGGTTAACTGTATTTGTTTCTTTATTGAATTTTTATTTTATGTAGGTGGGGTGGGGGCTCATTCCATCAGGGGCCCACTCCACCAGCGTCACACAACATCGGAGCCCCAATTTGCCATCGGCCAACCTGACACTTTGAACAGTCCTCCTAAGCCGACAATAATGGAGGACTTGGCAAATTCGGTTACAACTTATTTTCATTGTAATCTTTACAATCACAGTTTTTCTTTTACTTATTTTGTATATTCTTTACTTTTTCATTTTGTTTCATTGCAGAAGAAAATTTTTAATGATCTCGGTGCTGGTATTGTTAAAAATGCCTGGGGAGGGTATAACTCATCTTTGTTTGCGTACGGCCAGACGGGTTCTGGAAAAAGCTTTTCTGTCGTTGGATACGGTGTTAATGAAGGTGAGTAACACGTATGCGCCAACACATACGCAATATATTATATATATATATATATATATATATATATATATATATATATATAATTAGTAGAAAATAAAATCCCAAATTACCTCATATGGGGAATAGGCTTATTTAAATCGACGAAAAATTCATCAGTTTTATTTAACCTTCGTGTCGGAATTAGAAATTTAACTGGGTACAGTTAAATTTCTATTTCCAACATGAACTCAGTCTATACCGGGGTTGAATAAGACTGACGAATTTTTCCTTGGTCAAATAAGCCTATTCCCCACATGAGGTAATTTGGGATTTTATTGTTTATTAATTATTTGCGTTGTAATAATAAATACATTGAGCTCTTTTTGTGTATCATTTTTAATATTTTATATTACTAGGACCACTTGGATTATATACCGACGGATTTATTAACTTCACTATATATATATATATATATATATATATATATATATATATATATATATATATAAAAAGTTTGCAGCCAACTTGCATTTCTTTACCTTTAAAAACACCTTAAAATGAGATATTTTTGTAATTTTTAAAATAAAAGAAAAATTTCAGTAACTGCAGTGTATTTGCTTTTATTTTTTATTTTTTCTCCTGGCTATTCTTACTAACAAAAAATTCAAATTTAGATTCGCTCGTCCACAATACCTTTTACAAAATCATGAATATTTTGTATGAGAAACATTATATTTTCTTTTCCTCATTAACCCATCAGTAGAACTTTTGAGATTACCAAAATTTTCAACAAAGTTAAATGTTAATACAGATTCTAAAGTCTTAACATGGATGGATGCCTTTTCCAACAAATAATGACATCCGTTCAACGCATGTCGTCTGGTCTTTTTCAACGACAAAAAGTTTTTCAGCACTTTTGTTTCATTACCTTCCCCATCATCTGACTGAATTTCATACAATTCCCTTGTTTCTAGGACAGATATGTCTTCATTATGGGGGAGAGGACACAAAGCTGACGTAATGCTTGGATATTTCTTTGACAGTTCTTTAGAAATTGGAAGCTCAATGCAGAAATAGCAATCAATGGCATTATCGATTGGCTCTCTCCAAATCCTGGGAACTGCAAAGATTATTTTCTTCCTGGTTAGCCATTTTCTGCTATTTGTTGCTCCGGTATTACAGCATGTGGGTGGTGTTCACTTCTTGTTTTGGTCTCCAATTTTGCATCCAAAATAGAATTGGTAAGCTTTTCTCATAACATATGTTATATTTCGCTTTTGAGATGCAAAAGTCACTTCGCCATACATATAGCAGAAGTTTTTTCCAGATATTCACGAGGCATTTTACACAGTTAAGAGTCAGTTAAATGTGCGAAAATCTGAGTGGAAAGGAGAATAATAATTAGTTTATGAGGAGCATAATAATTAGTTTATTAGGAGAATAATCATACATAATAGGATTATTAGGAGAATAATAATTGATCTGGATAGGAGACAATTTTGATGAAATATTCATGCAACATTAGCACCGTATCTTGACCGTATCTAGAGCCAATCTACAATTTTGGATATAATTTTTATTTCTACTGTCCCAGCATTAGCTAGGATTTGCTATGTTTGTTTTTGAAGATTTTATGCTGTAGATCAATGTTATATAGTCTGTTGGTAGTCTAACAAAAAGTGTGATTTCCGTGCTGACTTTGAATTTAACCAGGGCTCTTGCGTTCTCTTCCGAACAAATGCACTTGAAAAGATGGGAATACATTTCTTATCTTAATAGTAATGCAGACTAAGTTCTCTAGCTTTGATTGATAAGAACAATCTGAATTTCAAACCGGTCGAGTGTGGGGCTAGCAATTCTGTTCCCCACCAAAAAAACCTACTTGCTGTGGCCATATATTCTTGCGTCTGTACAGCTGTATATTTCTAGTAATTCAAACGTTATTATAGTGGAAACTTCTTATTTAAAACAGACGCCACATTTATTATTTATTATCAGTGTGTAATACATTTCTCGGCTTGAGCTCTCACGAAATTTAAGTAAAGAAAAATGGATGGGATCTAACCTGCGTTTCTCTTTGTCAAGAAAACTATTACTTGATCCGACATGACTTACCGCTCGACCACGAAGGACTACACAGTAAAGCACAGCTCTTTTACCCTTTTAAGTAAGCATATTCCTTTCACTCAGATTATTTTTCTCGAGAGCCCATATTTATTAAAAACAGCTATACATACAACATGCCTTACTTTAGACATCAATTCATTTTCAATAAGCCTAAACCAAAAAAGTAAATCTAATCTATAAATTCTTTCACATTCTTCTGCCAGATCTTACGTATTTGCAGGCGCATGTGTATGTCTCCTTTTTTATCTGTCGTGTTCCTACAGGACGTAGGTGATCATGACTCTCCACAATTTCCTGTCCTTTGCAGAACTTAATAGATTTTGTCTTTTTTTATTTCTCCTAAATTCTACTCAATCGAAGTAGTCTAGGCGTTGTTCCCCCCTCTCTCTCTCTCTCCCTTTACTATGTCCTGTGAGTATCAAATTTTCCAAGCCCTTTTTCCTCATTATGTGTTCCAGAATTTTCAACTGTCTCTTCCTGGTGTTAATTATAAGTTTACTTTTTGTTTCCATTGTTTCTAAAACTTCGCCGTTTCTCACATGTTCAGTCCATGATATTCTCAAAATCCTTCTGTAAAACCACATTTCTGTTGTTTCAAGTCTCTTCTTCATTTTTGAAGTCCAGCGTTCACTGCCATACAGAACTGATATCACGTAACAATTCAGTATTCTTTTCTTTTTGACTTTTGTTTCTTAATACCCTGCTTACCTTTTGGAAGGCATCTTTGGCTATCCCATGGTGTCTTTGGATTTCAGTGTCGCACTTTCTTTCTTCTGTTAAAAAACTTCCTAGATATTTAAATTTTTGTACTGACTTTATTTTGGTATCCCCGCATTTTGCTAACAACCATGAATTCTCTCTTTTTGCAATTGATGTTTAGTCCTTTTGTGGTGACTACTACTACGTTTGCCACGCCTACAGTTTTCTTAACTGTGATTGGTTAAATAATAAATACTGTTTACCACAGGACTATTTACTAATCGCAGTCACCACACTGAATTTTTCTGTCGTGAATTTCACAAACATGCTTTTGTTAGAAAATCACTGATTGGTTAATTTTTTATCCAATCATGTATTTTCTGTATTCGTTCATGTCTCCCGCCTTTGTTCATGGAGCCTAGCAATAGTTATAAAAGCAGTGTATAATTCAGCAACTCACAGATTATTGATTCTCTTCACTACGCACACACAGAACTTGAATTACATTTCACCATTCGTTTTCTATGAACAAGCCAAGTTACAAACCAACACTCTGTTAGTTATACAAATAACACACAACTAAATTAACTGTACAGTATTTATATTAGTCGGACTATTGTCCTCATCTTTGTCGCCATATTTGTCACAACGTTTCGGCCGTTGTACGCTCCGGCCTTCTTCAGGTGGTTGGAATTTCGAACTGAACCCTTTATTTCGATCACTGGGGTAGACTGTTCTAGTTCCACGTGCCATGTGTCCTCAAGGACACATGGCACAGTGGATAAAGGCGTTGGTTAGATCCAGTGACAGACCCTAAGAAGATGAGTTCAATACCTGGTTAAGGCAGTGGAGAACTTTCAGAGGGAAAATTAGCAGGAGATAACTGATAACGGACATCCATCAAACGGAGCGTACAACGGCCGAAACGTTGTGACAAATATGGCGACAAAGATGAGGACAATAGTCCGACTAATGTAAATACTGTACATAATACCTCATCTCAGAAATATAGACAGACTCTAAATGAACTGTATGTTTTTCTGAATGCAACATTCTATTTCAACATAGAACTTTGAACCATTCTATTCAATAAACATTCTTAATTACATTTTATCTTATTCAAGCTAACAGACAAAGGGAAACTGCTTTCTTTTCCTTAATATTCACACATTACAGAATTGTTTTGTATTTGGTGATTTTAATATATATTTTATCGTTGAAACAAAAATCGTTTTCTCATTGTTTTTCCTTGATTCAATAATGTATAAATGTTAAATGCTCTTCAACTCGCAGCCACATTAATCTCTTCCCCATAGTTTACAAGCAGCATTTACACTTTCTTCTCGCCTTCTTTCACTGCTTTCTGTAGGAGTTTTGTAGTTTTCTTTTTGTATCACACAGTGTTAATAGCAGACAGGGAAAGCAGAGATGTAGACATACGTATACAAAAAAAAGAACACTCGAGGAATTCAGCTTGTTATAGTGATTTTCCAAGCGTAACTTAGATGTGGCACAAAGCCGAAAGTAGGGGGTACCCAGTGAGGATCGAATTCACTACTTAGTCGTAACTGTTCTAGCGAGACAAGCTTGCTAACCATTACACAGCATCGAAGTACCCGATTTTCCAAGCGTAGCTTAGATGTGGCACAAAGCCGAAAATAGGGGGTACCCAGTGAGGATCGAATTCACTACTCAGTTGGGATTGTTCTAGCGAGACAAGCTTCCTAACCATTACACAGCATCGATGTACCCGATTTTCCAAGCGTAGCGTAGATGTGGCTCAAGGCCGAATGTAGTGGGCACCCAAGGAGGATCGAATTCACTTGCTAACCATTACATCGACTTGGGGTACCCAAAATTCAGCTTGTTATATGTCTCTACAGTTCTTGCAATTCGAAATAAAAGATCGATGTGATTGTTTTTAATAAGAGATTTAACTATTATTGATTTCCAGGAATTGTGCCGCAGTTTTGTCAAACGTTATTCAAGGAAATTGAAGAGAAGAAAGTGGAAGCGGCTAACAAAACGGAATATCATGTAAGTTTATCTTTATATGATTTATATACAGTTTTCTTCTTCTATGTGCCGTGTCTCTTCAGAACATTGGCGATCACGGCTTTCCACAATTTCCTGTCCATTGTAACTCTTAATAAATTCTATCTTTTCGTTACAACACCTAAACCTTGTTTCGTCATCTATTTACTCAAACTCTCTAGGTAGGTTATGCGTTCTTTTCCTGTCTCTTTTGCCTTCAAACTGTCCTGTGAGTATCAAATTTTCCAAGCCCTCTTTCTTCATTATGTACCTTAAAAAATCTTAGCTGTCACTTCCCTTCCTGATGTTAAGTGTCTTTTTTGTTTGCATTTTCTCTAAAACTTTGATGTTACTAACATGTTCTGTCCATGGTATTCTCAGCATCCTTCTGTAGAACCAGGTTTATGTTGCTTCAAGTCTGTTCTTCATCTGTGAGAAGATTGTACAGCATTCACTGCCAATTCGGATGACTGATATTACATAACTATTCAATATCCTTTTATTTGTTTCTAGCGATTTTTTCAATTTCTTAATACCCTGCTTAGCTTTTGTAAAGTATCTTCGCTATCCAAATGCGCCTTCAGATTCCAGTGTCATATTTTCCGTCATCTGTTAAAAGACTTCCTTTGATTTTGGTATCTCCAACTTGCCATTTTCATTTTAAGCTCATCGTTTTGCTAACATGCATTCTGTATTTTTGTATTTTTCTTTCTATGTCTGCTATTAACACGCATATCTTATGTTGTTAAGATTTGGGCCGCCAAAAATGATTCCTGCTAGAACGTCTAATTCTCTCAGAATCGCTTCACTGTATAAGTTGAATGAGTCTGGTGAAAAGACAGGCCCTATTTATAGATCGCGTTTTAAGTCCTTTCACTTTCACTTTCTCTTTCAATCCCGTTCTCCTCTCAGTTTTTCTTTATACCTTCCTTTTTGCGTTCATTTTCCTATATTTCTCTCCTCCTCGCTCGTACCCTCATCACTCTTTAACTGACAAAACTTATATAGTAGCGATTTTCCAAGTGTAGCTTAGATGTGGCACAAGGCCGAAAGTATGGGGTACCCAGTGAGGATCGAACTCACTACTCATTCGTAATTGTTCTAGCGAGACAAGCTTGCTAACCATTACACCGCCTCGGGGTGCGCAAATTATTTTCTAAGCGTAGCTTAGATTTGGCACAAGGCCGAAAGTATAGGGCACCTAGTGAGGATCGAACTCACTTTTCAGTCGTAATTGATCTAACGAGACAAGCTTGCTAACCGTTACACCACGCCGAGGTGCCCCAAGAACTTATATAGTAAACACTATACACAAGTAACTGTTGTAAAATAAGCAGTTTTGGAGTTAAGTCTCTAAGCTATGGGATCACTTTGAAGTCATCATTCCCTCGCATAGTTTTATATGAGAAACACGAGAAATACAGCTTATGAAATAAATATATTGTTTATGGAACTTAAAGATTTCTTACAGAAAACCTTTGCGCTTTCAAGAGATGACACATTCATTCAAAGTAATCAGCATGTCTTCATTTAAAACATTCGCTGATTGAAATAGGCATTGATAATTATCTCAGGAAATATCTACATTATTTACATAAGTGTATTATCCTTATCATTGTGGTTATTATCACAACGTTTCGGCCGTTGTGTCCCCCGGCCTTCACCAAGGAACGATTTATTTAATCTATAAGGTTAGAGTGTTCTTGTTCTACTGACAATGTAAAATATGCAGATGACAAACACAGAAAAGAAATTAAAGGAACTCATATAGAAGATAATCAGTAAAAGAATGGTGCCAGTTAATGAGTGATGAGGGAAAGAATAAGGAGAGAGAGAGAGAGAGAGAGAGAGAAAGAGAGATAGGAAAATTAATGAAGAGAGGGATATATACAGAAAAAAAAAAACTATGAGAGGAAAGAGGAAATGAAAGAGAAAGTGAGAGAACTTAAAACGCTGTTTATAAATAGGGCGTGTCTTCTCACCGGACTTATTCAACCCTGTACAGTGAGGCGATTCTGAGAGATTTAAAAAGTCGTATCAGGATTCATTATTGGCGACCACGATCTTAACAACAAGAGAAGCAGATAACACCTTTTGTTGATAGCAGACACGGAAAGAAACCTAAAAAAGCTCCTAGGTAGCAAAGGAAAGCGAGAAGAAAGGATTAAACCTCAATTGCAAGAAGAGAGAATGTGTGGTTGTTAGCAAAATAATGAGGCACAAATGAAAATTACAAATCGGAGATAAAAAAAATCAAAGAAGTAGAAAACCTTTAAATGAGTGGTGTGGTATGGTCGGGAATGATATATTTATTCTGCAACGGCATCCGGTGCTAATGAATACATACAAAAAACACAGAACAATTAACAAGACAACTTAGAAGGAATAGAGGAGGGTCAAATGCTGAATAGCCAAACGAAGTAAGATCAGTCCGAATATTAATCAACTTAGTATCAACTTATTAATCAACTGTCCTTAATCGTAGATTATTTAAGGCTAGGAGCCAATCCATCGGGTAGTGTTTTAACAAATGACCGAAAGTGTGACACTAAAATCCGAACCCAAATATGCATTCCAAAAGCTAAGAAGAGTATTAAGAAACTTCGTTAGAAGCAAACAAAAGAGTACTGAACACTTACATGATATCTGACCTTCTATATGGTAGTGAATGCTGGACAATCTACTCTAATATATAAAAGGATACAAAAATGTAGTTCTACAGAAGGATGTTGAGAATAGCATTGACCGAACATGTGATTAACGACGAAGTTTTAGGGAAAATGAAAACAAAAAGTATATTTACACTTAACATCAGGAATAGACAGTTGAAATTTTTGGCGCATATAATGAGGAAAGAAGGTTTGGAAAATCTGATAGTCACAAGATAGAAGGCTGGCAAGAGAGACATAGGAAACCAATGCATAACATATTTAGTGTGCTTGAGTAGTTGGATGGCGTAACAGGGTTTAGGAGAAATGAAAAGAAGACAAAATTATTTAAAAGATACGAAGGACATGAAATTGTGGAGAGCCATGATCGCCTAAGCCATGAGTAGAACGGCACAAAAAGAAAAAGAAGACCATGTTTCGGGATACATGTTTCTTCTCGTTTTAACTGAGTAAAGTTTTATGTTATCCGACCTACATTCATTATATCGCCATATTCACGAATCAATGTTTTAATCAACTCGGCTATTGTCCCGTGAGACAATCCGGGGTGAAGGACCTGAAGCCTTAAAACTAATCTACCTGCTGATGAGTCTGATCTTGCTGCTAGTCATGCTTGACTCCATTCACCGTAGATTTATATTAGCTTTCTTAACTAAATAAAAGGTTCAGCTCCAAACTACCTGGATCTTACTAGAATCGAGAAGCGCCCGATGAAGATTGCGCAGCACAACAGCCGAAACCTTTTTGATAAAAACAACAAGGGTGAAGACAATAAACCATGTGATAACTTCTGATCCAAGAAATTCAGAGAAAAGTAACGAAATACTCACTAACAATTAATTAGCGAAATAGAGTCGAATTATTATTGATAATTAAATAGCAAAACTGTCACTGATATTTGTTATCGGGCTTTGAATCATCCTATTATTCATTATTACCACTCTCTGTCATATATATATATATATATATATATATATATATATATATATATTAAGAGATTTTTTTTATGTTTATACGTTCTTTTTATAAATACAAATATTTATGGAAATGCTCTGTTTATAATAAACAATATTAATGACATTTACCGGCCTGAATGTCAGGGAAATTTTCATAAAAAGTATGCGTCCTCCGATAGGAATCGAACCTGTATCCTATACAGAATCGTCATATAGCCGGACGTGCTATTACCGATTGAGCCACAGAGGAACGCCTCGGTTAGCAAGGTCGATTTTACTGTTTTTAAACTTCAATTCTCCATGATTTCCTCTTACATTCATATCTGTCCGATGCGCATCCAAATGTAAACAAATGACGTCACACATTATGAAATGGACAAAGTCCGACAATTATTTTAAGACATTTTTTATGTTTATACTTTCTTTTTATAGATATATATAAACATAAAAATCCAGACTTTCTTAGGTGATTAGGATTTTGAACTGAACCATTTACTTTGTCCATTTCACAATATATATATATATATATATATATATATATATATGTGTGTGTGTGTGTGTGTGTGTGTGTGTGTGTGTGTGTGTGTGTGTTATTACCTTCCTAAAACCGGATATTCTTCTCATTCATGTTACACAAATATCCACCACTGACCGGATGTGAACGCTCTGAAACCCAAGACTGAACTAAAAATTTCGTCAACTGCGCATAGGGTCCGCACATACCTTCCGTTTTAGAAAAAGAAAAATACAGTCCATAATTTCCACCCAATAGCACCCACTTCTGCCTAAAGAAAAAAAATAAAAACTGCAGCGGGCCTGAGCCTAAGAAAAAGATATGAAAGCTCATCAAGGGACATTTTTGGCAATTGGACGGCACATCAGCCAGGATTCACAACGTTCGACGGAACGTGACCTGCCATCTCCAAAGACAAATTGCCAAAGGCCGTCGCTTCAATAAGTGACAACCCTAACCCTAACCCTCTCCTACCATACGCCTCTGCCGGCGACTTTTACGATTCTACTTTTCTTTTTCTTTCAACGAGGGACATTTACACCAATTTAACATTTGATGTATTTTTACGTTATTCTTTGTTCTGCTACTATTCGATTACACCTCTCTCTCTCTCTCTCTCTCTCTCTCTCTCTATATATATATATATATATATATATATATATATAAATAAATGCTAAACGTTAAAAAAGATAAACGCTTAAAATATAAAATAATCCAAGAGTCCAATGGCAGGGCTGACAGAACCTAAATATAACATATTATAATATTATTAATACAATAATACCAAAACCTGCTACACTGAGTGTCATACAATAACAATTACCAAGCAGATATAATCTGAAAATAAAAGCTATACAGTTTGATTTTATATTCTCCTTTTGTGGGTTACATTAATTTCTTAGCCGATGAGCTCAAGTTAAATGGTTACAGTGTGTCGATCAAAGTAACTCCAAATTGTTTATTTTAGTCTATAGACGTGCTTAACCATCCATAACACACGGAATAAGTAGCTTCCAAAAGAATATTCTAAAATGGCACAGCGGGAAAAAGTGTTAAACATCTCAATAGAGTATTTATATTATATTTTCCATGCAATAATTTGGCGTACTCTTGAGAGATTGTATCTTATTTCGCGCTATTGACCACAGTCATCAACGAGCGTCTAATGATAGCGAACATGAAACTAGCAAACGTGGCCGGTCATACATGTCCGCCGAATTATTTATGAACAAAAACCAAAAAAAAAAGTAAGTTAGAGAGAGAATATGATTATTTTACTTTAAGGAGGACACTAATAATGTTGCCATGAACATTTAGGGAGACATTTCAATTTTGCCATTATAAATCCTGAGCCACCATATTTATTTATTTGTTTATTTAGAGTAAATAAATTACGGAGTTATTTTTGAGAAGAACGTATCGAATTTCATGGTCGTTTCCTTTCCGAATTGTAGGTGACCTGCAGTATGTTAGAAATCTACAATGAGAAGGTAACCGACTTACTCGATCTTAAAAGCAAGAAAGCAACCCACTTGAAAATACGTAAACACCCAGAGCGAGGGTTTTATGGTAAGTAATACTTTGTAGACGTTTATATTTTGATCAGTTTCAATATTGGTGTAATCCAATTAGTTGTTTTCTGGGAATAGCCATGAAGCAAAAAAAATTCTTCTTTGTTACCAACTGAAAATGTGAGCAACAGAAAATAATGAAAGATTTCCAATCCAAAATGGAAGAACTTTGAAGAATAAACAGCGGAGAAAGAAAGATATCAATTCTGAATTGATTACTATTTGAATAGATTGAAAATATATTCAAATGCCAGCTGTAGTAGCGACCATTATCCAATGATATATAATCTTAAAATAAGACTACAGAAATTAAAAATAGCCAAAGCAGCACACAAATTGCAACTCGACAGACTCCCGAATGACCTAAAATGCAAAGTGATGTATACTGACAGCATTAAAAGCAAATACTAATAATCTAATGTGATTGTAATTTCAAAGAGGAACACATGAAAAGACGCTTTAATGACGAGATCATCCCAAGGAAAATTAGACAAAGTAAAAAGGAGTGAATGACATTCCTCGACATGATGAAAAAGAGACAGCAAACAATGCCAACGTATGGCCCATAATAAAGTAGATTTCAGAAAAGACAGGCAAAAGAGTAATAGCTCAACAAAAAGAGTGCAGGAATAGAAAAGATGAACATCATAGATGAGAATAATAGAGAAATAACTGCATAAAGGATTTGCACATCGAGAGAATGCATACAATCATAAAAGGGAATGGCGATATCCGAAAGATTATTTACACTATTTAAATTGTTCGGACTGTTGTTCTAATCTTTGTTGCCATATTCACAACATTTCGGTCGTTGCATCCTCCGGACTTCCTCAGGTGATTTTGAATTTTGAACTGAACCATTTATTTCGTCCATCGGGGTAGATTGTTCTAGTTCCATGTGCCATACCTCTTCCGGACGTATCAGTTATCTTCGTTTAACTCTCCAGGTTTTTTTTTTGTTCACCACTACAGTATCCAAACATTGAAATCATCTCTTTGGGTCAAGTCACTGGATCCAAACAACGCTTTTATTCACTTGACCATATGTCCTTGAGGACAGCAAAGGTGACGACAACAGTCCTAACGATGTAAATAGTGTAAATAATTACAATACCCCATCTTAGAAATAAAGACAGGGACATCAGAAAAAGCAATAAAAATTCAGAAGGAAGTATACTTATGTCTTATAAAGTATGCGAAATCCTTAGAAAAAGTACGACACAAAGAACTATTCGAACTGCTAGGTAAGCTTGATTTAATTGGGTAAGATATTAGAATAATCCAGAACTTATTCTGGGAGCAAACTACATGCATGCAAATAGATAAAATTAGATTAGCGCATACGTAATACTCGTTTAGGACAGTAAAGCATTCTTCAGTTTAAGCATTGTAATTGAAAATTGATTTTTTTTTTAGTTACCGTTGCATACATTAGCCGCACTAATCGTAGAATTCTTCTATAAATTATAAAATCAGTTTTGGCCAAATGTGATGGTTTCCAAAAAGTAAACACTTATACGCACACAAGAAAAATTAAATAAAAAGCTTAATCGCAGTACTTTGTCAATCGTCTTTAATGGAACTTAATATAAAATGTGTCACTTACCTGATTGATATAATATTTTAGCGGTGTATAGCCTCTTGAACTTGACTTACTGCCTCATAAATCCCATTCTGGTAAAAACCGTCATAGCATAAAGGTCGGTATTTTGAATATTTTATTATATATATATATATATATATATATATATATATATATATATATATATATATATATAAAATAAGCGATCAGGACTCATCTCAAAGTGCAGACACGAAAACAATTTTTACTTCATTTCTTAGAAATGAAAAACTGAAAAGAATAAAAAAAATGAAATATAAATAAGCATTAAAAGTAATATAAATGAATCTAAATAAATAAACAAAGCAAATAATAAGCAAAACACTCCCGCCAAAATAACCATTAGAATAGATTACAACAAAAAATCCAAAAACTGCAAAATCTGATTGGACAAAAAATAGTTGTAATTAACTTCCCAGATGAAAACAAACTACTAAATAAACGATCAGAACTCGCGTTGTAAAATTTTTATTACGTTAATAAAAAATCAAAAAGCAAAAAAGAATAGATAAAAATATATAAAATAAGAAAATATAATAAATAAGAAAATACAAGTAAAATAAATTAATCCAAATAAATAAACAATAAACTAACTACTTTTGCCAAAATAACCGTTAGAAAAGACTACCCACAAGACACTTCACTATACATATATATGGATGGATGTATGTATTACACACTTTATCTCCCCCTATGCAAACTCAAGAAAAAAATCTTAAAATGCTTAATCTCAGTAGCTTGTAATTCGCCTTTAATGAAACTTGTACACACACACACACACACACACACATATATATATATATATAAAATGTGTGACGTCACCCCGCGCCTCTCTGCCCCCGTGCTATCCTGTGACGACCAATGTGACTTGGTATTGGAGGCGGCACCAAATGTGACGTTCTAACCCTTGGCTGATTCGGATGGCAATCAGGTTAGATTCAGTATCAGCTTTGTCGTCCCCAGCTCGCCTCCAACGTCTGGTTACCGAAGTAACCGCTTTGATTTCTAGTCTAACCTACCCACGTTGTGATTTGATCTTAGGTAGACGAAATCAATCAGTCGCCGGGCCGTAATGCGAGCCGAATTCGAGCAAAAGTGACATCGCAGAAGTATATGTAAAAGAAAATAAAGTAACAACTCGAAAAGTTCAAATGGTTTAAAAAAAGAATAAATATTTTTATATCTGGTTGCTGAATACAGGACTGCATCTTTCTCCCAAACCGGTAATATAGATTCGTGACACTTTCTGTTTGTTAGGCGAGTCTTAATATCTTAAGTTGTTTTTCGATAACTGTTTTGGTGGTGTGAGTCTAAGTCGTTCTTCAAAAATAAATTGTTCATGGTTAGAAGTCGAAGTCGGAATGCGTGGATCTTTAGTCAGCTTCCTGCGAGGCTGGTCTCAGAGCTCACAGCTCAACTCTGTCTGCGTCTGCGTCTCCTTGGAACTCTGCCGAACTCTAACTCCAACTGCCGTCTACTCGCTGCGACTCTGTTTATATGGACGCCGACCAAAATAGGGTGTGGGTTTGTCGTGGTTTGGGTTCCTCGATAATTCTAATTCCACAATAAGGATTTTCTTTGCTTTCGGACAGGAAAATTTATCACTTTCCATTTTTGGAAGTCCATTACTTTCTGCTTTAGAGGGGTTCTTAGGGAAATCGTCCTCCCAAATTCTTCCTTTCTCATATTGGTATCTCACACCAATCCCCTCAGATGGCGTCAACAGGTTTCCCATCTTTCTCATAGTGGTATCTCACACAAATCCCCTCAAAGGCGTCAACAGGCCTCCCCTCCATCTCATATGTTTACCTTCGCCCATTGCTCACGCCACCACTCAGCCAATGACGCTCGGCAGCGCGGGTGTTTACAATTATCGCTCAAAGAAAAAAAAATTATCTTCCTTTTTTTTTCTTTTTCTTTCTTTTCCTACACCAGACCCCTACGACTCGTAGTGTGGTCCTTAATCTCTATCTTAACCGAATGTCATCTGGACTTTATCAACAAGATTTTTGCCAGCGTCAAATGGATGGTCAACTGGACGTTTTCGCACCCTGTCGCCAATTATCTGTCCCGGTAACAAACTTTTATCATGTCCAGGTCTGGACAATAAAACAGGTGGTCTCTTTCCAAAACAAATGATATCTCCGAAAGATAGTTAATGGTTTATTCTTTCCCTTTCTCTCTGGGGTGGCCTCAGCTGATGCCTTTCTCGATCAGTGCGTGACCTGATTACGATTATCTTCCAGCTTCTGTTTCGTAGGCCACTTGACCAATTTGAAATTTTCATTATTGCCATGAACAGATTGCTATCTTCTTTCGCCGCGTCATAGCATAAATTAATTCCGACAGATCCGAGGTCTTACGAATTTCCTATCTTCTGCGAAAAAAATACTTTTTTTCGCAAATGAAAATAAAATCTTTACCACTTTTCTTTGTTATAAAAAATAACATCGCTCAGTATGTCTTTTCGTGATAGCTTCTTCTCGCCTTAATTATTTCTCGCTTTTAATTTTCACGCGACCGCTAAATAGTGTCATAAGGCCTAAAAGCAAACTTACTTACTCAGTAAAGTGCTCGAAGCCCAGTTTGCCTACACCGAGCTAAAAACGTTTACCAACGTTAAATTCTATGATAGGTTGGCTCTAGTCATAACAAGAGTTTCACGGTTACGCTATCCTAATAATCGTAATTAAAGTTTCACGTTTACGCAATCTTCAAGCGACTTGAACAGCCATTCAAGTCATCTGAAGATTAAAAAACGTGAAATTTTAATTATGATCATATATATATATATATATATATATATATATATATATATTACAAATATAAACTTGACACTAAGTTGCTTGATATTTGAGGTGTATGTGTAGAATGACCACTCGTGAAATAAGCGAAACTATTGTCGTATGTTAGTGTCATTTCCTGTTAATCCTTTTCGGAAATTCTAAAGTTTCCGTCAACTTCTAAGATATCTGTCTATATGTCTGGGATGAGATATTATAATTACTTACATTATTTACATTATTCAAACTGTTATTCTCATTTTCATTGCCATATTCACAACGTTTCGGCGGTTGTACACTACGGCATTATTCAGGTGATTGGAATTTTTCTTCAATATCTGTCTATATCTCTGAGATGAGCTATTATGATTACTTACATTATTCGAATTGTTATAATATAAATAATGTAAGAAACTAAGTAAAGTAAATGATATTCCTGTCAGTTTAATCGAAAGAAAATCTTGAAATCCGTGTAATTGAAAATTAATACTGAATAAATATTGATTTTTAAATCAGTTGAAGGTCTGTCGAGCATTCCAGCACCAAATTACAAGAAGATTGAGCAGCTTATGCAGTCAGGAATAACTAACAGAACAATCGCTTCGACCAATATGAACGCCACTAGCAGGTAAGAAAATAATATTCGAAAAATATCGACTTTTCCAGAATTGTTTGGCTTGTCGGGCTTTTAGTCTAAATCCACTTACAGGAACTCTGCTGGATTAATATGGGATTACCCTTTCGTAGACTGGATAATATGGGATTACCCTTTCGTACTTCATATAAGGGGTGGAACTGATCGTATCTAAATAGCGCCCTTATGAGTAAAAAAGTGTTTACACATGAACCCTTGAAGCTTTATTAACAATACTAGACAGAAAGCAATCTGTTCACTATTTGGAATGTTTCATATTTTCTTTTTTGACAGCATTTTTTCGTAAAATTTTTTCCTAACTGTTGACGTAACTGGCAAATTAACAAAAAAAATATTTTTTACAAAATTGAATATTGCTAATATGGCTAAAATAATTCCTGTCTAAATTTCTTGGATGAGAATCCTAAGAACAGAAAAGGCAAACAAAAGAATCGAACCTTACCAGACAAAAACAAAAGTAGACCAAGATTCAACATCTCTTACACCAATGTGATTGGTCCGTGTCCCTACTTTTCGCTGCTGGAAATCCATTTTCTGACCCCTTGTTCGTGTCTGAAATCTGTACGATCCATCTATTCCAGTACAGAAACTTGCATTCCCGGGCTACTCGCGACAACAGTGAGGCATGATAATTGAAATCGCCACTTGTTACCCTTGTTGTTGAAACTTCATTTTTCACTCTTTATCGCCGCAAGGATGACGAAACTGCAGTGTTCGATAAAATAGCGGAGAAGATCGATAATATCTCCCCACCCAGAGAATTCCTCGGCTAACATTCATATTTGTATTGACTTTAATATTTACTACAGAGTGTTCAGGTCACTTGAACAAAACCGATGGAAAAGATAGATACTGCCGAGCGTTTTCTATCGATTACGAACTGACACAGATCATAGGAAAGTCCACTCGTGTTTCCTATACAACAAGACATCATGGAAAACTCCAAGATCCCTCACTCACATCTTGCCTTGAAAAAACCTCTGATATAGTGTTATTTCCTCTGAGCATTTAAGACTATTCACTGGTCAGTGTTAATTTTGATGTCAAACCAAAAGTCTTCCCTGATGTGTCGTTTCATAAGACATTTTTATCGGTACGCCCAAGCTAAATGGGACAGCTTCAGTTCTTAGATAGCTGAAGTTCCTATCTCAGCATTCTCAAAAATAGACTTTCCAAAATATGTCGCCAATTTCTTTAAATGGAAAGTTTCATACTCCATAAAAATATCCACACAAGCAAATTAACCAGCCTTGGTTCACTCTGGAATGTGCTGTCGTCATACCTCAACATACCTCAACATAACAATTACTACAATATATTTCACAGAAAACAGTGTAGTAAGACCCTTACTGAATCAAAACTACCCACAATAATTGTAAGAGATTTCTTGAAAACGTAAAGCGCAACTATGCAAAAGCAATCTAAGACAAAATTGAAAGCAAACGGATCCTGTAAGTTCTGGTACATGTATATCAAAATTCTCCATAGATTGGTGAATTTATTCATTTTCTACGGCTTATCAACCTTTTGCAGGTTTTTTAAAGCCAGTAAATATTTTTAGATTGTAAGGATATTTTTTTAGATATTAATGGTTTAGCCTTACTAATTAATCCATAGCTGGGGAGAAGAGTTGGATTCATGCCTTTCCCAAGGATATCTTCATATGTGAATATAACGAAACCAACTAGAACTGGAACTCGGTTATCCGATTTCCAATTGCAAGCCATTATCCATTATAGCACCCACACATCCAAGCTTGCATCACCTGGCATTCCCAAGGTTACCCTTCTAGGTACTGACCAGGCTAGACGTTGCTTAACTACAGTGATCGTACGGGAACCAATATTTCAACGTGATGTGGCTGTAAGTGACCTAGCGTTAGTGACTACTATTATAAATGCTCCCGAAGTTATGTCATCCACGTCAGATAATTCAAAGCTCTTGCAAAGATCTATGCCTCTAATGGAGTTAGATGACAATGACCATCTCCTTCACTACTTCTACGCTCTTACGGAGCAAAAAATTAGTAATATTTCTACCGCAATTCGGAGAGTCTCAAGACTTAGAAAAAAACCTTGATCCTAAGAAGGCTACCGGTTTAGATAAAGTCCTAGTGGTTATCTTTAAGTATATTGGCTTTGAGTTATCCCTAATCTTAGCAAAGTTTTTCAACCGCTGCCTAAAGGCGAAATCTTTTGCAAGCATATTGAAGATATCGGGGGTATGCCCTTTTTCCAAGAATGCGATGCGCTCTCATCTGTCTCAATATAGGTCCATCAGCCTTCTCAGTGTCATCAGCAAACACTTTCAGGCTATAATCAACAAGATGTTTGTTGATCACCTCAACAGGTACAACTTCTTGAGCGACAAACATGACGGATTTCAATCAGCTCGGTCCAACCTTGATATCCTAACATAGAATCAGCGAACCATTAGATAATAGATCCATGAAGCGTACGTTCGCTTTATTAGACATATCAAAGTTGCATAGGGTGTTGCTGCACAAGCTCTCCAGTTACGCACACACTGGAAGTTTTTTCTCGGTTATCAAGTTCTTTCTAACAGGTAAGTTGTTAATGGCCAGCCCCACAAGTATAAGAAAAGAACCCTTGTGTATTTATCCAAGGTACAACGTTATACTTTACAACAATGTTTTCTCTGTTACAGTCGAGCCCACACCATATTCGGTATCAACTTCAGCCAAAAGTTCAAGAATGAACAAGGACAACTCACAGAAAAAACTGCAGTTGTTAACATCGTTGATTTAGCAGGAAGGTTTGTAACCTTAAACTATTTCACAGCTGTTGAGCTAACTTAACAACATTTCATAAAACTTCCTTTTAGATCGAGAATGATCTGATGTCGCTACAATTACGCAAATTTTTCTTCCTGTCTAATCAATATAATAATGGTTAATTTAAGTTTAAGAAAACCTGGCATTGACACCAGAAGACATGATCCATGATGCGCTAAAGATAATAGAACGTAATTAGTGGTTAAAAGAAAGCAGAGGTTGAAATTGCAGCAATCCAGTTGAAAAGGACAACGTCGTAGCAAACGGCTCGTGATTTTAATGGCGCCTTTCTCTCATCGCACTTCCTGTCTCATTCTCCCCAACACACATACTTATACAATCACACATACACACTTAAACACTCATACACACACTTCCATCCTTTCTTCTACTTTCTCAGTCATTCTTTCTCACCCAATCTCTCTACAACTCCCTTTTATTTCTGCGAGTAAATGAAAGCTGGATCGTCTAAGTCTCACTGTCATTGGATTAATGATGCTTTTTCTCTTAATAGGTGAGCTATGGAAGCTTTATTTCCCAATTTTCATTTCCCCCATTATTGGCATTATTATATCATGTATTATAACACTTTATTTCACGGACGGATTTGAATAGCTGAACGAAAAGGAATGACAAATATGCTTTGTTCTCAGAGATAGTTTTCTACCACTAAATCATACACAAAATTATATATATAAATATTTACACGTGTCCTGCGCAAAGAAAATATAACATGTTATTTTAACCTGGGCTAAAAAAACACAACTGGTCGGTTTGACTCCTTGAAAACTGACTGACTACTTTCGGCCGAGATAACAACCTTTTGTATCCCCCGCACACTCTTTTCTCATTCTCTCTCTTTCTCTTTCTCTCTCTCATCCATCCGCTCATTTTCTGCCTTATCCTTTTTTCTGTCTCTATCACTTTCCCCCTACTCTTCTTTTTTCACCACCCCTGCCAGTTTTTATCCTTTGGGGAGGGGGGATTGGCTGGTTGAGAGCGGACTACCGTTGTGGGCTTACCAGTTTAACCCATTAATGGCCGCACTAAAACGCGGTATTAATCCTAACAATTAGAATGAAAGATCTCTCACTCTTTATCTCTAACTTGCTCTCCGTCTCTCTCTCTCTCTCTCTCCGTCATTTTCTTCATCTTCAACAACAAAACAATTTATATATACACAAAGAAGCAATTCATTATCTTTTTACAGGAAACCCTGAATGCGGTAAAATGAGATAAAGTCCATTGATCTTTTCTTGACTTATTAAATACGCACACACACACACACACACACACACACATATATATATATATATATATATATATATATATATATATATATATTTTCTAAACCCACACACACGAACACACAATATTGTTGTGGTAGGATCCACCTAATTTGCATAGTGGAGTACCGACCATATAAATATGGTTGGTACCAGGAAGAGAGTGTGGAATCAAGAGATTCAATCAGAGACTCTGCCCGACTGCGACTCAGTCAACACATTCTCCAGGAACGGTCTTACCAGGAATATACAAAAGACTATATGTAAATATTGTGTACACTTTCTTGTTTCAATACATTTTTTCTAAGTACATTTTGTGTTGCATTATTATTCCATGCATTAGTCAAGTTTCAACAAATATATATGCATATATATACATCTATAATATATACATATCTAAACACACACACACATATGCATATAAATACATCTATAATATATATATATATCTAAATACACACACGCACACACACATATATGTATCCATATATATACATCTATAATATATACATATCTAAACACACACACACACGCATACACACACACATATATATATATGCATATATATATATATATATATATACATCTATAATATATACATATCTAAGCACACACAAAGGCACACGCACACACACACACACACACATATATAGTGTTAATTTTAAAGACTGTTTTGGGGACAGAATTTCTGTTTTTTCAGTGAAGAAATTTAAGGCAAGCAATCTTTGTGGTAAAGTGCTCAATAGTGAAGAGATAGTGTTTATTGAATTATTTTAAACTATATATATATATATATATATATATATATATATATGTGTGTGTGTGTGTGTGTGTGTGTCCTACCACTCGAAACGTTATTTTGTGGATACCCATATTTGAGTTGACGGACTGTTTTTTGCTTGTTTTTTGTTTTGTATTTTATAAGTGTCAAATTCATTTACCTGTCAAGTTCATTTACCTGTCTTCACATTCGATTTAATAAAGAGTAATTATACACTGAACAGGCTTGAAACCCGCATCCCCTTTTGTAGGAGAAACCATTCTGATCTGGCGTGTTTTGAACCATTCGGACATAGGTCGGATGAGAATTTGGTTTCTCCAACAAAGAAGGACTCAAATTGGTATAATGCATGAAAACTGATTTTTTTTTAATTAGGTCTCTTGAACGCAAAAGCCGATAGACGTAATTCACACTGTTAAAAACATGGCGTCCACAAAATAAAAAAAATACATATATTTATATAAGGTTGATGTCTGAAATAGGCAAATATTCTAAAAAATTTTTGTTTCTTTTGCACTCTGAATAAAAGTAATATTTTATTTATTTGTATTTAGTGAACGGGTCAGCAAAACTGGATCTTCTGGAGACCGATTTAAAGAAGGAACAATGATTAACAAATCGCTCTTAAATTTGGGAGAATGCATTGCAGCTTTGGCTAAAAATTATTCCAGTGGAAGCAAAAGCCACAGTGAGTTTCTTTCTTTCTGGGAATCGATTCGAAAATAATTCATCTTTTCTTTTTCTTTGTCCTTCTGTTTATCAAAATTCATTGAAGTGAGAAAAGCACAGACAGTAAAACAACTCAAATCACGTTGAAGAAAAGCTTTCTGATGTTTTAAAATCATTTCACTCCAAACAAGGTAAAAAAATTACTAAGACGGAAGGGTTACTGAGTTTGAAAGAATGAGAAAAAAAAGAACATTATTAATGAGAGGGAACAATAAAAGAATAGGAATTAAGAAGAAAGACGATAACGATTGACATTGTATTTAAATTTTCGAAAATCAAAGATAACTGAAGAGCAAGATGCTGGAAGCAAGTTCCACAGGCGAGAATTGCGAGAGAAGAAACTGTTAGCATAGAACTTACGGTTATATTTAGCCATTTCAACTTTAAAATGATGAGATCTTGCTGCAAATGTAGTACTGCACTTAAATTCATAATGTCTAGGTACCATAGAGGAAAGATTATTACAACAATTACCATGAATGTTTTTATACAAAAGACACAATTAAGTTACGTTACAACGTTGGGAAAGTGACTGAAGCCGATGCCAGGTCTGGATTAACAATATGGCTTCTTTGTATTTTATCTAGAATCTCTAAATTAGAACCAGACCAGATGTGACAGCACCATACAATACATGGATAAATGGGTAAGATAGATTCTGTCAAGAAAAATTGTCTAACACGTCACAGTAAACCAACTTTGTTTGCAGCGAAGAAAGATATTGATTCAATAAAATCTTTCCACTTTATCTCATCGGAAAACGTTAGCCCCAGAAAGCTAATTAGAAGAATTACATAAACTTAACTTATAGAATTTTGCTGAAATTTCTTTAATGTGCTGTCCCTTTAGGACGTGAACTATTATAGCTTAGTACCTGTCTATATTTCTGAGATCAGGTATTATGTACACTATTTATATTATTCGGACTATTGTCATCTTTGTTGTCATATTTATCACAACAGTTCAGCAGTTGTACGTTCCGGCCTTCTTCAGGTGATTGGAATGTCGAACTGAACCCTTTATTTCGCTCGCTGGGGAAAGACTGTTCTAGTTCCACGTGCCATGTCTAATGGATGTCAGTTATCTCCTGTTAATTTCCCTCTCCAAGTTCTCCACCTTATTCGAATATCTATTTTGGCCAACAAGACTTACTTATTGGCTTTGTCAACACAGAGGTGTGAAGAAATGAAATAGATGCCTAAAATTTAAACATTTAAAGAATAAAAGAAGAAGAGAGAAAGAGAAAAAGAACAAAAAGAGAAAGAAGAACAAAAAGGAAGCTACAGAAGAGAATAGACATAGATCTACACAAACTCCCAATATCATGGTAGAAGAAGTGGGAGTGCCTGGTTCAAGAAGACAGTTAAAATAACCTTGACCTATATTTTAAAATATTAACATCTCAACTTAAGTTGAAACAGAATCACAAATTTAAAGACACAGCTAGACGTTCGATTGCTTCAAGCCAGAATCAAAACTTGACCGATTTGGCATCAGTCAGAGATCTTACTCCTAAGCTATCGGTGCATATTTATCAGTTGTGTGCCATGCGTGATACACGCATACGTGATCATGCACCTTTCGATACATGACTGATGAGCCAGAGTTTTTTTTTTCCCGCAGTAGGTTGCCATTTCTTTCTGCAGTAGACCAGTTGCCATCCAATACTGTAGAACCCGGTCTGTCCTGCTATTTACCCATAATTGTGGGAAGAAGAAGAGGATTCATACCTTTCCAAAGATTATTAGCACGTAAGTGAATGTAATGGATTCGACTGGAATTCGAACTCGGCTCTCCGATTACTCACACCGAGCCGCTATCCATTACTCCACCATGAAACCTTGAATTATCTAATTGACTTTCTGCACATTATTGATTTCTGCCCTATCCGTTCTGGTGGTATTAGGTTCCTTAGCAAGCGTTTTAGATTTGGCTAATGCTGTAGAACATTCCCGCCTTCAACAAAAACAACTGTTCAGTTCAGGAATAGATTATCTCTATCTCACTGTACTCAACCTATAAGGCAACGATTGCCGCTTGACTTTTCATTTGCTGAGTTACCTGATGTTTGTCATCATTTATCTGGAAAATGATAATCAGAACAAATTAGAACTAAAAGAAGTAGTCTCAAATAACTATATATATATATATATATATATATATATATATATATATATATATATATATATATATATATATACATACGTATGTATATCGCTTAGCCTTGGAGCGGGTAAAATGAAAATCAACGCGTTTTAGTGGATTCAGCAGTTTTCAATCAGCTTGTCTGAATCGTCTTCAAGAAGCGAGAGCAAGATCTAAAAGGTCAGCCAATCTAACAGTGATCTCATCCCACAATCCTTACTCTTGCTCCATATGCGGCCTCCTTAATAAATCACTAGCGGAATTTAAGTGCCACTTAAGATTAGCGCACAAAAATTTATAACTGAATCAATTAAACTGTCAGATCTTCATACGTCGAAAGCGACAGGAGATTTATTTATATATATATATATATATATATATATATATATATATATATATATATGTGTGTGTGTGTGTGTGTGTGTGCGTGCGTGCGTGCGTGCGTGTGTGTAAGAATTAATTGACATTTTATTCATTAATCCGATAGATTTTATCACTTTAAACCATATTTTATTGGATACTCATATATATCTCCGTTTATTTGTTAAACAGCATATTATTTTCATCTACATGCCTGAATATTCGAGGAATCGTATTAAAGAAAAACGCAGGTTAGAATATTCAGGACGGTAGATGAAAATGAACAAATGTACTGTTTAATAAATAAATCGGGCGTCAACTTAAATATGAGTATCCAATGAAAATAACGTTATATGTGTGTGTGCGTATGCAAATATATACATATATATACAGCAATCCCATGATTAGTGCTAATCGAAAAGGCATTAATCGATTATAACAACTTATCGGAAATTATGTAATTTATACTCAAATTTTAGTCTAATTTACAATTTATTTTTAATTTGCGTACTTTTTAATTAAATTATAGGTACATATTTTCTATTTTTGGATATTTTCAAAACATTATAATCATAAGTATTTTAACCTAATTTTATTTATTTATTCATAATCTTTCCATAGTATAATGCAGACATCTTTTATATTTCGATACTTAATAAATGTAAATTTCTGTAACTAATTAAATCGTCTATTTTTTTAACAAGAAACAGAAATTTCTTTTTAAGACCTTCAAAATAAATATGGGAAAAATAAAAATACTCAAAGAATTTTAAAAGAGAATAAGTCAAATCTGTATTTTTATTATCGGCTTATAACATTTATCTATTCATAACTGTCCATTTTTTAGCACTACTGTAATTATTTAGATAACGTTACACTTGATGTGGTGGAGGCAAGGTGGGGTAATGGATAGCGGCTCGGATTAAGGAATCGGAGAAACGAGTTCGAATTCCAGTCAAATCCATTACATTCACTTACGTGCTAATACCCTTGAGAACGATAAGAATCCTTTTCTTATCCCCCCAGCTATGGGTAAATAGCAGGATAGATGGCAACCTATTGCGGGAAAAATCTGCTTCGTCAGTCATGTATCGAAACATACATGATCGCCTAAGCGTGTATCTCGTATGGCACATAACTAACTGAATACTTAACAAACTGATTTTTAACTTTTAGAAATTTTTTTAATTAATCGGTAACTATTAAAAGTCAATTTTCAATGACAATGGAATGTTTTACCTCATTGCTATTCGACTATTATGCACTAATCGAACAAAGGTATAAAAATTTTAGGGCACTAATTAAAAACGCATTAATTGAATGAATTCCTGTCCATTGATGTGGTTATAGCCATGGATTTTAAAGTGTAATTCGATTAATTTTCGCATCTGTAATCTGAAGTGTCTTCTTTTTATTTCAAGTTCCATTCAGAAACTCTGTTCTCACGCAGTTGTTGCAAAGCGCTCTGGGAGGAAACAGCAAAACAATTATGGTAAGAGATTTAAGTTATTTGATAATCATGATTTCGTTAATCTGTGACAAAATCATTTATATTTTAACTGCCATCAAGACATGAGCTACCATTGCTTTCCACAACTTTACAACACGTTTTCTTCTTTTTCTGTCATCTATCCACACAAACTCTTTAAGCGGGTTACTCAGTTTCCTTTGCTTCTCTTGCTTTCAATATATAATTGAAGTGTTAAATTCACTCATCACCGTTTTCTCACTATGTGTCCCAGACATTTTAGCAGTTTCTTTTTGATTGTTAGAATACATTTTGTTGTTGTTTCTATTTCAATTGACAGCACACCTCCCCGGCTTTTTGATTAGGAGTTCGGGTTTATTTCTTATTTTCTATTTAGGATTGGGTTTCCATTTGCTTCTAAAGTCTACATTAACTCTATACTTCTAACGTCTCCACTGAACTTTATTTATTATTTATTTACTTTTTTTTCATTAAGAGTAGATAGGTTTGACTATCACCCGGTTCACACTCCTCCCCAGTCTTTCTAACAGGAGTAGATGTTTATGCCTTGTTTCCTGCTTAAGGTTGGGTTTTCTGTTCCTTCTGAGGATCTTTCATTCTCTTTCATTTCCAGTAGCCCCTTACGTCTTAGTGGCATTATCGCCTTGCTTGGGGTGAATTGATTTTTTCTAAATTCTCCTTGCTCACCCTTCTATCCATGTTAAACAGCACATTCTCCGCTAGGATCATATCTCCGTGGCAATAAGAATTCTAAATACAACACTGCTAACGTTGACCCCTGTGAGGAAGTCGCCGTTGTTGGCAACTTTTGAGCCCATGTATACGAAAGACGTGGCGAACTCGCCGGGGTCGCTGGCAATGATTATAAGCGGTGGATTATACAGATTATAGATTATAACAGACCAGAATATTGCTTCTTTACATGGATAATCGATAAAATCCAAAGATAATAGATGAACTCCTCAACGATTTAGTCATCAAAGATTATTAATTAATTCATCAAGCATAATTAGGGCATCAAGAATAATTAAGGCAAAATAGTTTATTAGGTCAATGGTGGGGTAATGGGGGCGTGCTAATAACTGTCTCTTCTCCCCAAGCTATGGGTAAATAGCAGAACAGAATAGATCCCCTGGCCTTAGGTGGCAACCGGTCTAGTAGAAGGAGAACTCTGAATTCAAAAAATGAGGGCCTCGTGTACATATTTCGTGGTCTTCGACTGTCGTTCAAAAGAGAGAGTTGGAGAAGAGATGGGCCCCGTCAAGTAATCTGAAATCTCCCACTAAAAGGATCATGGGGAAAAAAAAACAGAATTTGTTTCTCTTTCCCTCGACGATAGGAGAAGTCTGTGGTTAAAAAAATTAGGCGAACGAAGATAATTTCAAAATAGTTGAAGCCGTCTGGATTATCGATTAAGTCTTCAAAGATAATCAAATATTCAACAGAGATAAATCCTTAGATCTTTAAAGATGTCTAATACAAAGGTAACCTAGAATAATTTCTTGTAAACCTTTCTGGAGTCAGTTCGCCATTTCAGAGAGAGGAAAACTAGTATATTTCTCTTGCATATAGGAGGAACGGTGGAGTTATGAATAGTAGCTCGAATTGAGGAATCGGAGAGCCGGGTTCGAATTCCAGTTGAGTTCTTAACTTTCAAATGGAAATGTATTAGTCCATCTCTTCTCTCCTGGCTATGGCGAAATAACCGGTCGAATTGTGTCCTATAGCTATGGATGGAAACCTTTCTAGGAGAAGGTCAAAACGTTCACCTATGATGTAAATATCTTCCCCAACCCTTAATTTGCTAAAACATGTTGCGTACGGCTATACCCCTAAAGACATGGTCAATCAAAGAAGGCTTCCTATAATGAGTGAGAAGGATATCGATCTGTTTCAATTAGCTTTCATCACTGGTACCCACTTTTTTTTTACATAGTTTTATATATTATTACAGACATTCTTTCAAATTTAGGCAAACCAGACTAATTCTCTCCTTTCATAATTTGCTCGTCAAAGATTTCTGAAGACACAAGTAAATCAATCATTTCTTTCTGCATCTCTAGAGAAATTAAAATATTTTAATTATCATTTCACCCCAATCAAGACAATAATGCCACTCAGGTTTATATCGATCCGGGCCCCGTAGTGAAATAGTTTCGAGGATCAAAGCATTGCTCTGTACATTTGGTGACATAGAAATTGTCAATTCAACCAATGTACTGGTCAGTGCGTGTTGAACTCAGTGGAAACAGGGTGACCAACAACTGAGAAGTACTAAAAGTAAGAACTAGATGAGATTTATTATTAATAGTGTAAATAGACGAGATATGTATGCCATCCAGACCGACATACGCCCGATGAAGGCCGGTTGGAACAACTGTCGATGATGACAATAGTCCGAATGCAAATATTATAGGTCATCAATTTCTTCTTTCTTTCTCTTATGTCAGCTTGTGATAAATTAGCTCTTGCATATTTATTTACATGCTTCGACTTTTATGGTTGCCTTGTTCAGACTTGTCAGCTGTTTTATTTCCTTTTGTCTAATATAACATTCTGAGCCTAGCAATTAATTTTAGATAAAAAGCGAAAAGAATGTAACTATTTAGTCCATGAGTCAATATATATGTTTTATATCGTATAAACAATATAAGTTATGTCCGGAAATGGTGTCCCAACTAATTTGTTTAAGATTTACTTTCTCGTCTGTGAAAGATGTTAATAATTTCCACTGTTTTCAAGAATGCAGATGAGCATTTGTCTCCATCGCAATATTGCTCCATCAATTCACTTAGTGTCATAATATCTTCGAGTCTGCTATCAACAAGGTGGGAGTCGATCACTGAACCAAAAATAATACCCTGAGTGACAAACAGTATAAATTCTATTCCTCTAGATCAGCGTTTCCCAACCTTTTCTCAACCAGTGCCCACTTAGGGCACAATCTTTTTTGTCAACGCCTCCCTATCAAATTAAATTTAATATTATACTTAATTCATCTTTCATAGCAAGATAACACATTGGTATTAGTGCAAACATAATGTTAATACTGTTTTCGTTTCTATTAGAAATGCCAATGATAAAATCCTAAAAAAAACTTTTATTTGATAGCTTATCTCAATGTTTTCAATGCGATGGTTGACTTTGGTGCTTACTGACTAAGGCTCTTACTCTAGGATCATTTGATAGCTTATCTCAATGTTTTCAATGCGATGGTTGACTTTGGTGCTTACTGACTAAAGGCTCTTACTCTAGGATCATTTAATAGCTTATCTCAATGTTTCCAATGCGATGGTTGAATGACTAAGGCTCTTACTCTAGGATCATTTGATAGCTTATCTCAATGTTTTCAATGCGATGGTTGACTTTGGTGCTTACTGACTAAGGCTCTTACTCTAGGATCATTTGATAGCTTATCTCAATGTTTTCAATGCGATGGTTGACTTTGGTGCTTACTGACTAAGGCTCTTACTCTAGGATCATTTGATAGCTTATCTCAATGTTTTCAATGCGATGGTTGACTTTGGTGCTTACTGGCTAAGGCTCTTACTCTAGGTTCCATGCTTCTTGGAAGTAATCATAAATTTCCTTGTATTGTAATTTACAGGCGGTTTCTTTGTTCAGTAAGAAACTGTATAACTGCGTTGAAACCACATTCAGCGATACTGGAAGTTGAAAAAGCAATGAAGAAAATTTTAATAGATTTCCACAGCACTTTCAGAAATTTCCTTTTGCAGCTGATATTGAATAATCTTTGAAAATCTGAAAAAAATGCATACTTGCCCATTGCCACCTGAATATGTTTACCACCCACCAAATGAAATTATAAAAGACTCCCAGTGTCCCATTTCAACATAACAAAGACCACTTTGGGAAACACTTCTCTAGATCAGGCGCTGATATTTTAACTGTTATCATCCACACAATCAGGTGCTTGATGGTAAGTTTATCTCAAAGGCTTCCGACAAGCTGTAGCTTAGGGTTGGGTACTACAAAAACTCTCCAGTTATGGCGCCTATGAAAGCGTCTACGGAATTATCGAGTCTTTTCTCTCAGCTAGATCCATGAAGGTTGTTGCGAATGTCCAATCTTCCAAGACTCGTGAAATTAATACAAACATCCCCAAGGCTCTCTCCTAACTTCTACTCTCTTTATGCATTTTTTTATCTATCTACCAAGGAACATTCTCAAAACAATAAGAAGCATTTATGTAGACGATGCCACTGTTTACTGGTGTACTTCTAAAATACAAGATGATCAGAGCCTTACAATCTCTCTTGTAACATAACTGCAAGAGTTCAATAGAGAAATAACTTGGTTGTTACTTTCAATACCTCAAAATCCAAGTTAGTAATGTTTCCTCGCTACCGTTCAAACCCCAGGTTTTCTTCAGTCAGGATTGGCAATTGCATCCTCAATGAGGCTTCGTTCTTTGAACGTCTGTTCGGTTTCAGAAATCATTTATAGAATTCATTACTAAAAAAGCTGGATAATGGTTGGTTTATTCAATCTTTCCTGGAAGTACCTGGATCCTTCTGCAACGTTTCAAGTTTACAAGAATCAGATTTGACTAAAAGTGAAGTATTGCTGCCACATCTGGACTAGGGCATCTCGACTTCAATCACTTTCCAACCGACCTGACGTGGCTACTGCTCTGATAAGCCTTTTTTCCCCCTGGTTACCCGACTACATCAATTTAAGCGTACTACTAAATTGGCAACTTAGTCGCACTGTTTTCTGTTGGGCTAGCTAGATGCAATCGTCTGTTTTACCTTAACACTTTCTTTTCTCGCACTTCCCACTTGCGGAACTCCTTTCCAATTTCTTGCTTCCCTGATAACTACAATCTTCGAAAATTCTTTAACCCTGCTCCATTTTTGGCATTTCCTTAATCCACCACATTCTCAGTCTTCTAATTCTCTTTCGCTTTCACTCTCTGAAAATGATATTTAAAAACAATGCTAATCACTCTTTCGAGCCTTCAAGGAGTTCAAAATTGCCTTGTGTTGGATGGCTTATTTTCCACTCTACAACCTCTTTCTCACAGATGCAATGCTGAAAGCCTGCCACTGTTCTATCGTTATTTCCATGGCAAATTAACTCCAATCTCTACTTCCATCAGTTCAGACCTTTACTTCAAGAACACGTCATGCTACTTCCAGAAACTCAAATCACACTTATTATTCGGTATTTCAAATATAACCCGAAAGATCCACTCAGACAGCTTATTCTCAAAGATAGCCATCTTATTGAGCAGACACTCGCCTGGGGCTTCTTTAACCAATTTCCTTCTAATCTCTTCAAATCAAGAATTATTCGTTATCTATATCCTTCTTATCCTCATCATCTCCACTTCCTGTCCCATACTCATCCATTCATATCACGTACCCCATTCTTCGATTTTAACAGGAATTCTTTACCTTATCTCAAGCTTTGTATGGGGTGAAATTTAGTAAAAAAGATATTCACTTATTTTTATTTAATTATTTATTTATTTGCTAATTTTCTAACAGAATGGCTACACACTTGAGTTTCAAATAGACAGTTAATTGGGAAAATGTGTGGCTGGATTTTTTTAATTAGTCTTTTTATAATTTTCGGTAAGGAAACGTTTAATCCTAAAATGCTCGCTGTCTAAGTTAAGGAGTGAAAATAAGTTTCAAGAGTATCTACTAAAAGGAGTACTTGAAACTAAAATGGATTTTGCTCCAAAAAGAATAATCGTCCCTCTACGTCTATTTGAAACTCAGGAAATCACCCATATTCACTTATAACCATTATAATTAAATAAATGAAATTACAAAGAGGCATTCGATTTAATTATGATTTCTTATTATTATTGAAAGATTGCAGCTATCAGTCCTGCAGATTGTAATTACGAAGAATCCTTGTCAACCCTAAGATATGGTAAGTTATTTTTCATTCTATTTTTAATTTCCTACAATCAGTTGGAATTTGATTTCCAGTTCAGTTGCTCACAGATTGGTATATCTAAAGTTGCTAAAGTTTTGACATTTTTTTTTTATTTCAGCCGATCGAGCAAAACAAATAAAAACCACAGCGAAAGTGAATGAAAATGATACGGCGTCTCTGATCCGTCAGTTACGAGAAGAAAATGAAAAATACAAGAAACAAATGGAGAAAGAAGGTAAACATTGCTTTTCAATAACAAATTTTTTACAATAGAAAGAAACCAATTACTTCTCTGGATTTCGTTCAATCATTGACATATTTTTCAACTTTATTTTTTCTTTATAATAAATATAATCCGATTCCGTGTTTCTGAAGTTAAAAACAGGTAAATTGACCCCATAGTACAGCTATTCCTATGAAATTTCTTGTTGTACCACATTATCCATTAAAATCTCAATGTCGTAAAGATATTTCACCAAAATATTTCATTTTTCAATAGAAATGAACCGGATGTTTAATCATTGCATGTTTCTTCACCTAATTTCCGTTCCAAAATTTATTTTTGAATTTTGTGGGGAAAAGGGCTTTGTTGTAACATTAATATCATCAAAACATGACATATTGTGTATTCTTTTTATTCATTTTTAATCAATTTCGGTGAATTTCCTGTCTTTGAGACACTTTGTAAACAATTGTTATCAACACCTGCCTAGCGTGTGTACCATTATCTATTGCGCTGAGTGTATTTGAAATCTTCCTGTTTCAAATAAGAGGTTTTTTAAGCTCAGTAAAAATTTCTGAAAAGGTGTATTTGTGTATAATACACAGCCCCATTTTGCCTTTAATTTTTGTTCAAAATTTCGTGTCTTATACAAAAGTAAATACGGTAAGTTATTCGCCTGAACTCCAGGTTCTTTTAGGTTGGAAAGAAAGTTCTGTGGCACTTGAAGATGAAAAATGCTTCTTTAGTAATAGATTTAATCAAAATAATATTTTCCCTCATAATCGATAACATAATTCAACCTAACTGTTGGTTCCTTGGCCGTTGAATTCTTCAGGTTTTGATGCAAAGAAATACTGAATATCAATGGATGAGGCAAACTTTCATATTTTGTGCTATAATATTTTCCAGTATGACACAGTCGTGGTCTTGTGTGACTGTGTTGTCGTGCATATCTATATAAATAAGCCGAGCACAATTAACATTTGAATCTGCTGGGTGCTATTACGAAAGGGGAAACGACTATTCCGCAGTGAATATTTATTGCGTTTCTGAATGGTTAATAAAGAAATAAGCTAAGGGGGATAACAAGGTTTGTATTTACTCAATACATCACATCTCCCCTCTTGAATAAGTATTACTAATTAAATTTATGTGATTTAATTTTTGTGAACAATCACCAAGGCAGGCTATCCGCATGTTTGATTGGTATTATCCTGGCAACGTGCTTATGTGATTCTGTAACGTGCTGGTTTGTTGATTACACGACCACTTTTCGACAAAGTTCTGTTAGAATCTGATCGCGGCTCATTTGACAGTGGCTTCTTAGCCGCTACTGGTTCTTTCTTTCTGGGTTCCCAGGACATTAGTCTTGTTCTGAGTTGGAACTGATGACCAGCCTCTCTCGATGTTCGCATATTCCTTCAGTTGCTTCTATATTTTCTTTTAGCGTTTCCAGGTAGAGTCGGCCATTGGAGTGTGGAGTGCACAACAATAGATCGTGTGCCAGTCCACTGGCAAAAGGGCAAACTGGGAGTCAACACTACTTTGGCATCGGCCAGGCATAGACATCAAGCATTACTCCAACAGCCATTACCTGACACTAATAGACTGTGTGGTGACCGTTACACCGCCAATACTCATTGAGTATGGTATGTTAGCTTGAGTCTGTGTTCTGTGAAAGGGGACCACCTCGTGAGCTTCTCACAGATAATGACACCGCCTTCCGCAACCGGGGTTTTTGACCTTTTGCCGAAGGGTTGGGAGTGCATTTGCATGTTCCGGCAAGAAATAGAATAGCGGAGCGGCGTCACAGACGTTTCAAGAGGATTGCAACCAGGATGAAATGTACTGTCGAAGAGGCTACCTACGACAAAGACCTAAGACAATGTCACCCATAAAGATAAAACTTCACCGCTGACTGCGCTCTCAATTCAAGTCTACTGATACAAGGTTCGGCTTAAAGGGATTGATTCAGTGCCTCCAATGATATTTGAGGTAGACCACAAACTATCCAAATAGAGAGACACTGTTTGGGTAAAAGCCCCACACAAATGGTGTACAACAACTTTCGGAAAGGGATTAACTGATGGACTTGTTAGTCCGTAATCAGACTTGGGGGGGGGGCGGAATGTCCCACCATGTCAGAGACCTTCGTCCTTCTCTGAATTCACGATCTTCAATAAATAGTGAACATGATATATCTGAAAGTAAGAAGAAAATCCCCGTGAGCATGAATAGTCCAGAGGATCCCACGGAAGGAGAATCACATGGGGACGAGATGGAAGAACGCGAACCACCCCCACTTCGGGAAAGTACTCGACGGTGGAGACCCGCTCTAAGTTGTCATATCTGTGATCAGAAGATAAGGAGGAGTGAGATGAACTCGCGCCAGTACAGATGTAAATGAGGCCCTGTATCGCGTGTGGACATGTCTATCAAAACTAATTACATCCGGGTTTTCCCCCATTAGCAGCAGAACAGCTTGACATGTCCGTATACAGGCTTCTCTGCAACTTGTCCAGATCCGTGTTTCTCTTAACAGTCTTCTCTCAATGAAAGCAATGGTAAAACCAAGTGGACAGCTGGTGAGACTCGGTGACTTGTCAAGTCGGGCTCTTGTATATTTTTTTCCTAAAGTCGCTCGCCGTGCTGTGGCTTATGAGACAGTTTTATTTGCGTTCCATCCATTCTCTTTCTGTTGTTCCGTAGTTGGATGGGGAGCAACTTCATTGTTAGGTGTTTCTCCTAACCTCACCACGCCCTTTCTGTGTTTTACAATAGGAATATTCCAGAATTAAAAGTTGCTATCACATAAAGAAAAATTCTATTTTTGTTTCTCCTAAGATGTAATGGCTGATATTCTTATAGGTCAAGCGGCCTCACAAGAGCAGCTTGAAGAATATATGAGCCTCTTGAAAGAAAATCAAAGAAAGATGGCCGAAATGGAGAAGTCATATGAAGAACGACTCAAAGAAGCAGACGACAGGGCAAATAAGGTTAGTATTTAGTAAAAATTTCAATTACTAACTTTTAGATCATATATTTTAGTTTCGGTTGATTATTTTTAGGATTAGATAATGGAGTGTTTTTCGCCACTTTCTCTACGGTTTTTTTATTATCTAGATACCATCTGTGATTAGATGGCTGTTAACTCTTGGAATTCAACCTCCATTATAGATAAATCTTACTTTACTTCCTATGAGTTGCTAACCACCCAGTTTATCCAGATTGACAGGAACGTATTTTAAGGAGAATAAGGACTACAAATAAACTATTGACGAGAGATCAGAACGAGATAGATATCATTTTGGCGAGAGAGAATGAGAAAGGTCTGGAGTATTTAATACTGCCAGGATATACAGAATACGAAAGAATAAGAGAAAAGCGGCAAGTTGATAGGTTTGAGCAAACAGATAAATATTTTCATGGTAATTGTTCTGATGAGCTTTCCTCTTTATTACGTAGACTTTATGAATTTAAGCGCCCTACTAGATTGCAAGATCTCGTCATTTTACATTTGGAATGGATAGATATAACCGTAAGTTCTATGCTAACAGTTTCTTCTCTCACACTTCCCGCTTGTGAAACTCTCTTTTTTGTTTCTATTCAACATGGATCTTCACAAATGTAAATCTAATGTCAATCGTTATCTTCTATCTTCTTATTTCCTGCTCTTTTATTGTTCCCTCACATTAATATTTATTTTCTTTTTCTCTAATATTCAGTAACGAATTGCGTCTTTGTGGCTTTATTGCCTTGTTTGGATGAAATGAAAAAAAAACAGTCGTAGAAAGAAGTATCCCCCCCAAAAAGTTGGGTCATAGAGAATATTGCGAATGAGATGACAGGTTGGAAGCTGTGGAGAGATGCAACCGACAAACGATATTGAATATAGGGAGAAAGGACAGAAAAAAGATTATTTTATTGTCTAAAAAAATTGATTTAAAAATTTCTTCATCTTAAGGAATTTTTCATCTTATGAAATTCTTAATCTTAAGAAATTCTTAATCTTAAGAAATTCTTAATTTTAAGCAATTCTTAATCTTAAGAAATACTTCATCTTAATAAATTCATAATCTTAATAAATTCTTCATCTTAAGAAATTCTTCATCTTAAGCAATTCTTAATCTTAATAAATTCTTCATCTTATGAAATTCTTCATCTTAAGAAATTCTTCATCTTAATATATGTGAAAACTATTCGTTAATATTTTCTTATAATTAATGAAACTTACTCCTAAGAAACTATAAAATCGACATTATATCTTAGACTAGTGAGAAATTCTTAATATTAAACCAATAAAAATAAATCTGATAATCTTTGGAAGGTCTGCTCTCTGTATCGCTCTAGTATCTTGAGAAGATTCAGTTCAGGCCGAAAATGAAGTAACGTTGTCATATTTGGGTGCGAACTGCCTCTCCAGCCTTGATAAATTCCAAAAGTGCCTCCGAGCCCTTGTGGGTGACGAATTTTTCTCCACTCTCAAACCTCTCTCTCACAGGCGGAATATAGCAAGTCTCTCGCTGCCCCATCGTTACTCCCACAGAAAGTGCTCGGACGAGCTACATTCCTTGGTTCCACTAAGGCAAACTTTCACGGCAAGAACACACCATGTCACTTACATAGTAACAAACCACCCACATTCCCCGCCCCGTATTCCATCGATGAGAAGTAGTTCCACTCGGACAGCTTCGTCCCGTGAACCACTGTTGTCGAATCGACTGCGAAAAGGTTGTTTCCTCTACCACGACAATCTCAACCTGTTTAAGGCTAAGCTTAACAGTTATCTTCCCGTCCTATCCACACAAATTACGTCTTAACGTAACTCTCTACTTGAGTGGCTCTCGGGCCTTACTGTAAAATCAATGAATTGGGTTGTCAGGGAAATTTATTATTTTTCCCCATTATATTCTTTTAATTATGTCAATAATATACCATCTTTCAGTTTTTTGTCAATATTCCACTAGCAGGTCACTAGCTTTGATGGTAGAAATCACCGCGTTTTGACTATAAGAATACATAGAGCCGCGTTTTCAACCCCATGTTGCTTTTGAATGAAACTGTGACGTCCCTACAGCCTTCGCTCGCTCCTCGCTGCTTCGTTCGGGTGACGTCCGCCTGTCTGCGTCAGTCGTGTTTTCCCGTCCTGTGACGACCAACTTTGGTCGCGGCATCCAAATGTGATGTTCTAACCTTTTGGTGATTCGGATGGGAATCTGTTCAGATCCGATATCAGCCTCGTCGTTCCCAACTCGCTTCCAACGTCTGGTTACCGAAGTAACTGCGTTGATCTCCAGTCCGCTTACCCACGTTGTGAATTGATCTTAGGCAGACGAAATCAATCAGTCGTTGGGGCCGTAATGCAAGTTGAGTTCAAATGATGGTGGTATCGCACAAATATGTGTAAAATAAAATAAAATAATAACTCAGAAGTTCAAGGTATCAAAAAAAAAAGGATAACAATACTTTATATCTGGTTGCTGGATACATAGGACTGCATCTAACTCCCGACCCGCTATATGGGTTGTGACACGTTGTTTTTGTTAGGTGAGTTTTAACATCTTAAGTTGTCTGTTCTTTAAAAAATTGGTTCTTGGTGTGTCTTCAGGCGATAGTCGTAAAACTTATTTTGGTGGTATGGATCTAAGTCGCTCTTCAAAAATAAATTGTTCTTGGATTGAAGGTGAGTTCGGAAGTTGCGCGAATCTTACAAATCAGCTTTGCGAGGCCCACTTCAACTGCGAATTGGAAGTTGATCCGAACTGGACTGAACTGGGAAACTCTCTCATTTTCGCTTGCTGCGACTTTGCTTATATGGACGCCGACCAAAACCGGGGGGTGGGCTTTGTTGGGGTTTGAGGTTCCTTGATAATTCCAAATCCACAATCCCCTTCTTTTGTTTTCGGTCAGGAAAAATTTATTATTTCCATTTTTGGAAGTTTTCTCTTACCCCTATCTTCAGAGGGTGTCAACGATCCTCCCACTTCTTCGCAGTAACATCTTATAACTATCCTCTCTAAGGAGTAGTAGCAGGCCTCCTCCCCTGCATCACATGATCACCTCCGCCTGGCTCTCGTTAACATTCATCCAATGGTCGATCAACAGTGTGAGCGTCACCAGACTAGCCTTGTTTCTTAAAAAAATATCTTGCTCAAAGAAAAAAAGAATTATCTCCTCTTTTTTTTTCTATTTCCTTTCCTTCTTTTATTTTCTATTCTCTCTTCTTCTCTGGCCGCCAACAGAACAATGCGACCAGTAGTGTGATAACCTCAATTCTCATCTGGACTTCGTCAGTCAGATTTTCGCCAATTATCAGAGTGGGTGGTCGTCCAGCAATTACGGCCAACCTTTCCGATAATATTGTTTCGCTCTTATCGCCACATTCCAACAAAACCCAGACCTTGTCTAACGATATCTTTCCCTCGACAAAGACTTAACCTATTTTCCTTTGTTTTCTTTAGCTCGTTGGTGGTCAGGCAGTCCCGTGACACATTTAAATGTTTATCTATTCTGTCCCGGAGTTTAGCTAGCCGATCTGGAATTTGTCAGTTAGATTTTCGCCAGCACCAAGTGGCTGTTATCCATTCTGCCCCGGAGTTTAGCTAGCCGATCCGGAATTTGTCAATTAGATTTTCGCCAGCACCAAGTGGCTGTTATCTATTTCCGATAATATAAGTCCGCCACCACGACACAGTCAATTTTTATCTATTTAGAATTTTCTGCAATGGCAATGAAACCTTTCACCATTTGTCACTATCAAAATTGCATTTCTTTCCCTTCTTTTCTTCCTTTTCTTTGCTTCCCAAATGTCACAAGACTGTTCTAAATGCCGAAAATGGATCTCATTTTCTTCTATTTAATTTGTAAAATTAGAAATTTAGAATCCACCCATGAATCGAATATTAAAAATGTTAAAATATCATTTTATAGAATATGCATAGAACTCATACATTTTAATCACCAGTAAAAGGGAAGAACATTTTCTAACGCCATTTAAAGACACACCGCTTGGAACGAAACTTTTGTTCCAAGCAATGATCTATCTATCTATCTATCTATCTATCTATCTATCTACACACACACACACACACACACACACACACACATATATATATATATATATATATATATATAATTTATTTTTGGATATTACATCGAAAATATGTTAAAATCGCTACACAATTGCAGTCGTATTTCGATGCGTATGAAATGTAACTCATCAGGCGATTGTAAATTACTGGTTCGCCAGTAATTTACAATTGCTTCGTGTAGCGATTTCGACATATTTTCGATGTAATATCTTAAAATAAATACTATGTCTCTACTTTGTATTGAACCTTGTTTTAAATTAAATATTATGAACGTTGGGATTGTACTCTATTCATTCTCATCCAACCTGGACATATATATATATATATATATATATATATATATATATATATTCAATCTGCTTGTCTGAATCATCTTCAAGAAGCGAGACCAAGATCTAAAAGGTCAGGCAATCTAACAGTGATCTCATTTCACAATCCTCACACTTGCTCCATATGTGGCCTCCTTTGTAAATCACTAGTGGGTCTTAAATGCCACTTAAGATTATCGCACAAACTTTTATAACTGAATCAATAAGCTGTCAGATCCTCATACTTCGAAACCGACAGGAGAGTCCATTATATATATATATATATATATATATATATATATATATATATATATATATATATATTTATATATATATATTTATATATTATATATGTCCGGTACTTATCGGAAAGCGCTCAATATCAGTGATAGAGCTAACATATTTAGTTGGATTTATTTAAATTTGTGATCCTGGGTTTCACGCTATTTGCGATCATTAGACAAACTGATTAATTTTTAAATTTTGGATTTATATATGGTTGCGTATATCGGTGTTTTTATGATATGGGGAAGAAAAGTTGTCGTCGAAACCTCATGATACTTACGCAAACATACATACACGCACGTTTACTCATTGACGTACGCAGACATATATACACGGACGCTCACTCACTGGAGCTCACACAAACATAAACATATATGAACATTATATACGCATCGATGTGTCGTTGCGTGTATAAATACGCAATTGTTCGTTACACAATCCAACATTGAATACAAACTCATACCAATCAAAACTTTATATATATATATATATATATATATATATATATATATATATATATATATATATATATATAAAAAAAGAAGTTGAACATGCAACTGGAGTCTTTAAGAATAGTTTTATTTTCAGCTACTTTTTCCTATATATTTTACCCTTGTGGGATATATAAAAAACCACCTTAATTTCTCTCTTTCTCTCTGTCTCTCACACACACACCCATATATATGTATGTGTGTGCGCGCGTGTGTGTGTGTGTTAATGCACATACAAATGTAATATATTAACATAGTTTTTCAATATGCTGACCTTTGATTGTGGGCAGGGACTGAAAAGCGTTATAAAAAATTGTCTCAGAATTTCTTCTCCACGTTTGTCATATTTTAACAAGGAAATTTCGTCTCTGCTTTCAGATTGCTAACTCGATGGTTGAAATTGAAAACAATAAGAAGAATTTACCTCACATATACAATCTGAATATGGACCCACAACTTACAGGGCACATTTTCTACTTTTTTGAATCGACTCCCATTGTGGTCGGTAAAGCTGAAAATGACGCCGACGGTAGCATTCAATTAAAGGGACCCAGGTAATCTATTTTTAACCTTCCTTGACTAGTACAAATACTAAGCTTTTTTTATGAGAATAACGAGTGTTCGACTGAGAGATAAGAACGTCAAGCTTCCGATATTGGGACCCGGGTTCGAATCTCATCATAGTCGATTTGTCCGGTAGGTAACTTCTTGGAATCGGGCTGGATTTTAGCGTTTGGCACTGTTGGAAAGTGTTTGAAAACCATTCCACAGGTTGACCTAAGGTTAGAAGAAACTGTTCTGAAGCGGTCGGCGGTTGTGCTAAAATGAAGTATTAAGTCATCGTGGCTGAGTGTTTGTGCGTACTATCCTTGTTCAAACTGTTGATTATACGCTATCTCCCAGAAACGAAATTGGCTGTGTGGGTTTCGAACAAACGCAAATGTACCTGAGTACACGTCTTCATCAGGGAGATAATCTTGCCGTTCCAGAAGACAAGCATACTGGAACACTAGCCAAACAGTGGGTAATAAGCTAGCGAGATCGATCGGCATTTAGTGTCCCACATATGAAAGCCTTGTGTCAAACTTAGCAGAAATCTCTAACTTTTGGTCTTTGATCTGCGAATATATATAAAACATTGTATGCTTTCACCCTACTACACTAATAGAAATTGACTCAGGCGAATGATGCATTCATAAGGTAATATGTAAAGATACAGTGTAGCTGTAGCATCAATGTGGCGCAGACAGAATTTAAAGGTAATTATGTTTAGGGATCAAAAATATGAAGTAATCTATCCTGAGTATCGGTAACAAGAGTATACTAGAAAATGTGATCTTTGGACTGGCTTCAGTGTGGGGTATTGGAAACTGGAGAATTACAGATGTAATAAAAGAATAGAACTGCTGGCCGATAAGAATATTAACCACCCAATGAAGGTGAAAACTGCATCAAATCAAATCAAAATGCAGTTGTAATATTGGCATCAAGTCATCGGTTGCTGTTCCTCATCTGGGTCAGAAGACACCAACCTAACATGCATCATATCGCCTCTCTTCCAACACTTGTGATCAGACAGACGTGTTGGTTTGCGGAGGAGGCCAAATGACAGTTGATTGTAGATTGTACAATTTCCTTGTGGTTCTGTGATGACTTTGTCAAGCATCACTAATATAACTGCGGTCTTTCATGACGGGCGTGATTTAAATAGATATGTTGCATACTACATAAATCTTTTTTTGTTCGTAGTCTTTTCCAGTGATAATGACGGTTGGTTGTAGATTGTACCTTGTAGTCCAGTGATGACTTTCACTTGTAAAACTGCAGTCTTTAATGACGGGCGTGACATAAATAGATATACTGCACACTATATGTGCATAGTTTTTTGCTCGCCATCTTTTCCGGTGATAACGGTTTATTCCATTAAGGAAATACAATTTCGCCATTGCCCACAAATGACTCGATACACATCCCAAGAAAGTTTGGTTGATTTATACATGCACCGCTGGCTGCTGCTTTCGCCAGATTTAAACACCTTCAACGCGTATCTGTTGACCATGTTCACCATAGTCTATGAATATAGAATACAGCGCAGTACGTAATCTGTTCAATGAAACAACGTTAAAGATTAACACTCACGAGTCAGAGACTCTACTGAATCTGACTATATCGCCAATACCACCAACAGCTGTTCCGTAATTCTTCAGTCTTTGATATCAAAGGCTGGCAGGGAATATTCGGGAAAAACATGGTCGCCTTTTATACGTCGCATTGAATATTTTGAGCCTTCTGATTGGTTAACCCTTCTATTGGTGAACTATAAGATGATTCAGCTCATTTTGGCTGGCTCACTAGTACATCAGGATACCCAAAAACTCCAACAGTATCTTGCCTCTTTTATGTGCCATGTTCCTTTAGCATGTCGACGGTCATGTCTCTCCACAATTTCTTATCTTATTTCGTATCTTGAAGTAATGCTTGTCTCCTTACTCTCCCTCCCAATACCTGTTCTGTCATCCATTTGCACAAATTCATAGTGGGGAGTTTACTCGCTATCTCTCTCTGTCCTTCTTGTCTTTAGTATGACCTTGAGTAGCAATTTACCCAAGCCCTCCCCTTTTTTCATTATTTATGCAAGAAATGTCTTCTGATTCTAAGTATAAATCTTCTTTTTGTTTACATTTCCCTTGAAACAATTTATTACTCATATGTTCCGTCCGTGGTATCCTCAGCATGTTTCTGTAGAACCACATGACTGTTACCTCAGGTCTTCTCTTTATTTATCCTCTTTATGGGGCAATAGTCCAATTGTCAATATTCTTGTATTATTTCAGACTATTACTATAGACGCAATGTTTCGTCGGTTCATTATCAGTTATCCATTGATTGGCTGATATTAATCGTTGTGCTTTTGGTGCCTTTGTCTCTTTAATAACATCGATATCAATCAAGATGAGAACAATTGTTCGAAATAATACAATAATAATATTCTTAATATTCTGCTTAATTTTTGGAAGGCCTCTTTCGCTTTTCGAATGTGTGTATGATACTTTCCGTCCACAGTTAAAACATTTCCCAGATAGTTAAAGTTGTATATTTGCTTGGTTTTGCTGTCTCCAATTTCGAGTTTAAATGTTGGGCTATTTTTTCTTCTTAAAGATCACACACCCTGTCCCCTTATAATTGATGGTTAGTCCGTTTTTCGCTCTTTCCTTTCCTCCTTTGTCTGGGAATTTCTGCACTTTATATTCTTTTCTCTGTCTGTATATTATATACTTGACAAAATCCCCTGCATTTATAGTCAGAAAAGCACAAATCAGTCCTGGAAAGTCCTGGAAATACATAAATAGTTATATCCATTTAATGATTCAGCACCTTGAAGATTCGACCTCGAATCATGCAACGGCTTTTATTCACCCGAAGTGAAGAATTATAACTTAAAAAATAAGTAATGTCTTTGGCTTTTTAGTGTATAAAGGTTAACAATATGAACTACAAGCTAAATTTTGGATGATAAAAATCTTCTGAGTAAATTTGAAATTTTGTCTCTTAGAAAACTGATAGAAAATGATCCTAATAGTTTCTTTCTCAGCATGTTTGTGGAACTCTCTCCTGTTTTTTTCCTCAACTATGATCTTGAAATATTTGAATGCAACGTTAGTCATCACTTTTTGTCTTTGTGAAGTCTCTTTCTCTATTCTCCTCCCTCCTCAATAAAATTTTCTCAGTTTTTTTTCACTTCCAGTAACCAGTATTGTCTTAGTGGCTTTATCACTTTTTTTAGAATGAAATGATTAATAAAGAAAAAAACTGTTATATGTTTGGTTCAGGAATATCTGTTAAATTCAATTATCACTAGGTGTTGTTGTAGTCAGCTAGGTAACAAAATGTACTATGGAGACACTGATTATGTAAATTTTTCATCAGTTTGGGTATTAATCTTATTTCAGTATTATGGAAAAACACGCTATTATTGATAAAGTTAATGAGACTGTCACGTTAACGCCGGCGGCTGATAATGCTCGTATACTATTGAACGGTAATCAAGTGACACAAACTGTGAATCTCCATCACAATGACAGGTAAGCACTTTGTTCTTTTATTGTCTGTTTTTTTTTTCTTTCAACACTAATACCGTCCCCACCCTGGTCCTATAACCCTTTTCCTCTATGTTCAATATCTCTCATCCTTCCACCCACCACCAATCACAATTTTTAAATATAAGGTTATTTTTACAAAAAGTTTCGCACAGCGAGAAATCAAACAGGGAAAGGAATTTTTCTAACAATTCCACCTACAAGCAGGACACTTCCCAGCCTCAAGAACTAATGTTGGATAGTCTCCACCACCCCTCTATTTATTTCTCGCATCCGCTGATGAAGAATACAGACATGTTCGAAAATTCCGAACATGGAACCTCTATCTTCGTGCTTCATTTTTGTCACGTGGTTAATATCAATAAATTTTTTCGTACAGATTACATCGGTACCCTTTCGTTTGCCTTTTTTTTATTGACCATCTTATCTCCCTATTTTATAAACGATAGGAAGCACACGTGTACTCGTTTTTCTAATTATATATATACATCTCTCTCTCTCTCTCTCTCTCTCTATATATATATATATATATATATTTTGTTGAATTGATGTGAGTTTGTGACCCTGCGTTTCACGCTTTTGCGATCGTCAGCTCCATCTCTGATATTGAGCGCTTTCTAATAAGTACCGTGCATATAATATATAAATAATTTTATATATATATATATATATATATATATATATACACACTTTTCACTTTATATATATATATATATATATATATATATATATATATATATATATATATGTGTGTGTGTGTGTGTATATATATATGCATGTATGTATAAATTCCGTATATTTTGGCAACATATTTTCATTTAAACATGTCTGATTAAACACTTTAAGGTTATGATAACTAAAACAAATAATATAAATATTTCCCAGATATACTTAGAAAGCATTGTCGTTATTATTGCTTTTCTAGTTTTGTCTGTGTTTTGTTTGTTACAGTTTCTTAAGATTATGAGACCATCGTCCCTGTAGAGTTCTGTGTCGTTTTTATCTATTATTTTGCCCAGTTCGTGTAGTAAGTAAATGCCTATGATTTCGCATGCCTCTGCACCGTCAAAGCTTCCCATTGTAGTGTCAAATATCCCATCTTTCTTTATCCATGCTTCTTCATTGTGGAATAATAATGATTTACGGGAGTGCTTAATGATGTTGATTTCGCTTGGTTTTATTATTATTTGTTCCTGTAAAAATCAGCTACAGCTGCACCGAGAGCATGGCACAAATAATAAAAAAGCACAATAGGAAAATTATCAACAAACCACACGAACAAATTAAACCCACGTGCAACTGCAGAATAAAGAACGAATGTCCCTTAAACGGAAATTGTTTACAAAACAACGTAATATGCCAAGCCACGATAAAATCACCAGATAATGAAGAAAAAAGTATACATAGGAGTAACTGAAGGACCCTGGAAGCAAAGAAATTATACACACAAAACATCTTTCACAAATAGTAAATATGCGAACAGTACAATGCTTTCTAAGTATATCTGGGAAATTAGAAACAAAACGCACATCACACCAAAAATATCTTGGAAGATAAGGAAAAAGTCATCAGCCTACAACAACCAATCAAAAACATGCAAACTTTGCTTGGAGGAAAAAATAGCTATCATTACTTTCCCCGACCAAAATAAATTATTAAATAAAATATCCGAGCTCATCTCAAAATGCAGGCATGAAAATAAATTTTTACTACGTAACCTAAAAAATGAAAAACGGAAAAAATAAAACAAAAACAAATAAATACACTAATAATATAAAATAGAAATAAAAAAATAAATAAATACTATGTTGCTTAAAACCAAAAACCGAAAAGAGAAAATATACAAATAAATTGACCTAAATTCATCCAAGTAAATAAATAGACAAACCAATCCCAAATTAAAAACTGTTCCCGCCAAAATAAGAGTTAGAATGAACTACAACAACCAACCCCAAAATTGAACAATTAGCTTTAATTAAATTCTCAAACCAAAACAAAACTGTGAAATAAGTGATATAAACAAATTTTTACTACGTTAATAGATAAATAAATAAATAAAATAAGAAAAAAAAAACGAGCAATATAATTTGACCCAAATAAATAAACAAACGACTTCCGGTAAAATAACCGCCATAATAGAATACCCACAATGCACCACTAACCCGTATATATATAAATAGCCGAGAAAAATAACAGCATATGTGGCCTGACGATTGCATATAGCATGAAACAGACTGTCGCCTCTAAGTGTTGACTTCTATGTTCACTTTTATATATATATATATATAGATAGATAGATAGATAGATAGATAGATACAATTTTAATGTTCTTTCTTCATGCCACTAAATTTAATATTCAGAAACTTTCGTATCTCCTTTGTAGTATGTTTATTCTAAAAGTATTCAGATATTTTTATACGCTCGGTGTAAACGTATACAATTATTCATATATATATATTCTATTTCCTTTTGTCAAATGTTTATTTCTAGGCTTTTGTTCGGAACGACACAATATTTTGTGTATGTCAACCCGAACGAAAGAGAGAGATCCGGGCAATCGTACCCTGCAGTGTCTTTTGAAATGGCGCAAGAAGAAATTGGAAAACAATCTGGGTTCGGTGAGATTGGCTCAGGTAGGATTTCTCTCACTGAATCTCGTGGTTTTTTTATTTTTATTTTTCAAACACTTGCACCCCCTTTAAAATTCGAGACTCTTGGCAAAATTAAAAAAGGGTCTGTGATGTAATCGATCATGACCTGGCATCTCGACTTCACTCACTTTCTCACCATTATACCATGACTTCCCTCTCTCTTTTCTCGAAATATTTTCATGGAAACTGATGAGCATTCCTGATAGGTGCCTCGAATGTAAGAATTTGAGCGCACTACTAGATTGGCAAGTAGGTCTCACCATTTTACTGTTGAATCAAATAGATGTTCTAGTCTAATAGTTTCTTTTTTCACACCTCTCACCGGTGGAAATTTCTTCCGGTTTCTTACTTTGATTCCACCAACAATCTTCAGAAATTTAAATGCAACGCCAATCGCCATCTTATGTCTTGTTGAAAACTGTTCTTTTATAGTCCTTTCTTGTCACTTCTCCTTAAGAAAGCCTTCCGTTCTACTTCACTCTCGGTAACTCCCTTGCTCCCTCGTGGCTTTATCGCCTTGCTTGGGGTGAAATGATCAAAACAAAGACGGCATTTTAAAACGTGTATAATTTTTTTAATACGTATTCTATACTCGTTTGCTGCGTTAACCAGGTTTATGAATCCGTACTAAACATGACATCACCCATAAGATATAGCTACATTCCCAATAATGCCAGGATGTAGCTAACAACGCTTGACTACAATATTGACCTTTGATTTCTGATAAGGACTAAAATGGCTGAATGTACGCGAATACGATGAGAAGAAATAAAGGAATACAATTTTCTTCAGCTATGGTGTGCAACTGTTTATTCGAAAATTGAAATTTAACAGACATTTTCGTTCGAATTTAATACAACCTATTTAACTGAATTATTTCTGCATATATATATATATATATATATATATATATATATATATTATATATATATATATATATATTATGTTTATACGTTATTTTTAGAGATGCAATTTATTTAAGTAAATACTCTGTTTTTAATTAAACCGTATAAATTACATTTACCGGCCTGAGAGAAATTTCGTAGAAAATATGCGTTCTCCGACAAGAATCGAAACTGTATTCCTTACGGAAACTATCATTAGACTTTATGTGCTTTACCATTCTGCTTCAGACCAGCGACTCGTTACCAAAATCCGAATTACTGTTTATAAATACACATTCTACGACGATTTTTCTCGATAGATTATTCTGTTCAAGAAGTACATATATATATATATATATATATATATATATATATATATATATATGTGTGTGTGTGTGTGTGTGTGTGTGTGTGTGTTTAGGCATCAAATCCTCTTTTAGCTATGTCTGATTGAATACATTATAAACGTTATGTCTGCCTATTTTGATAAAAATCCTTTCATATTCACGATAATTTTTCCGTATATTACAGTTAAATGTGGAAAATATGCACTGTAACAGATGGAAAGTACTTGAGAAATAAAGGTTATTCTCACTGTTTACACAGAATTACATCAATTTATTGTTTTATAGATGTAAACGTCATTTGATTAATTAGTTGAGATAATTTAATTTCATTCATTAGTCAGTTTATTTATTCTCCAATTTGATCCAGTTAATGAGCCTTTAACTGAATCCCATATCAATCTCTTGATCGATTAATTTGTTGAAAGAAAAAAGACACAGATGAACTTTCTTGGGCACATAATGGGGAAAGAAGGCTTAGAAAATTTGACACTCACAGGACACAGTGAATGCAGTGGGGAACAGGGCATAACCTACCTAACGATACTGTGTAAGAATTGGTTGGCAGAACAGAGATTGGAAGAGATTGCAAAAAGAACAGTAAAGGATTGGAAAACAGTGAAGTGCCATAATTACCTACACCGTGAAGGGAAAAAGTTAATAGAAGAAAAAGAAGAAATGCTTTATTTCTTGGTGATTGTTTAACAGAGATGATTTGATTTCAGATGATACGCTCTTAAGAGAAGATTTATTGGAAATCTTGCCTGCCGTTGACGAGGTGAATGCGATAAGTGAAGAACTGCATAGCAAGAAAAAGTTTTCCATAAAGATCTTGCACCCGATGTCCTGCGGGGATTTGGATAACCAAAGCCAAGTGAGTTTTTTTTTATTATTTATTTTGTCCCGCTATTGTGACATTTTGTCCCGCCACTGTGACATTTTGTTCCGCTACTGTGATATTTTATGGATCATTTTTTTAATATTAGAGATTTAAAATTGCATGTCACGGTTTAATTTCGATGTTTTAAACATTTGCAGTATATTTATGTTAAACTTATTTATGTTAGCTATATTTCAGTCAAAAGTAAGTCATATTTGTTGTAATTTAGATTAAATAAATGTTCAATAAACTAATTTTCCTCAGATAACTTTTTAGAAAAGCATATTTTTAATAATTTTTTTTAAAAAAGAGAATTATTTTGTGTTGACATATCTATTATAACCGAATTTATACATTTTACTGATAAAGAGAAAAAACGATTTTAATCAATCTATGTTCCATTTGAAATTAACCGCAGTATTTTGCGTATTGGCTATATAAAATCTATCAGCTTCGAATTAAAAACAAAATTAAAAACTCAAATGCATTTGTTATCGATTTTCCTTTAGGCCACTACTTTAAGTAATAAACTACTAATCTAATAATTACCTATTTTAAGTAATAGCCTACTATTCTAATAATTACCTATTTTAAGTAATAGCCTACTATTCTAATAATTACCTATTTTAAGTAAGAATCTTTAATGAATCTCTATAGAAAATCTATAAAGTCAATGAATTCTTGTACTAAATGGCTATATATTTGTTAAGGAATTTTTTCAATAAACGTCAATGGCAAATTATTTCAGTTTTTTTCCATTAAATAAATAAGAAGTTAGAAAAATTTTTTAAATTATTATTTCAGGTACATGTGAGAGTTCTTGACCTAGAAAGCGGGGTTCAATGGTTCTGGAACCGTCAGAAATTTTTCAATCGAAAATATATCATGCAAGAAATTTACCAAAATTTTGTTAATGGAGAAGACTGGAAAGTTCCTCAGGTGAGTAACTTATACGAATTCTTTGAGGAAACAAACTCCCTTCAGGTGTTATGTCTCCTTCCTATCTATCTATCTATCTATCTATCTATCTATCTATCTATCTATCTATCTATTTCTTTATATATATATATATATATATATATATATATATATATATATATATATATATATATATATATATATATTATAATTTTTAGATACGGACGAAAACAACTTGCTCACTACAAAGATACATTCTTGTTTCTATGCAGCTGCATCACGACTGAGGAGAATCAAAAATGCTTATCCGTAATTCGGATATATGTTCATAGATAGATAGATAACATAAAGAAACAATTTATGCAAAGAATTAACAATGTTAATGTGATTAATGGCGAAATCACTACGTTTACAAGGCTTAATGAAATATTAACTTACTATCAATTCTTTGAATAATAAAATCATTATATTCGAGTTGTTGTCAGATGGAAGACACATGCCAAATTCTTTCAACAATTTCATCTTCAAGGCGCAATTTTTTCCATACATAGGCAAACACTAAGACGAAATATGTGTAAATCGAATTTTTTTAAAATATGCTATTGATTGACAGTTAAAGATATGTTTTGAAGCGAATATATAATAATTCAATTATAAAGAGCTTATTATCCAAGGAATTGATAGTAAGTTAATGCCTTATTAAGTCATGTTAGCGAAGTGATTTCGCCATTAATCACATTAACATTGCTAATTAATTATTTGTATAAATTGTTTCTTTATGATATAAAATATACACTGCACACTCTAATATATATATATATATATATATATATATATATATAATTATATATTTGAGCAGCAACAGCCTCCTAGACAATACAAATATCATAGCCTCATCCACCTGTAAATAAAAACTAAAATAATGGAAGCATTATTAACAAAAATACATACGTAAATAAAAAGCCAACACTCAATAACATCAACTATGAACACGGCCACAATGTAAAGACCGTGTTTGAAAATAAAATATTCCTCTAACTGTAGATACAAACATAAACAATCCATACATTCTGTTTAAAGATTTAATATTCGCCAATTTGTTGGGTGTTGATATGAAAGCTTATAATTTTCTATAAATTATTTTATACAGCTTATATTGGAGATTATGTTAAGAGTTGATAAGAAGGAAGTTTTGATACATTTTAATTATGCTCAGTAGACAGTTTAAAACTTGTGATGAAACGAAAAATTAGATTTATAACTTTTATTCTATATGCATTATCATGACACATTTAATAAATGTCTTTGAAATAATATCTAAAATAATGATTGATAATGAAAGTAGAAACAAATAACATATATAATTTTTTTATCTTTAGGAACAAGATCCCTTTTATGACGATCCGGAGGCGCCATTTTTGATTGGTACAGCATCAGTTTATTTGGGAGCTCTTGCATTTAATGTAAGTATATTTATCGATTTTTTTCGTGTAACTTACTCTTTTTGTCTAGTTACACGTCGACTTATCATCTCTCAGTTGCGTTTCTGTCTTTGGGCAGAGTGCGCTCAGGGGCTTCTCTGTCAAAAGACAGAGAGGCAACTGAGAAAATAATCAGCTGCCCGAGGCCGGCTCTTCCATTGCAATAGAGGGGGGGTGTTTGCATCGAGGCCATCGCAACCGACGGTTGCGTGGACTGAGGGGAATTTTTGTTCCTGTCCGGGCATACGCGCTTGGGTCCCCACCTAAAAATAGACCTTGTGTTACATCTCGTCCTAGTGGGGGGACAGAGTAAATACCGTATATTTATCGAATTTTGTGTTTTGGGGTACGCGTTAAAGATCTCAATTTTATGTAATGGAAATAGATAATATAGAATGTTATCAGAAAGATCGATACAAACTGCAGAAGGACGTGTACCTGTGTTCTCTAGATGACGCAAATGCATTCGATAAATTACGTCACAAAGATCTGTTGGAGCTGCTCAGCAACCTTGACATATTTGGGAAGGATATTAGAATAATCAAGAACCTATACTGATAGCAAACTGATACGGTTAAAAATGAGTTCAACAGATATACAAAAATAGGTTTAAGACAAGGAAGTGCCTTCTCACCGGATTATTCAACCTATACAGTGAGGCGATTCTGAGAGAATTTGAAGTCGTATCAGGATAGATTCCTAGCGGCCACAAACTTAAAAACGTGAAATATGCAGATGATAAGAGTGTTGATATCAGACAAGGAACGAAAACTGCAAAAGGTCCTACAGAAGGTAGAGAAGAAAGGATTAAACATCAGTTACGGGAAGACAGAATGTATGGTTGCTAGCAAAAGAGACAACCCAAAGTGCGAATTACAAATCGGGAATACAAAAATCAAACAAGTACAAAAATTTAAATATCTAGGAAGTGTTTTAACTGAGGATAGAAAGTTCGACACAGCAATCCGAAGGCGCATTGGGATAGTGAAAGATGCATTCCCAAAGCTAAGCAGAGTATTAAGAAATAGAAAAAAGTTTGCTAGAAACAAGGAAAAAGTATTAAACTGTTACGTGATATCTGTCCTCCTGTATGGCAGTGAGTGCTGGACAATCTCCTCAAAGATGAAGAATTGACTTTAAACAAGAATAAATGTGGATCTACAGAAGGATGCTGAGGATACCGTGAACCGAACATGTGAACAACGGTGAAGTTTTGGAGAAAATGGAAACAAAATGAAACTTATACTTAAGATCAGGAATAGACAGTTAAGATTTCTGGTGCATATAATGAGGAAAGAGAGCTTGGAAAATCTGATACTCACAGGATAGATAGAAGGCAAGAGGGACAGAAGAAAGCATACTTAATGAGCTTGAGTAAATGAATTGTGGAACAGAGCTTAAGAGAAATAACTGAGCTACAAATGACGGGAAGTTGTGGAGAGTCATGATCGCCTACGTCTTGAGGGGACACGGGAATAACGTAACATGCAGGGTGTGTCAGAAAACATGCATAAACTGCTCCTATATCAACCGTCGCAACGTTCTGGGGATGACGATAAACTACTGATTGTTGCCGGATGCAGTTTATCGTCATACCCAGGATATTGCGAGATTGGAGGTTTTGAGGAGCATGGAACCACCTCTTAATTGCTGTTGTTCCCAGGTCCACCCTGACCAGGGGTGGTAGCACTTGATAGGGTCCCAGTTATGGGCAGATAGTGAACATTTTTGTAGTGAAATTACCAGCAGTACATTTTTATATAAAAAAAAAATACTCAACAATACATTTTTATAGCAACACTGAAGACAACACATACATTGTCAAAAAATTTAAAAAAAATAAAAAACAATTTATTATGATTACTTTTATTTCTTGTAAAGAGAAAACATGTCTTCACTTACTTTGTAAGATTATTTGGTAAAAAAATCAGGTAAGTAATTATAATCATGAAATAATGTCTTTCTCTTGAATTAATTATAAACTTTGAATTTTCATATCTAGATTTCGTCGTTAAATGACCCATAGAGGTTTAGATATGCTGCTAAACAAAAACAACCAATATATGTCCAGATTTCTGAGATGAGGTATTATGTACACTATTTACATTATTCGGATTATTGTCCTCATCTTTGTCGCCATATTTATTACAACGATTCGGCTTTCAGTATCTGTCTATATTTCTGAGATGTGGTATTATTACAACGTTTCGGTCGTTGTACGCTCCGGCCTTCTTCAGGTGGTTGGAATATCGACATTCCAACCATCTGAAGAAGGCCGGGGCGCAAAACGCCCGAAACGTTGTAATAAATATGGCGACAATGATGAGGAAAATAGTCCGAATAATGTAAATAGTGTAAAAAACAACCAAACCAAATCACCCGTCACATGAAAACCCACAAGCAAGCTGAAAAGAGTTTACAAAACAGGCCATAATCTTTACAATACAACTTTGTTTGCTACATCTTCAATAGACATTGTAATTCATTGCTGGTTTCAAGAGTCATTGTCATTCCTACGAGAATTAAAAACATTGACTGAATTTGTCAGTGATGCCCCTATCCTTTTAACGAGCCCTCTGCCATTATGCATATCTAGAATGTTTTTATGTGTCCTAACTTTTGTTAATATTTGGATAGTCACACAAAAGTAAGTAAATTAATGCTTAATTTAATTTGACATCACTCATATTTTCGGTCAAATTTAATTTTCTCACCGTAATTTCTAAACCAAAATGAATTTATCTAGAGTCGCAAGATTGTAAAGATTTATTTTATTCAAGTACGAAACGTTGATAGAGACTGATATAATTACAACTGAAGTACGAAGTCTATCAATTGTTTTTCTTTCTTTTTAATATTAGATGCAGTGTCCGTATCAAACTGACATTGTGGATTATGATATCAAAAAAACTGGTATTCTTGACGTAAGTATCATTTCAGTACGTTTTCTAAATTCATTTTTGTGAAAGAATATTCAGTAAAATTTTCTTTTTATATTAGAACGAAGAAAGAACTTAAAGAATTTTTTTAATCTCTTTTGCAAATATGAAATTTAGATATTACATTTTGTAACTGATTTTTGCAATCATTGCCAGGCCACATCAATCCTGAGTGAAGATTATGAAAAAAACATGATCAACGAAACATTTCATATATATATATATATATATATATATATATATATATATATATATATATATATATATATATATATATATATATATATACATATATGATAATGTTCTATATATATATATATATATATATATATATATATATAAATGTAATAGGTTGGTTAATGAAATTCTGTGAATAAAAAGATAAAAATATTGTCAATAATCTAATAATATTTATTTTAAATGAGTAGTTTTTTTTTGAGTAAACCGAAGTACGAAAAAAATGATTTTAAAGAATTAAAAAATGGAATAACTTTGTCCTTTATTAACGAGACGAGGAAAAAAAGATTGCAGTTGCACACTCTTTTCCGGGAAATTTGTTGAGGTTGACATTATCACTGCTGTGCTCCGGTTGGTTTTTACGACCTTGGCACATACAAAGTAATCAGACCTCCAACTTTGACGTCTAACAGCGGAAACATATATTTAGGTTTTTGTAACAAATGCAAAAAGGAAATTATGTCACCGTAACAGGCACAGAATTCTGTCTTCGGTTCAATAATCATAAAAAACACATCAAAGACAACAACAACAATTTCCCTGTATCTGTACATTTCGATCAACCAGACCACAGCATTGATAATATCAGTTGCGTGGTTTTAGCGTCTTCATTTAAATGCCAACAAGAACGCCGAAAGTTAAAATACGTTTTCAAAATAGAATAATACATTAAAGGATTAAACATGGATTGAGGTTTATTCAGAGAATTGTTCCATCAGAAGGCCTTCTGCAAACCCTCTACAACCCTAACCCTGCAATTTCTTAAAGTAATACAACGCAACAGTGGAAAAAATTCTTCGGGAAAGAGAGTCCTACTTCATTGTTAATTTCTAGTCTCGTTGGTAAAGTACACAATCGTGTCCGAAAATTGCGACTTTAAAATCTTTCTCTTCGTGTTTCGGTTTAGCCAAAAAGGCCTACTAATATAAAATAAATATTATCACTCTTACTGACAATATTTTTTATCATTTTGTTCTCTTTTTATTCTTCAAATTTCATTCACCGGCTTATTAAATCTACATATTATACGAAGCATATATGGACTATATATATATATATATATATATATATATATATATATATATATATATATATATATATATATAAATATATAAATGACAATAGGAAAACTGTAATAGTTGCCGACGCGTTTCGTCCAATGTGGATTTTCTCAAGACAAAAAACGAAATCAATTTATTTAAACAAAGTAACTAATAATAACAAAACAAAATGTCCTTAGTAACTGGAAGAATTTAGAGAACGCTATTTTCATACTGTTAACTGAAAATTACTTCAATTACTGCCACGTGTGGAGATATTGTTATTATTGCTGTGTTGACTGATTCAACCATATTCTTTTGATTTCACAATACTGTTGTGTATGTTTGTTTATGAGAGCATTAATTTTGTTAAGAAAGGTGAAATAGGAGAAAAGCCTGGGCGTAGATTAATATTTGGTTAATATTCAATGGCGGCACTCTCGAGGATTTTCCTTCTGAGTGAGTTATTTTCTTTTTTTTATGAGTGTAGCATTTTTAAAATCAAAATTATGGTTGAATTTATTTCTATGTATGTCTACTGCATTAACTTTTAAAAAAAAGTTGTTTTTTTGTGAAGTCTCTTTTGTGCTCATAAATGCATTTTTTAAATTTCTACTTGTTTCTCCAATATACTGGGATGAACAGTTTTGGCAATTTATTTTATAAATTCCCGTTTCAGAAATATTATTGCCATTAATGTTTGAAGATCTTAGTATATCTATAATGGTTTTGGAAGTGTTTGTGACTATTTTAAGATTATTCAGATGGGATAGGTTATTCTGGATAGTGGACGTGACAGAATTGGTCGGTAGTATTATGTTTCTGTTTTCATGTGATTTATTATTGCGGATTATGTTACTAGTTTTGTTTCGTTTGTATATTTTGTATGCCTTTCTTCTTGCGTTGTGGATGAAATTATATGGATATTGTAGGTTTTTCAATGTGTTTTTTATGTATTTTTCTCCTTTAAGTAAATATTAGGGACTACAGATTTTTAATGCTCTTAGATAGAAATCTATAATAATTCCAGATTTAATTTTAGAAGAGAGGTTCGAGTAGAAACTGATCAGATCATTTTTGTTTGTAGCCTTTCTGTAAACGTCAAAATTGAGATCGTTATTATTTCTATGTAACAGAATGTCCAGGAACGGGAGAATGTAGTTGGGTTCAGTTTCGAAAGTGAAGTTTATTGTAGGTTCAATGTTGTTAAGTTTGGAGAGAAGATCCGTTTAATTGGTGTTTTTTTGTTTTGTTTTTGAAGTATTAATAAAGAGTCGTTTATGTATCTGAAATAGGAAGAGTTTGTAGGGAGAATATTTTTGAATGAGTCACTTTCTAGAAATTCTAAAAATAGACAAGCAAGAACGCCTCTGAGAGGAGATCCCATTGGTAAACGAAATTTCTGTCTGGTTATGATTGAGAAATCAGAGAGTTCGAATTCCAGTCGAGTTCATTACATTGACTTACGTGCAAATATCCTGTGAAACGGAATGACATTATCTCTTCTCCCCACGGTTATGGGTAAATAGCAAGAAAGATTTGGTCCTTATAGCCTTGGATGGCAACCGGTCTAGGAAAAAGACAACGGTGAATCCAAAACCTTTTTGAAGTTTGAAGTACTCTTCTGGTTATAACTGAGGAGGCTGAATGCTGATACTGAGCTGATAAAGATAGACGGACTGTCAAATCGGAATTTGTGTTAAGATTTCTTTTCGTCTTTCCTAACGTCAATGTATCCGTTGATGTGCTATCTGAAGCTAACTTTCTCTGTTCGCAGGCGGAACTATTGTCTTGTAATTCAGACGGAAACGAATATCAGACAGATGATAACTACTGTATGGAACCTGAAGAAATGGTCGGTAAAAGTTTATATTTCAAAATTAAGATCATCAGAGCTCAAGGATTACCAAATAAATTTACAGTAAGATTTTTCATTACTTATCTTTCATACTTGTAGTATTTTTAATACTTTCTTTTAAAAATTTCAAGCCATTAAACCATGCACGAAGGATCTTTTACAATATAACAAACTCAAGTCATTAGTTCCTCCCCGTAATGAGACTTCCCATTGGATCAGTTTCATTCATGTACCCTTTATCCTTTATATCTATTTTTATCGCATAAGTATTTTGATTGAATGCGATACACTCATGGTCAAAATCTTAAGATCAGATACAAAAGGGTTTAAAAAAATACTGTTACTTTAATCGAAATATATTTGCGAAACATTTACATTTAATTTGAAAATGTAGTTTATCAACAAACAAATGAAAATTTTAAACTTTAATTAATTTAAACAAACATTGAAAAAGTATTTTTGGAGGGTGGTCATAAAGATAAGACCATGTGTGAAAAAAAAAAAACTATTGGACAAACCCTTTAGAAGTAGTCAGTGTGCTCATAGCTTCAGGCGTGTAGACATCTACAAGTCATTTCTAGCATCAAATTTCAGATTTTAAAACGGCTAAGGGTAAAATTTTAACAAAGTTCGAATAGGGCAGAATTGTTGAACTTCAAAGACATAGTCTTTCGAAAAATTGGCCGTAGCAGAATTGTCATTGCTAACTTCATTAAAAATCCAGATGCGTATGCGTCTAAAAAATCAAGTTGTCCCCGCAATAAAATCTCACCATCTCTAGACAGACGCATTAGGCGAGAAGTTAAGAGAGATTCAAGCCTAACATCAAATCAGATAAAATCGAATACAGATGCTGAATGCATCCCTCGAACAATTCGACGACATTTAAATAAGAAAGGGTTGAAAAACGTGAAACGACAGCAGAGGGCCCATTTTCATTCTCACGATAAAACCTCCCGTTTACAATTTGCTTCCGATAATCAAACTTGGAATGTGGATAAATGGAAGAAAGTGTTGTTTTCAGACAAGAAAAAAATCAACCTTGATGGTCCAGACGGTTTTCAGAGTTACTGGCATACAAAAAATGCCCCCAAAGAAATGTTTCTCAACAGTGTAGGTAGATCAATTATGGTCTGGGTTTCATTTTTGTACAATGGAGCTCTTGAGTTAACAGGAGGTAAAAAGTCGTCAAACAGCTGCTAGTTATATTGACATGTTAAGAAAGGCCTCGCTAATTACTGAAGGTCCTCGTCTATGTGGACAAAACTGGATTTTCCAGCAGGACAATGCTGCAATCTGCAACGGAGGAGTTTTTGTTTTTATGGAAAACAAAATTCAGCTTTTGAAATATCCTCCGTGCTTTCCAGATCTAAACCCAATCGATAATGTTTGGGGATAGATTGCAAAAGAGGTTTATAAACATGGATTGCAATTTGAAACTTTGGATGCTCTTCGTGCTGCAGTTTATGCATCCTGGGCGAGCATCCAGCCTCATACAGAATTTTCGAAGCAATTCGCAAATATGGAGGATATACTGAATATTAAATTGTCATTGATACATATTTGTACTGTATTTTCTATTTTTATTTATCTGGTCTTATCTTTATGATCAACCAAAAATACTTTTTCAATGTTTGTTTAAATAAATCAATTAAAAGCGTAAAATTGTTGATAAAGTATATTTTCTAATTAAATGTAAATGTTTCGCAAATATATTTCGATTAAAGTAACAGTACTTTCTATTTTTATCCCTTTTGTATCTTGTCTTATGATTTTGACAAGGAGTGTATCTTAGACCTCATTTCTAAACTCACTGAATTCAAAACAGAAACATTCAGTTTACTTGTTCTTTTTACACTACTGATAAGAAAGTCATTCTTTCTCATCAAATAAATTTGTTGGAAGATTTCTTTTTTCGTTGACAGACATCAAGCCTTTTGCGTTTGGAGGGGGAGTGAAATAGCATTCCATAATATATTTTCTTTGATTTCAGGAGATGTTTGCTAAGTTCCAGCTACTTTTGGAAAAGGAGAGTAACCAGACACACAGCATAGCAAATACTATCAACCCAGAATGGAACTACGTCGCCATGTTTTCTTATCCGGTGGTAACGAAACAGGTGAGTGAAATCAATTGAATAAAATCTCACAATATTTCCGAGATGAGGTATTATGTACACTATTTACATTATTCAGACTATTGTCCTCATCTTTATTGCCATATTTATCACAACGTTTCGGCTTTTGTACGTTCCGGCCTTCTTGTGGTTGGAATGTCGAACTGAAGTCTTTATTTTGCTCGCTGGGATAGACTGTTCTAGTTTCACGTGCCGTGTCTAATGGAAGTCAGTTATCAGTTATTTCTTCTTAATTCACCTCTCCAAGTTCTCAACTGCCTGAAACGGGTATTGAACTCACAATTCTTTGGGTCCTATCACTGGATCTAACCAACGCCTTTATACACAAATAGATCTAACCAGAGATAGATCTATTGAACTCACATTCAATACCTGGTTAAGGCAGTGGAGAACTTGGACAAGTGAATTAACAAGGGTTAAATGACACCCATTAGACATGGTACGTTGAACTAAGAGTCTACCCGCATTGCTGAAAATGTAAAATATATTTCTTCTTTGATAATATTTTTCATTTGCATTGCCAATAAAAGAGATTGTCTCTTTCCATACGGAAAAGGCCATAGAATGAATCGGCCAAAACGCGGGATAAAAAAAACCCTTTTTAAACGAATTAGTTCAATTATTTGAAAATTTCATTGAAGGATAGAACTGAATGCCTACATCAGATTTCAATTTATTTTTTAAAATAAGGAAAGAATAAAACTGAATATTTTTGGGTAGAAAGATTTTACAAGATTGTTGCATACTTTGTAACGTAGCTCCCCTTTGCCATTTCTATAAATATTTTTTATGGTGATTGTTTTGATGAGCTTTCCTCTTTCCTGCCTCGATTTTACAATTTTAAGTACAGTACGAGATTGGCATCAAGGTCTCATCATTTTACAGTTGAAATGGCAGCTAGATGTAACCGTAAGTTCTATGCTAACTGTTTCTTCTCTCGCACTTCTTTCATGTAAAAGTCACTCCCAGTCTCTTGGTTTCTAGTAAACTTTGATCTTCAAGAATTTAAATGCAATGTCAATCGTTATTTTCTAAAATTGTCTTCTAAAATTCCTGTTCTTTTGTTGGTTTCTCTCCTAAATAATGTTTTTGTTTTTCTCATATTCTTTGAGACTGCGTTTTAGTGGCTTTGTTGCCTTGCTATGACCACATATGGAGATCACCGCCTGCATTACCAATAAAAAGAGATTGTCTCTTTCCATTCGGAAAAGGCCATAGAACAAATCGGTCAAAACGTGGCATAAAAAGAAAAAAATGGGTGAAAATGAATTAACATTCTCATTGTTGCTTTGTTATAGCATTTTGCCTGGCTTTGCTGGCCCGTCTTTTTTTTTTTTTTTTTTTTTAAATATCAAAAATGGCTATTCGTTGGAAGAAAATAACTTTGAAGAGGCTGACAACGATTTCTGATGTGCGCGTCCATTTTACTTTGATAGGATACTCTACTGTTAGCTAAATAACAATTAATATAATAAAAAAAAATACACCAAGAACCATGTTGTATTGCACGCTATTACATGTCTATACTGCTTTGGGAATAACACTAAGCACTTGTTATTTCATATCACGCAAATACTAGGTACTAATATTTCAGGTGTCTTCAATGCGTGTGACATAAACGTCGTCAGTAGGCGATGTTAGTTTCGTAAAAGCGTTTAACTAAAGCCGCAGCAGCGGAAATATTGATTGGTGATGTTTTATGTCAGCGTGTAGCAATGACTAGTTCCATTTCGATTTTGATGTTCTTCATGAATTATATTAATTATTTTGCTAAATTTGTACTTTTGAAAAATTGTATTAATTCAATTAATAATCTTTGCAGCTTGTTGACTATTTGAAAGACCAGTGCCTTTTCGTCCAAATTTGGGGTTCTCATAAACTTGCTCAAAATAAACTCGCGGTTATCAACAAAAGCGATAAGAAGACAGAAGCAAATTCAGCAAATTCAGAAAACTCGGTTAGTTGAATAAATATTTCTTCAAATAAATATTCTGTATTCAATTCTCTTTTTATATTCTCCCACTTTTTCTTCCGTAAGGCGTAAACCTATCTTTGTCAACTTTTTTCTTCGGACACTAATGTTTGATATTTATCTATCTTTCCCTTTCCCCCTCTCCCCCCTCTCTCTCTCTCTCTCTCTCTCTCTTCCTCTTTGACACGCATACACGCAAAAACATTAACACACACACACACACACATATATTTTCATTGAATACGACAGACAAAGGTGCTTTTATTTAGTTTTATACAATTTCTCATTTAGTCTAATATTTTTTTTTTTTTTGGATGATAAATTATATAAAAACTGTCCGAATATTCTTTTTATCCCAGCGCTTTCGGCTATACATTTAGCCATTTTCAAGGATTAAATATATTAACTGTTAAATAAGAAATTGTTTGTTGTATATGTGTTTTATAAAATGTTTTCATTTTTCAAAACACGGACAGTATTTATATAATTTATCATCCAAAAAGAAAAAAAATTATTAGATCGCATGAGGAATTGCATAAAAAACTAAATAAAAGCACCTTTTCTGTCGTATTCAATGAAATATGCATGAAAGAAGGATTGCTGCCTAAATACACAAAATATATATATATATATATATATATATATATATATATATATATATATATACATGTGTGCATGTATTAATGTATTATGTTTTTCACGCTTTAATGAGCGCGTGACCATGACATTATATCCTAGAGAAAAAAGATTCCATGAAGGATAATTTTTTTTCACGTTCTAATGAACGCTCAGCACATTGTCAACTGTTTGCATTTAAAAGCATAATGAATAAAATTACCGTGGTAATGGATAACAACGCACAACTTTGTAAAAATACTTGTACTATTGAACAATATATAGTTTTGTATTACTTGCACTCCTGAAGAGGATCTTGGAAAAAGATCGAAACTACTTCGGAAATTAAAATAAAAGGAATTTAACATCACACTTCTCTCATCCTTTAAAATCAATACATGGAAGGTTATTCGTGAGTATGAACGGATTTTGTTAAAAATTAGCAGACATAATGTTTGTAATTTATTCAAACATGCCTAAAGAGAATTTGCTTCCTAAATGCAGAAATTTTAATATATATATATATATATATATATATATATATATATATATATATATATATATATATATATACGTGTGTGTGTGTGTGATCTGATTAAAAAGTATCGGGACTGGTGCTATAAAAATGAAACTACAACACATATCAATTCGGCATTTAATCTCCTTCGAAGTAGTTCACTTCTGAAACCGCAGACATCCAGTGTCGTTTCCATTGATGGAAGAAATCCTAAAACTCATTTTGTGGGGTAACGAGCAACCCTCTCAACATCTTGAAATCTTGCTCCTTTTAAATGGGATCTTATTTTTGAAGAGGAAAAAGTCGTAAGGGGAGAGATCAGGGTAATATGGTGGTTGCAAGACATGAAGAATGTTGTGTTTGACCAAAGTCTGCGATACAGTCCATGGTCACTGATGAAAGATCTTCGGTGTGATGCGACGACCACACTCTACACATTTTCCTTCCAGTCACTGCTATATAAACACTGGAAGTGAGCTAGAACGTTATGACGTTGGGTATGCGCGACAGAGTTCAACGTCAATCTGTGCCAAGCGGCTTTACTCTACATACTTTAGCTTCGTTACAATAGCAACTGTTCCGATACTTTTTTTTATCAGACCTCGTATATATATATATATATATATATACAGTGTAACCCGGATATAAGAGAACTGGATATAAGAGAAACCCGGATATAAGAGAGATTTTCTCTGGTCCCAAATTAGAGCCTGTGTTAATGTATATAAAATAGACCAAACTCGGATATAAGAGAAACACGGATATAAAAGAAACCCCGATATAAGAGACTTCTTCTCCGGTCCCGACAACTCTCTTATATCTGGGTTGCACTGTATATACATATATATATATATATATATATGTGTGTTTGTGTGTGTGTGTGTGTGTGTGTGTGTGTGTGTGTGTGTGAATAAAGACAAAAGAAAAATTGAGCCGATGCGTTTCGTCTTCTGATGAATTTTATCAAGGTAAATATGGGGATTTTATTTTGCAACAAGTATTTTTAACCAAAATTAAGAATGTTGTTGGATTTTCAAAATTTTAAAATTAAGAGACACTCATAAATATTCAGAAGGTTGTGGTCGAGTTCAATTATGGAGGATGCTAAGTGAGATATTTTAATGTTTAATAAATGAAAGTGACTAAATGATGTTGAATTTTTTATGCAATTAACATTTAAATAATCTTATCATGAAATAAATGTATGTATTATATATATATATAGATAGATATATAGATAGATATAGATATATATATCTTATATATATTAATACACACTCATATATATATATTCATATATATATATATACATACATTATATATATATATATATATAGATATATATAAATTATATATATATATATATATATATATATATATATATATATACGTATGTTTAGGTAACATATTTTCATTCAAGTATGTAATTGATTGTTGTGAATTTTTTAGTAAATGCGATTGAAACACGCTCTGTTATAATTATGAATACGCTCTGTTAGAGTCAATTGCATTAATTTTTATCTCAGTAATTCACCCTTGAAGATGATTGAAAGTACTCTGGAAAATAAAAGAAATGAAAATAACTACGGTTTTTACCTTAATCAGATTAATAACAACATTAAGAAATTGATCCGAGAATTTGAGAGGATTAAAATAAAAATAAATAGACATAACGTGTCCAGAATATATATATATATATATATATATATATATATATATATATATATATATATATATATATATATACCAGAAAAAGCTAAAGTATTCGTAACACCAACAAAAAGCTTGTCAGGTAATCAAAGAAAGAGGTAATAGAAAGTAAAACGAAGAGAAAAACTGATAAATGAGAAAGGGAATGTAAATTCAGAAGAAAAACTGAAAGGTAGTCTATATAAATAGTAATAGACAAGGCTTTATTTTAAATTACCAAGACAAAGCAATTTCGCTTCTCATTGTCACGACGAGGTGAATATTCAAGTTTCACGTTGCTACGATCGTCACACGATTTAGTAGTGGTTAGAGCTTTATATATACGCATATTAAGTTATGAAGAACTTGGTAAACCGAATTGGTAAATCCAAGGAGGATGAAATCCTGAGAGCTCAATGTAAAGAACAGAGCTAATATTTAATGAAAAACAGACACTTTAAGGTACCATTACAATAATTTATTTCACCAAAATCCGAAATCCTTTAAAAAGAATTTTGGTGAAATAAATTATTGTAATGGTACCTTAAAGTGTCTGTTTTTTAAATCTATATATATATATATATATATATATATATATATATATATATATATATATATATATATATATATATGTGTGTGTGTGTGTGTGTGTGTATTATATATATATATATGTGTGTGTGTGTGTGTGTGTGTGTGTGTGTGTGTGTGTGTGTGTGTTAAAAATTACTTATTTAAAATATGGTTCCATCGCTACACAGGAAATATCATGTTTCAAATCAGAAGGTAAAATCTTCAAATTCAATTATAGAATTAAATCAAAGTCCCTAGTTGTGTTTCAATTTCAAGCGAATTTTGGAATAACTTAGTTTTATACGCACATAAATTCATAATATTATAATATAATACACACACAGACACACACACACACACACACACATATATATATATATATATATATATATATATATATATATATGAATAAATATAGTTTTAAGATGTGCTATATTTATGGGATAAAGTACTCAATATCAGCGATAGAGCGTATGTAAATATAAATATAAAAATGAACATTGAAGTCAATACTCAGAGGCGACAGGCTGTTTCATGCTGGACCCAATCGTTAGGCCGCCAGCATCAAACAGCTCGTCGCCTTTAAGTGTTGACTTCAATGTTCACTTTTATACACACACACACACACACACACATATATATGATGGACTCTCCCGTCGATTTCGACGTATGAGGTTCGAACAACCCATATTCATAAAATTCATTTATGCTTTTGCCTCTGATGACTTTTTAGACCAGCAAGGGATTTGCAAACAAGGCCACAAATAGAACATGAATGTGGATTTAACGCTGCAGACATTGGTGCAGCTGCCAGTCGTTTTGCTCTTTCTCTGTTTTCTTTCAGTTGGCTTAAGCTTTCAGACTGTAACTTCTGGAGACCTTCAAAACACCTTTGATCTCCATCCTATGCGGTCACTCACTTCATCTTCAAGACTCCTGTATGGTATGTTCACCGCAGACAAGTTACTCTTTCAACTTGTCCTTGTACCTAAGCCAAGGACGTCCGACATTCCTTTTTACCACCTTCAAGCTGACTGTACATCGCAATTTTTGGAATTCTGTCATCGGGCATCCTCAAGACATGACCAGCCCACCGCAATTGCGATTGAATAAGGAATGATTCAATGCCAGATATTTTGCATCTTGTGAATAATTCGGCATTTGATACCTTGTCGCGGAGGCTAAGACCACATATGGCGCGTAGACAGCTTTTTGTGGAAAACGTCCAGCTGATTAATGCGATGTCTGTATGGGGTCCATGACTCAGATCCATAAAGAAGAACGGAAAGAACAACAGCACGGTAGACAAGGATTTTTGTGTCTAGTCGAATACCCCTTCGTTCCACAAGCGATGGCGAAGATTTCCAAAGGCAGAAGTGGCTTTAGCAATCCTGTTAACAATTTCATCGTCAAGAGAACCGCTTTGGTTCACTTTGCTACCAAGGTAAGGAAAAAGGACTTGACATAATTGATATCATGACCGTCGACTTTCAGCTTGCGCGCAGGAAATCTATACTCTGGTGGATTTTGCTTTACGCCTTCAACTTGTTTTGGAGTAGGTGTGGCTGATGCACTACCTCAGTCTTCCTTATGCTAATTGTCAGGCCAAAGGCCCTGCACGCGGCTGAAAAACGATCAAGAAGAACCTGGGCTTCTTCAAAGGATGTGGCTACCAGTGCGGCATCGTCAGCGAAGAGCAAGTCGCGAATAATTTCGGTGCGAAGAAGAGTCTTGGCCTTTAAACCGTTGATGGTTAAATAAGCCACCGGATGACCGAAATTGAAACTTGACACCAGTGTCCAAATCACTAAATGCATGTTTCAGCATCAGTGAAAAGAAGAGCGCAAAGAGGACTGGCGCCATTACACATCCTTGTTTTGTCCCATTCGTAACATCAAATGGATCAGACATCATACCATCTGAGACAACGTTGGCCTTCATCCCCTCGTGAAATGAAATGATCACGTTCAGCATGTTTTCTGGAATACCAAGCCTTCTTAAAACTTGCCAAAGAGCATCACGATTCACAGTGTCGAAGGCTTTCGTCAGGTCAACAAACACCATATACAATTCCTGATTTTCTCACGGACCTTTTCTGCCACCTGACGTAAGGAAAATATCATATCAATGGTGCCGCGACCCGACCGAAACCCACACTGGGACTCTGGATACACCTTATCAACGAGACGCTTCATGATTCGGTTTAGAATGAGCCTAGACAGAATCTTTCCTGCAATTGAAAACAGAGATATCCCCCGATGGTTGTCACAAAACATTCCTGACTCCCTTTATTTTTTTTGTAAAGATGTTTGATGCAGGCATCTTTGTAGTCCTGTGGAACTCGGCCTGCTTTCCATATCTTTACAAAGAGAGCATGGAGCTTTTTTTACCAGCGCATGCCCACCATGCTTGTACACTTCAGGTGGAATTGGATCCTTTGGTGATGGGGACTTGCCAGAAGCAATTTGTTTGATGGATTCCCATACCTCCTGATAAGCAGGTTTCAATGACAATTCTGGAATATCTGGATTCTGAGGAATAGAGGACATGACATCGTCGTCAATGACAGATCAGGTGTTTAAGACGGTTTCAAAGTGCTCCTTCCAACGATTGAGAATATCTGATTTATCAGTTAGCAATGCCTCTCCATCAGCTGTGCTCAATGGGGAAGCACCACTTTTCTGAGGACCAAATACCTCTTTCAGACCATCATAGAAGGCTTTCGTGTTCTTGCTGTCAGCAGCTTCCTGCAGTGCAATTGCCTTTATTGTACCACCATCGTTCTTTCATAGCTCGGAGAGCTCGTTGTACCCCACCTTTACACTTTTGTAGGCCATGTGCTTCACTGTTGCGTTTTTGTCCTCAATCCAACATTTGTGAGACGAGTGCATTTGGTTAATCAGTGCTTTAACTTCATCGTCACTTTCGTCAAACCAATCCTGGTGTTTTCTCTCAGTATTCAAGGACTTCTACTGCTGCAGCTTGAATTGCTTCTCGCAATGCTTTCCAAGAAGATTCAACATCATCAGTTACATCAACACCCTCAAGGTTTTCATCAAGCTTATTGGAGAGCTCAGTTTTCTTTTCCTGGATTTAAGAGGCCGCACATCAATGCGTTTGGGGACTGTTGATCTTGTAACTCTGTGCCTTCGCACATGCAACGACAGCTTACTTCAGAGAAGGGCATGATCCGAAAGATAGCAAGAAGTGTGGAAAGAGCGAGTGATTTTGAAGTCACTCATGTGCTTCCGCTTTGTTATGACGAAGTCAATAAGATGCCAATCTTTCGAACGAGGATGCATCCATGTCGTCTTCCGGTGTACAGGTTGTTGGAATATGGTATTGGTAATACAGAGGTCAAACTCCCTACAGATTGTAAGAAGTCGTAAACCATTTCCATTTACCTTGCCTATTCCATGCTTACCAAGTACACCGGTCCAAGACAGATAGTCACTACCAACACGAGCATTGAGTTCGCCAGCAAGAATGAGTTTATCTTGGTGTCGAACTCTGGAGAGGACATCACGGAGGGTATCGTAGAAGTCATCTTTCTCTTGATCTGAACTGGCTAATGTTGGGGCGTAACAACTAACTAGCGTCACCCTGGTGTTTCCTTCCAATTCTAGGGAAAGAGTTGCCACACGAGCAGATATGCCTTTGGGCAAAGACGATAAGGACTTTGCAAGCTTGGACTTAATGGCAAAACCTACGCCTAATTGGCGGGGTTCATTTTCTGCCTTTCCTGACCAAAAGAAGTCATATCCACCCTTTTCCTCTCGAAGTTGAGAATTGCCAGGCAAGCGAGTTTCACATAAGACAGCAATGTCAACATCATACCTCTGTAACTCAAGAGAAACAAGGGCTGTCTTTGCGCTCGGGTGCAGCATCATTATCCTGGAGGGTACGGACATTCCAACACCCTATAGAGAGATTCTTTGTTGAGGTTTTTGTCGTATTCTATTGTTCTGACTGCGCAACTGGATAACCAGACAGCTGCAGCGGGCTGCCGTTAAAGTGGCGAGCAAGCAATTTTAGGGCTCCTTTTATCGCCCCCTCCCCGGCATGGGGAAAGCAGTGCTATCCCTAAATAGGGCTGCTTTTTCACTGATGGAGGACACGAACAGCACAATTGCTCACAGGTTTGTGCTAGAACAGCCATCTACCATCAGCCGCCACTGTGCAGAGATCCGGCTGAGGACTTCCAGTAATATCCTTTACCTGTCCCCGTCGCTTTCACTCCATCGCCAGTGGACTTCTTGCAGGACAGTGCGAGGTTTTCATAGTGAAATTATGATAAGCCGTCAGAAACCCACACAAAGGATTTGATTTAAGTGGTGATATATATATATATATATATATATATATATATATATATCGATTGAAATGGTGTTTCTATTTTTATTTCAGGGTTTAAATCTTAAGCAAGCGAAGCTCATGTTGGAGTTGAATATCATGAACCGGAAGCAAGAAAAATTGAAGGCACAACTGGTAAAGATTTCTTTTTCTTATCTCTTGTGGCTTGGAATCGTTTCAAAAGTTTTATTTGGTTCCTTTTAAAATTCAGTCTATTTTTTTATAGAAACTAATTTTGATACTTGAAACCTTCAAAGTAGAAATGCATTGGTGCGAAAAAATGACATGTTCTTTGTTGAGCTTTGTCATGGATGTTGCAGTTGTATTAAATAAACCCAAGCAGACAATCACGTTTAAAACCTTTCTTTGTTAACCCAAAATAATATATCAGAATTTCCTTCTGACTCTTTACAAAAGTGTTTTATATATATATATATATATATATATATATATATATATAAAAAGTGTTTTTCTTTGTTATATATATATATATATATATATATATATATATATATATTTATATATATATATATATATCAAGTATCATTCATACAAAAAACAGATATAGAAGTTAATGATTTAAATGGCGAGAATACATCTCTGCAAACAAATTTAATAAAGTACATTAACCCCGAACCTGTAGATGAATGTTATGATCCCTGTTTATAAATTCCAGTTGCATAAGCATTATAAGCTTTCGTCTGTTCCTACAGACATTTTCAGGTATGGAAATAGATTTGTTTTTTGTTTTTTACTTCTCGGTAATAAAAGGACAACGAAAATATAGATGTAATCCGAAAAAATGTTTTTAGAAATGTGTTATTGTTAATTGTAAGAAATTTTTTTTGAATTTTTTTAGGCGAGAATACATCTTCGCAAACAATTTTAATAAAGTACATTAACCCTGAATCTGTATAGGAATGTAAGATGTATTCTCGCCATTGAAGTCATTAACTTCTATATATGTTTTTTGTATGAATGATTCATGTAATGTAAATTGAACTGCACCACATACTTGATATTATGATAACTGATCCGACGTGCAACTTTCGGATAATAACTGTGACATTCCTGTATTTATTGAACAATTTAGTTCATGCCACATTGGCTGAAAAACCTACCAGTACAAAAGAATTCTCCTATTACCATATTAGTACAAAAACGCACAATCTTAAATTTAAAAATTCAACCTCACGTTGCGGCCGCACACTACAAAAAAAATTCTTACAATTAACAATAACACATTTCTAAAAATATTTTTGTCGGATTTTTTCGTTGTCCTGTTATTACCGAGAAGTAAAAAAAAAAAAAAAAAATATTTCCATACCTGAAGATGTCTGTAGGAACAGATGAAAGCTTGTAAAAAAAGACCTTATGCAAATGGAATTTATAAACAGGGATCATAACATTCATATATAGATTCGGGGTTAGTGTACTTTATTAAAATTATGTGCGAAGATGTATTCTCACCATTTAAATCATTAACTTCTATATCTGTTTTTTGTATGAATGATTCATGTAATATATATATATATATATATATATATATATATATATATATATATATATATATTACATTACTCATAACTTCCTTATCTCTTTTTCTCTCTATGTTTTTTCTTCTCTACCCCTTCGGTATCAATATATAACTTTCGTTAAGTTAACCGTTTAAATGTGTCAATGTCTGCTAACTCACTCATGTCTTCTCTCTCCCCCCTCACTTCCTCACTTCGTTAATTTACATATGTTTAATTGATGTGGGCCCAAAGTCTGGACCACAGAAGGAAAACACGGAACACGGATTCGAGGTAAGAAAGATTTATTAAACAAAAAGGTTACAAAGATAGTGTAAGTGTAAGCGGAGCTTACTATGTGCTAGTGTCCAATATTGGTAGTCGTACGCGGATGATACTACGGTATTAGAATACTCTCTCACTCTCTCTCTCTCTCTCTCTCTCACTCTCTCTCTCTCTCTCTCTCTTTCCTCCTCTTCTCTTAGAGTGTTATATCGCATACTTTATATAGTCCTGGAAGAGTCCATGTTGTAGGTATGTTACGGTCTCACCCCCCTTCCAAGACTTTTCTTTTTTTTTCTTTTTGAAAAGGAAAAAAAAAAACAAACTGTTAATACTTTTTTTTCTTGGGATATACGTCGAGTGGTTGAGTAAATTTCCTTTTCCTTCCTGAGCGTCGCACTTCAGGAGAGACTTGGGGCATGTCCAGATCGAAGTGATCGAAAATTACGTCGATCGGCTCTTCACAGCTATTTTGTAGTGATTCCTCCGATTCCTTCAAACGGCATTTTCTGAGCTGGTTCCAGTGGCGTTTGTGAGTGTTTTTCGGTCCTTGGACAATATAGACCAGTTCGCCAATTCTTTGTTTTATGGTGCCTACTTCCCAGAATGTTATGTTGTTTTTGTAAGCCTTGAAAAAGAGTTAATCGCCAGGATTGAAATATTTCTTATGAGGCGATACGGTTTTTTTTTAACTTTGCTTGCCGTGGAATAAGTTTGTCGAAGACAGATTGATTTTCCTTGCGAACATTGTTTCTGCAGGTGAGCTTCCCATAGGCGTGTTCGGATTAGGGGTTATTTAGAGTGTCCACGAACCTTTCGGCCTGGCCATTCGACCTAGGGTGGTACTGAGGCGTTGTAATGTGGTCCACCTGATATGACTTGCAGAAGTCTCTAAATTCACTTGATGTGTATTGAGTGCCATTATCTGTAACTACACAATCTACCACGCCAAAACGCGCGAATCCGATCGTGCTGTTTGTGGTTGGTCTTTTGCATTGTAGGACCTCAGACTATTTTGAATGGCTATCCACAACAATGAGGTCGTACATGTTGTCTATAGGTCCTGCAAAATCGACATGAATTCTTTGCCATGGATGGTCTGTGTTTGGCCATGGTTTGCACGTCGTGGTTGGAGCTTTTGCTGCAAGCGCGCATCCTTTGCATGATTCTATCATGTCTGCTATGTCCTTGTCCATGTTTGGCCAATAAACATAGCAGCGGATGAGGCTTTTCGTACGGTTCTTCCCCGGATGTCCCATGTGAAAATCCCTGAGGATTTTTCTTTGTAGGCTGTTTGGAATCACTACGCTGTCATTGCATAGTAGGACATCATCGCAGAGGGAAAAAACTTCAGGCTTCATGGCGTCCATGACCTGCTGGAAAATTGCAGGCGCAACCTTTACTCCAAAAGCCAGTTTGTTGTATTTGTACAACCCTCTATGGGTGTTTATGCAGAGCAATTTGGAACTTTCTTCTTCCACCTCTATCTGAAGGTATGCGTCCGAGAGGTCGATTTTAGAAAGAAAATTCCAATAATTAGTTTATTGAAATTTTCTTCAGGGCTTGGGAGAGGATAGTGGTGATCTTGCAAAGCATCGTTTAACCCTGTGGAAAAATCTGCGCATACTCGTATTTGATTGGACTTCTTTTTTACGTAGACCGTAGGTGCTGCCCACTCGCTGAAATCTGTTTTTGACAGAATATCTGCTTGTTCGAGTCATCCTAACTTTTTGTTGATTTGCTCTAGAGCAGCGAAAGGGACATTCCGTTTCTTTTTGAATACCGGTTGTGCACCGTCCTTCACCTTGAACTTAGCTTTCATTTAGTTTCATTTCCCAAGGCCGCCAGAAAAAACCTGGGGAAATTGTTGTTTGAGTTCCTTTTTGAGATTTACCAAATTGGACGTTGTACTTTGATCTTGCGACAAAATGTACACATTGGGCAATCCCAAAGATTGAATTTTTCTATCCAATCTATTCCAAATAAGTTATCTGAAGTTTTCAATACGTAGGCTTTGAGCCTTTTGGTAACTCCATTTAGTTTTACTGTAAGTATTACCTCGCCTAAAATGTTAATCTTTTCGCCAGTTACGGATTTTGCTGTTTTATCCGTTTTTAATAAGGTCGGCTTGTTCAATTTTCGCCAAGCACGCCAGTTAATGGTTGAAAGATCAGAACCCGAGTCAAGCTGGAATTTAATGGAATTATTGAAAATATCCACAGTTACATATTTCCTTAAATTCTTATCGACAATATTGTCAGATTGAGCTTGCGTAATTTTATTTTTGGGTTTTCTCGTTCTGTTGGCGTACCAGCACCGAGTTAAAGTATGCCCACTTTTATTGCAATTTTTGCAATATTTTTTGTTCTTAACTGAACAGAATTTCATCCAATGCCATTTACCACAATGGTAACATTGTCTGGGCGGTTTCTTTAACCTATTTGGGTTTTAGTTACTGCGGAATTTAGGAGATGAGATTTGCCTTTTGTCTTTTTGAGGGGAATAGGAGGTAGACTTGCTTCTGATTTTATTAATCTGAGCCACACCTGATTCCTCGATAGTGTTTGAGTCACACTTTACAGATATTACACTTTGACAGTCCTCCGCCAGTTTTTGGAGAGTCAATCCTTGTTCGTTCTCAAGCTTGGTCAGTACCCGTGGTCTGACTTCGGCGTCTTCTGCTGATAATAGACCTTGTGCAAAAATTAAGCACTTGAAATCATCGGCAGTCAGTTCGGCTAGTTTAAAATCATTACAGAGCTTGTTTACCGATGCTGCGAACGTTAGAAAATCTTGCTGGTTGTTTTTGACTGTATTCAGGCATTTCCAGCGTTTGTCGAACAAGGTTGTGTTAGACCCGAATAGTTCCAATAGGAGCTTAATAGTCTATGAAAAATCCAAGTCAGTCGTTTTCTTGGGTAGTATGAAGTCTACGAACCTACTATGTTCATTAGTTCCCTGTTTTCTCAATATTAGACGTACCTTTTTCTTACTGTGCCATTGTTTACAGTCTATGTTGAAAATATCTTCGTAAAGCCTGTAAAATTTGTAATTTGCTGCCAAATTTGTAATACAAAATAGTCACTACGTTGAAAAATAAATAATCAATTGTAAAATAAAATAAATTTGATTTTAATACTAGTTTAATTATTCTGTCTAGCAGAAAACTTGTTTTATACATTTGAGTAAGTTTAACAATCATCACTAATAAATTTGAAGAAAAATAAATTTGCTTAATTTAATACAAGTTTTATTGTTTAAAACCTGTTCTATATAATTTTAGAATTTACTTAACAATCAATTCTCCTAATTTTGAAGTGAAACAAATTTACTTCATTTTATAAGTTTTATTTTTCTGTTTTATAGAATTTGAGATTTTACTTATCAATCGACCCTCATAAATTTGAAGAAAAATTAATTTACTTCATAATAATACCAGTTTTATTACAATATCTTGTTTAAATTTTCTCTAAAGGAATTTGAGACTTTACTTATTAGTCGATCTTCCTAATTTCGAAGAGTTATAAATAATTCATTTTAATACTAATTTTATTTGATTGAAAATATGTTTTATAGAATTTGAAACTTGTTTCATCAATCCTCGTACAAAATCCATTACTACAGCCAAGAAATAACTTTCAAGTTCCAGACTTCAACGTGTGTATGTAATTGATGATTTCAGAAAAATACTTGCTTTACTGTTATAATTAGATTCATATGAGAGAATTTTAAGAAGATATTCGAACGATAGAGTGTCTATATTTATTTTCACTGACGTAATGGAAAGACACTGATATTTTTCTCATGGGAGAAACTATTTAATAGAATTGATCTTTGAATAAAATACCTAAGGAGAAAACAACGAGGCAAGAACATTTTGATATGTCTATTAATGGGCGAAACGAATCGCACAGCCTCTTTTCAAGACTGAAGTTTTTGGGTTTTTTTTTTAATAAATCTAAAAGAGAAAAGCAATTGTTTTAAAGGGAAAATAACAATATTTCACTTGTGTCTGAAATCACTCTGTTTTGAAATTCCCATTGGCTAACACCCCACCCTCCACGTATTTGCGAGTTTGGTTTAGAAATGTGAACAATAGCCCGTGGAAGTTAACAGGGTTGTGTATTTGTGTGTATTTCATGTGAGTGTGTGTTCAACATGAAAACAAAGAAGATACAAGACTACAAAAAATATGAGTTTCTGCTACGGATGTTTATTCCTTTTATGGTAACTGTCATGGCACAAAATTCTCAATATTTCTTCGGTATGTCCGTTTTCTTCTTTGGTTCAGAAGTTACAATAACAACTTTTAAATCGTCGAGCTCAAGTTAACTTTGCGCTAAGTTGGAACATCTAATTCACTTGCTTCATGAATAGGGTTGCCAAAACAGGTCCGAAACAATGTCATTGAAAAATTGAAAATAGAGATTGTGTCCTTTCCGGAAGTGCAGTCATAATATCGCGCATGTGACCAGAAACATTTTCCGGTTTCTTTATAATTTGCATCATGAGAAAATTAATTTATTTTTTTATTCTTTATTAGTTTTATTTCATTTTTCCACACATTCATCCCCACGGAGTTCTACAAATGCATTATTTATTTGAAATAGATGAAATTTTTTAAAAATAATCGTTTTCCTGAGAGAATGGTTTAAGGTTGAGTCTGAGATTGCTCTAATTTTGACGAGTCTCAATCTGGAGTGTCTTCCTCAGCAGATGATTCATCTTTATCATTATTGGTGGTTGGTGTTTCCTTTGGTTTTGTATCAACAAGAGGTAGTCTTGACTGTTCTACAGTCTTCAGCCTGTCCAATTATATATTGTCTTGATTTTTAAAATGGAGCTCAATAGTAAAATACTTTTCGTTTCTACCTGGTACTTTAGACGGTCCAACATAAGGAACGGCTAGCTTTTAAAGGTCGCCTCAACCTGTCGATACGTAACCATTTATTTAGTTCTTTGGGAATAATAATGGTGTGTAGGCGTCCTTCAAAAAAAATTAATTTCCAGTTTCATCATTTCTCGTGCTAATTGCCGAAAATTTCATTGCTAAATTCCATAGATTCCTTATCAACCATGAGCTTTGGTAGTAGCACTGAAGCCCCTGTTATGGCAACAGCTGGTGAACAACCTTTGTCTGTCGGTAGATCACGTAAAGCAGGTAGCACTATTGACAAGGCATCTAACTAGTTTTGTTTTCCTTCCATTGTGGCAGTTGCAATTGTGTTGCCTTTCAGTAATTCCATTATTTTGTGGATGGTATGATGTGGTTCTTCGTCTGTGAAAGAATATTAATTTTTATAATTCACTGAAAAGTTCACTTTCAAACTAACTTTGACAACATGCAAGGGAACTCCTAATCGGGATATTCATACATTTAGAAATGACATGTCTACTGTAGCTTCAACCCATCGTGTAGGTTCGTTTATTCATGTTAGGATGTATCTCAGTGGTGATGTATAGGTGCTGTTGCGATTGATGGTTAGTATTCATGTGTCCCTTAGGAGCACAATTGAATGATTATGTGCTTGAAATGATTTCTGTCCCGTTTATCGTTGGAGAGAAGAAACGTTGAAATTGTCACGTTTACAGAAAAGGACAGTATTCTTGGAGAAAGAAAAAGCACAAAAACAGTCTTAAACTACCACACAGCGTATTAAGTAAATTGATTCAAATAGATTCTAAAAACCGGACAAAATGATTAAAGGAATATTTACAGGCAGATTATATGACTGGACAAGAAATAAAACCGGAGAGTAGGACGCCTGAAAGAATCATCGCATATGCGAGGATCCCCTTAGCAGGCCTAGCATAGAAATGAATTCAATAAGGGAGTCGCTAAAGATGAATGACACCAAGTCTTCAACCATAGCAGCAATCAAAACACGATAGTACCAACAGCAGATTATTTAATTATTTCTTTCTTTTTATGTGCCATGTCCTTTCAGGACGTAGACGATCATGGCTCTCCACCTCCTTTTATTCCTTGCAGCTCTCAGCAACTTGCTTCCCTCTGCTTCTTTCCCCAGACCACGTTCTGTCATCCACCTACCCAAGCTCATCAGGTATGTCACGCGCTGCTTTCCCTTGTCTCTCTTTCTCTCTATTTTACCCGTGAGTATCAGATTCTCCAGGCCCTCCTTCCTCATTATGTGTCCCAGAAACATCAGCTGCGTCTTTCCGATGTTAAGTATAAGCCTTCTCCTTGTTTGTAACCTCTATAAGACCACATTGTTGCTTACATGCATATCCTTAGCATCCTTCTGTAGAACCACATCTCCGAGTCTCTTCTTCATCTTTGTGGAAATCGTCGAAAATTCTCTGCTGTAAAGAAGAAAGGATGTCACGTAACACGTAACTTATTCTTTTCTTTTTTTAACAAATACATCCTGCTGTCTCGCAATAGTCTGTCCAGCTTTTGAAATGTGTCCTTGGTCATCCCAATATGTCTACGGATCTCAGTGTCACATTTACTGTCCTCTATCAAGACGCTTCCCAGATATTTAAACTTCCGAGTTTGCTTGATTCGATTGTTTCCGACCTGCAAATCGCATTTCGAGCTCTCCTCTTACTGATGACTACGCATTCTGTCTTCTTGTAGTTTATACTTAGTCTCTTCTTCACACTCTCCGCCGCTACCTTCTGTAGGTGATTTTGTAATTTCTCTTCCGCGTTTGTTATCAGTACTGTGTCGTCTGCGTATCTTATGTTGTTAAAGTTGTGGCCGTCTTGATAAAAGTATGCATTTCAAAGAAAGAATGAAATTTTGACCAGAAGTATGTAAAGAAATGTATCGTCCAAAAAATAAGAATTCGCCCAATAAAACTAGAGAAATATTTTAGATTGAGTGAATCAATCTGGTTGAAGAATTTTTAATGATATTTTAACATATTTTAGACATTACCATAATCTATCTTTACTTTTGATTCCAAGGATGCATTAAGAAGAATGATAGAAACGGCTGAAGGACTCTCCAAGAAAAAGCTGTCCGTGGCACTTATAAGGAAGATCTATGAATCATCGAATTCCGAACAGATCGAATCAACTCTTGAACTAATAAAAGAAGAGAAAGGTAAATAGTGGTATGTATGAGATTTTGCGATGAATAGAATTGCAACAATAATGGGCAAAAGAAAACGGCCGGTCCTTGAACAATTCTCTTTTATCTTCATATAAGTTCAACAATTGTAAACTTGATGCATTTTGTAATAATAAAACCATTGTAGTATTAATCACTATTTCAGGAATTTGACCGATGTTTAATATAAGTTCCTCAGCCTTATTCAGATCGAAGTGAGTCTTTCTCTCTTTCACTCTCGCTCTTTGATTTCCACAATAATTTTTTTATTTAAAAAAAAAGGGAAATATTCACATTTATATTTGAATAAAAAATAACTGAACCATACGGCTAATGCGATAAAATTGTAGACAAATTATTTTTTATTGATTATTGGAACATGTTTCGGAACTTGGAATTAGGGTAAACCCTTCATCAGCCGGGCTTATGACGTTGAAACACAGGGGACAGCTTTGTAATCTTTGATGTTCCTTAATTCTAGATAATTTTGACAAGTTGAAACACTTACTTTCGGACGATCACCGAAGTTAAGCAGCCTGGTCACTACGTAGCTGGGAGATCACTAGTGCTGTGATCTTGGATATTTCTTGTATCCCTAAATCATTATTAGCTCCAAAAAAGTCTTAAATCTAAAAATATTTTCTGGCTTTAAATAACCTGTAAAAGGTTGATAAACCATAAAAAAAATCCCTCCTTTCGTCAGTCAAAAATTTAAATTGATTTATAAGGACAATACCAACTTTAAACAGCCAACAATTCCAAATTCTTAGAAAAAGATAAAGAAAGCGTAGAGTTTTACGCAGCAAATGAAGGTTTTAATTCTACAAAAGCATTTTTATCTTAAGGATTGTCATACAGGATTTAAGTTATTTATTTATATATTGATCTTTGACTGTTGAATTTTTTACGGTTTATCAATCCCTGTGTCGGTTATTTCAGTCCTATTTATATCGTAGCTTGGGAAGACTTTCCCAAGGGCATTTGTATGTAAATGAATGTAAAGAACTCGGTCGAAATTCGAACTCGGCTCTCCGATTTCTCATGGCGAGCTACTATCCCATACCCCAACTGATAAACAGAAGGGAATCGAAAAAGTATACGTCATACATTCTTTGTCTATAATTCTAGCTTGTGTCGAGCGCATGGTTCAAATTTTTTTGATCTCAAATATAAATACAAAGATACCAATATTTCCACTATTTATTTTCGGACTATTTTCATCATCTTTGTTGTTCTTATCACAACGTTTCGACCGTTGTGCCCTCCGGCCTTCCTCAGGTGTATATTGATCTGGGTAATTTAAAGGGAATTCTGAAATGAAACCTTTATAGTGAACAAGTAATAACACCGGAGAGTAAGACGTCTGAAAGGATCAGCGCATATGCGAGGATCTCCTTAGCAGGCCTAGCATAGAAATAAATACAATATGGGAGTCGCTAAAGACGAATGGCTTGGTGGAGTAATGGATAGCGGCTTGAATTGAGGAATCGGAGAGCCGAGTTCGAATTCCAGTCGAATCCATTACATTCACTTACGTGCTAACACCCTTGGGAAAGGTGTGAATCCTCTTTCTTCTCCCTCCAGCTATGGGTAAATAGCAGGACAGACTGGGTTCTATAGTCTTGGATGGCAACTGGTCTAGGAGAAGGAAAACTCTGAATTCAAAACCTGCTCTGAGGGTGAATGGAGTCTCTCTGAGCCTTGGTTGGCAATCCATTTAGTGATGGTGTCACGATAAAGAGCACCCTTGATAGCCCTAGCGAAGCATCAAGAATTCAGCTATTGATAAGATTATGAACTACACCAATCAAAGTATTAGTGAGTTCAATCTGGGCTGAGGCCGCAAGAGGATGAAAGACGAATGACACCAAGTCTTTAACCATAGCAACCATCAAAACATGATAGTAGCAACAGTAGCAGCAGTTGCTTCACAATCAGCAGGTAAGTTAGTTTTAAAGCTCCATGTTTACTACAGCAAACTGTCCCACGGGACAATGGTGAATTTGGTAACAAAGTGATTGTGAGTTCAATCCCTGGGTAGAGCAGTCTTCTTGCACTGAGTGAAAATAGGGCGAGCAATAACTGAGCAGTACTAAATTAGAACTAGCCGAGATATTTTTAAATATAATCAACGGAATAAGAAAAAAAATATATTCCCGTCGATTAAATGAAGGATTCAGTACAAAATTCCCTGTAGGTTAACCAGAATGATATACCCCTGAGGAAGACAGGAGGGCCCAATTCCCGAAACGTCCTTGTGATAACAACAACATACAGAGGACACCAGTCCGAATATAAATAGTAGAAATGATGATAACTCTTCATCCATGAAATTCTGACATAAATTATCAACATTTTCCTTTTATCATGGAAATCAAAGAAGACTGGTTTATAGATTGAACTTTCATTTGCATTCAATCATTTTTCTAAAAATGTTCATATTTTCTTTTTGTTTTCTCATATTATGAAATATATTTTATTTTAAACTTACTTCATTTAATATAAGGCACAAACTACATGTACTTTAGAACAGTGGTCGCTATCCGGTGGTCCACGGACTACTGGTGATCCGTGCAAAATTTCTCATGATCCGCAGAAAAATTGGGACATAATTTAAATTTTTATTAAGCTTCAAATTAAAAAAATGACGAGTAACAAAACGTATTATGGATATATATATATATATATATATATATATATATATATATATATATATATATATATGTTTAAGACCTTATGTAATCTCGAAATGAACACGAGTCCACAAGTAAACAAATCTGACATCATCCAACCATAGTATAAACTAACATGACTTGCAAAGTCATGTTCAATACTTGTTACTGAATAGTTTATTACCACAACTGTTGATAACTAGTTACTGGATGGTTTACTAGTATAATTTTCGACAAACATGTCATAGCAACGGAGTAATGGTGGGATCTTCAAGAATCGGATTACGCACCAGATACAAATTCATAAGCATTTGTACTCGAAAACTATTTTTGCAAAATATTAAATAAAACAACTTTTTAGTGGACTTGAATAAACTTCAAATTTTCAATTTATTTTATTTAAATAAATACAACTTTGTTACCTTTAATGGGTGCATTTCATATTAATAAAATAAAAGTTTTCCGATTATTATATAAATGTATATACCTTTTTTTTTTTTCTAAATTCTTATTAGTGGTCTGCCAAATTTTAAATTATACGTTTATTGGTCCATGAAGTTAAAGTGATTGGTGACCGCTGCTTTAGAACACTTAGCCACGAGATGCCTCACAGTAAAGCAATACTCAGTTATCTTGTTTAAAATATGCCTCATTTCCCGATGAGATCTTCTGAAGCCAACATTTGCTAATTTTATTTTGGAACAGTGCTGAGAGGTACATTTTTTTTATTAAGACTTTCCAATGCCCAAGCCGCTAGGCGTCAATTAAACTTTAAGAAAAGAAAAGGGATATATACACAAACATCTACGCTACTCTACAATCCCTGTCGCAAACGTCGCAAGACTATTTCCACTCTTTTTTTTTTATTTCCGTGGCAAATGTCCTGACGAGCTAGATTTCTAATCCACTTGCTCTGATCTTCACAGCTGAGATACGACATGACACGTCCTCGGGGTCGAATCATCCACATTACCCTCGTATTCCATGAGTAAGAAAAAAAGTTCCATTCCTACAGAAGCGCTGTTTCATGAAACTGACTCCCGAGAGGATGCTTTCTCGATCTCCACAATCGGACCCTCTTTAAATCTATAGTTAACCGATATATTTCCCGCATTTCCTTCTAAACTGCATTTTTATCCCCTCTTATTTTCTTCAAAAATTCAATCATTACTCCTCTAGCTTGAGTGGCTCATGGACTTTGTATTGGGTGAACAATTAGTGAAAAAGCAAGGACACATGACCCAGTGAATAAAAAGCGTTGGTTGAAGTAATCTACCGATTTGACCCATGAGCTGTGAGTTCAGTAACAAAAACTTGGAGTGTTGAGTTACTAAGCGGAAATAACTGAAAGTGAGATATCCAGAAAATACATGTTAGATGTGACTAGAACTATCTACCCTGGTGACCGAAATAAAGGGTTCAGTTCCAAATGCCAACTTATATCAACTGTAGAAGTTCGAAGCGTACAACGGCCGAAACGTCGTGAATATGACAATAACGATAAGGACAGCAGTCTGAACTGTGTAAATAGTTACAATACTTCATTTCAGAAATAAAGATGAAAATAAAATAATAAAAATCAATATCAGATTAAAAATAAAAATCCCTTCCTTAAAAATTACTTTGTTTACATTTTGGATAAAAAATAAATTTAGCTGACATGTACTACGAAAGTCCCCAATGATATAATAATACTACTTATACGTATTTCATTTGCTGAATATTGGCTTCGTTATTGTGTAGTTTAAACTGATTTAATTTATTTCATTTTTGTTCATATTATATTTTTCAGTAGTTTTCTCCTTTAACCTGCGTTTCATTACTTTTGATTTGGTTTGGTTTGTTTTACGGCATACCAACCTCAATGAGTTATTTAATGAGGACAAGATCTTTATTGTTGGTAATATTTTTTTCCAAACATGTGTTGATGGTAATATTATCCTTTTTCAAAAATGTACTGCTGGTAATAATTTTTCCAAAAAAGTATTGCTGGTATTAAAACTTATTTTTGGTGGTTAACTATTTGCACATAGCTTAACAGTTGCATCCACCGCTGGTCAGGGTGGACCTGGGAACACCAGCAATTAAGAGGTAGTTCCATGCTCCTCAAAATCTCCTAATCAAAGGCCTTGCTGCCAGATGTAGTTTATCGTCACACCCAGGACGCGGATGTAGTTCATCGTCATATCTAGGACGGTTAACTTTAGGTCAAAAGCCCAAAACACTATTTTCTATTTTCTTTAACAATCTGCACTTATTTCTTTCCCTTTTTTTTTTATAATGTATATCTGATAATATTTGGAATGTAGAAAAGAAAACCGCGAAATTAATCGATGTTCTTTGATGTTACTTTTTGCAGATGACAGTGACGATGAAGATGAACCACGGAACATACCCACTAAATCTCCACCTGTCTCTTCTAATAAAAACATTCCAACAGTAGAAAGTAAACAAGTTCAATCGATCGAAACGATTCCAACACTTCCAAAGACTCCTGTCAAAGCAGCAAAACCAACTGAAACAATTTCAGCACCTACAAAGCCTTTAGTCGTACCAGAAAAACCGACAAAAGCAATTTCAACACCTTTAAAGCCTGCTGTCGTAGCGCAAAAACCAGATGAAGCAATTTCAGAACCTTCAAAGGCGTGCGTCGTTCTTTGAGAAGTACTAAGACCTATAAATAGAAAAGTATATTCTATAATATGCATGAATTATTTTGAAGATATTTTTAACAATATGAGAAACATTATCAAGATTATTTCTGTTGCTTCTTTCATGAGAAAATATGTGTCCATATTATCTGAAATATAAAAGGTGGTTATTTCCAAACATGTTAGGTTTATTATTTCCAATTATTATTGTGTTATCATCTCAACACATTTTTCTCAGCGATTATTTTCAATTATTAGTGATTGATGATCCCGAAGGATTATTGAAAGATTATCTTCAAGTTTTATGCCTTTATTTCGAATGATTATTGCGTGGTTATCATTAAGCAACATTGATTATGTCGAAGCATTTTTGCGTCTCTATACCGATGTCATGTACCTTTATTATCTTGAAACGTTACAGAATGATTATCTCAAAACATTATTGAGATTATCTCGAAGTATTATTCTTTTATTATCTCAAAAAGGATTATTTTAAAGTATTATTCTATTATTATCTTGAACCATTATTATCTGATTATCTGAAAGCATTATTGAAGGTTTATCTCAAACGATTATTTGGTGATTATATTAAATAATTATTCTGTTACTACACCGAAGATCTACTTTAGCATTATCTTGAAGCACTATGGAGTGATTTTCTTCAAGTTTTATTGAGCAACTTCCGTTATCTCCAAATATCATTGGGTGATTATCAAGTTACATTATTAAGTTTTGTTGTTGTTGTCGACATATTTTTGTTATCTTCCAGAATTACTAGGTGATTATCCTGATGTATTATTGTGTGAATATATCAATGTATTATTCCATTATTATCTCAAAAAATTATTAGATGATTACCTCGAATTATTAGTTGTTTGGTCGACTACTCGTTTTTAAACGTAGACTCTCTCTTAATAGGGATTTTACGGGTTATTTTTTCCGATGAATGAACTTTTGCAGCGTGATATAGAATTGACATTGTTAAACTCTAAGCAAAATAGGCTTAGCTGCTCTGAAGATTAATGTCTGAAATGATTTTCTTTAAAGTTTCCACCATTTTAATCAGAATGTGCGAATTCTTCGTCCCCAGAAAGGATTAGCGATTAGTATTGATGTATCTGTTGAACATTTCTAGACAATATTGTCAATCAAGATTTTTTTTTAGTATTATAGTAACTCAATTCTTATGCAGTTAACGATCATTCAGTTTAAATACTTGATGTATTTATCAGACCGGATATCATCAAACTTTTATTTTTTTATTTTATGTAAATCATTGTCTGATAATGGCCTCTGCTTTTGCAACATAGCGAATCAAAGTAATGGCTGAATAATTACTCTAGAAATTTTAAACTGATGTTAAGAAAAGGTTTTATAAAAATGCTGTAAACTTTTATATTAAATAAAATATATATTCTTCTTATTCTTCTTCTTATTTTCACTCCTTCTCTCTATCTCTCTTTCACTCTCTCACTCTCTCTCTCTCTATATATATATACATATATAAAATTATATATATATATATACATACATACATATATATATATATATATATATATATATATATATATATATATATATATATGTATGTATGTATATATATATATTCATGTTTCATTAAAAACGACAGACAAGGTACTACCATTAAGCTTTTTATTTAATTTTTCTTGTGTTCGAAAAAGCGTTTTCTTTTTTGGGCACGGAGTGTGTAGAAACTGTACAAATATTCAATAATTCCTAATGCTTTCTGTTATACTTTTAGCCATTATCAAGGATGATTCTATTTTTTCAATTTAATTGCCTGTGTGGGTTGTGTGTATGCTTTTAGTGTTAAAGAGTTGTTTTATTTTGCTAACACAGTCAGCACATTGTAACCGTGTTCGTAGTTAATATTATTAAGTGTTGGCTTTTTCTTTTTTTTATTTATTAAGGCTTCCATCATTTTTAATCTTTTTTATACATGGATGAGGTTAATATATTTGTATTTTCTACTAGCATGATTCGGATGGATTCTGGTAAATTTGTGTGTGTGTTTAAATTGATTTTAATAGAGCTGTGGCCGGATAGGTGTAACGTTAGGCGTCTGGATAGGCATGTAGTCGTGTGACCGAAATAATTATGAATTCGGTTTGATCAGGAACACAATTCTTTAAAGGGTATTTGAACTCATAGATAATGTTCATTCGTTGTTATGTATTGTGGTGTGTTGTTATTTTTGAGAATAATGTTAGCTGTCTTGATTTTTTTGTAGTAGATAATTTATTTGATATTTTATTCGGGTCAATTAAGGTAGTGTATTTCTTTATAATATTTCTAAGTGAAGATTCATCTTGTTTGTAGTTAATGTGCATTTGGTTTCTGTAGAAAATATTTGTTATTTTTGACGATGTGTTCACTATCGTTGTTATTTACTTTGGTGAGGAATAGTCTAATTTAGTGGTCCATAAGGTGGTTAGGGAAGCCATTGTTAAATGCGATTAAGCTTTTATTAAATAAAAAGCTTAATCGCAGTATCTTGTCAGTCGTTTTAACGAAACATGTATAAAAGCGGTATTGCTGCTCAACTACACATATTATATATATATATATATATATATATATATATATATATATATATATATCCAAATGAGGGAACAGCTGGAGTATGCACACACACACACACACACACACACACACACATACTTATCACTTTTAATTTTTTATGCAATTTATGCTGATATTTATTTTTTAGAGAACTAATAAAAGAAAACGGAAATGTTTGCGCTGTGAATATTTACATTATTCGGACTATTGTCCTTACCTTTGTTGCCATATTTATTACAAGGTTTCGGCCGTTGTACGCTGCGGACATCTTCAGGTGGTTGGAATGTCGAACTGAACCGTTTATTTAGCTCACTGGGGTAGACTGTTCTAGTTCCACGTGCCATGTTTTAATGGATGTCAATTATCAGTTATCACCTGTTAATTCGCCTCTCCAAGTTCTTCACTGCCTTGAACTGGTATTGAACTCACACTCTTTGGGTCCTGTCACTGGCTCTAACTAACGCCTTTATCCACTGTGTCATGTGTCCTTGAAGTTCAGGGGGTACTCAAGGGAGAGTGTTATGTTAAGGGGTAGATTATATGGATAGAAGTGGAAGATAACGGTTGACTGTAGACTTGAACAGGTTAAGATTATAGTGATCGGGGAAACATTCTCTTGGGAGTTGGTCCCACAGGGCAGTGGTTCGCCGGAAGAAGCTGAGTGGAACACGTACTTCTCGCCGATGGAATATGTGGGGTGTATGTCGATGGTTTGCTACTATATAAGTGGCATGGCGGATCCTAGCCATGACGACTAGACATCGCGGAAAAATGAATATAGTTTGTCTGAGCACTTTCCATGGTAGTAGCGATAGAGTAGTGAGAGACTTACTACATTCCGCCTGTGAGAGAGAGAGGTTGGAGGGTAGAAAACAATTCTTCAACAACAAGAACCTGAAGACACTTTTGAACTCTACAAAGACTGGAAAATGGATACTGGGTTAATCCAGACTGTTGACCATGTTCCTCATTGTCTATGTATATAGAATACAGCGCAGTACGTAATCTGTTCATTGATGCAACGTTAAAGATTAATACTCCCGAGTCAGACACTCTACTGAATCTGACTATATCGCCAATACAACCAGCAGCAGCTGTTCCAGAATTCTTCAGTGTTCGAAAATAAAGGCTGGCCGTGAGTATTCGAGAAAAAACATGACTGCCTTTATACACGTCGCATTGAATATTTTGAGTTTTCTGATTGGTTAACCCTTCTATTGGTGAACTATAAAATGAGTCGGCTCATTTTGGCTGGCTTACTAGTACCCAAAAATTCCAACACAGACCAAATATGGCAACATTCCTCCATTTTGGGACTGATCTGGCTTTTATAAAGGTAAACGATAATATATGAGGAGTCAGTAAGTTACTGGAACGGTGGACTCAGCCGATCATTTTACCGGCATTCTTATCGATGGATTGTATATAAGAGTTCCACTTGAAATCAAATATGCATTAGTTTTCTCTGTAAAATGTAACAGTATGTTGTCCTCAATGAAAGTAATCTTTCTGAAAATGTTTGACTTCTTGAACGAAAGTTACAGAAAAGCCTTCAAAAATTAATGTATATGTCGTACTATTTTTGACTTTCCATGGATAGCCACTTCACTATCTATAACCGCACCCCCCCTATACCCTCTACATCTTGCTGAGAATTCAATCTGTGACGATGGTTTCCCATGCCTTGGGCGACGATTAGGAATTCAACCCAGGCATCATGTGGCACTCGTACATACGATCTATCGCTAAAGACACTAGTAAATTAGTCGATTCCCTGTATGGTCCAGGTATGTACCAAACTCTTACTCTCATCTACCTTTACAAGAGCCAGATCATTCCGAAAATAGAGCATTGCTGCGCTGCCATATATGAACAGCAGCTGTCCAGTCTCGATAGAGTCTAATCATCCTCAAGTCTCCATATCCTTGTGGGTGATGAATTATTTCCCACCCTACAAATCCTTTCCTTACAAATGAAACATTGCAATTATCTCGCTATTTTCTTAGAAGGTGTCCAGGCGAACTCCATTCCTTAGTTCCACGAGAGTTCTAACATTCAAGACCAAGAACCGCCATAGGACACATATTTTAGCGAACCATTCTTATCATTTCATATTCAAATGGGGCGATGTAAGTTCCACTTCTGAAGCTTCTTCCCAGGAACTGATGCTTTGTGAAAGGTGTGAAGAGGATTCATACCTTTTCCAAAGCACGACTTGAATTCGAACTCGGCTCTCCGATTCTTCAATCCGAGTCGCTATTCATTACTCCACCGTACTTTACTTAATCTAGGTCTCGAGTAATGTCCAGAATAAAGGATTATACGATACAGTAAATTAAATACTACTACTACTAATAATAATAATAATTATAATAATAATAATAATGATAATAATAATAATAATAATAATTTTCAACTTGTCAAAATTTAATTCATTAGAAGTTGTGTGAGATGTGGGGTTTCAGTAAGAAAAGGAATAATACAGATGTAATAGTCTGATTGACAGATTAGTTTTCTACGCCTTATCAACATTTGCAGGTTATTTAAAACCAGAAAATAGTTCTATGATTTTTATTTGATATAATAATGGTTTAGTGATACAAATCTTACTAATTAACCCATAGCTGGAGAGATAAAAGGTGGATTCATCCATTTCCCAAGAGTATTTGCGCGTAAATGAATATGACGAACGCAACTAGAACTGGATCGCGCCTTTCCGATTAACCAATCCGGAACCAATTTTCCATTACACTACACCACCCGTACATCCAAACTTACAACAGCCGTTATTCTCAATCGGTCACCCATCTTAATAGCGATCAGGATCAACGTTGCTTACCCAGGTGTAACAGGGCAGTGGCTTTGGTTTAGTCATTCAAGTGCATGGAAAGAGATTAGTGACTTGGGATACTGAGTGACTTGATAATTTTCAGCGAAAAGTAGAGATTAATTTAAAGGAGAAAATCTGGGGGGAGGTAATTTGATTGAAATCTTATGAAAAAAAGTTCAGCTTAAAAATATTAAATTTAACCCATATAATACATCTAAGGAGGACCTGGGAAGAGTTTGAACTCAAATTAAACTAAGATTTAGTAAGATTCGGCATAACTGAGCCCCACCCAGGCCTGACTCCATTATCCCAATGAAGAGATGACAAATTAATTTGCTAAAATTCTACACTATTTTCAGTAATTTCTGTATTTGATTTTTAGCAACCTATCTGACGTATTTATGTTGATTTCATTGTAAACATTGGGAATTTAAAAATCCACGCCCAAATTGAAAACTCTTCATAGACGTCCATCTGGGTTATATAAGTGGATGTTCTATGTTTGAGAAGCTAATTAATCATTTCTATTCCCGGAAGGAAGTATATATAAACGGAGTACACATGCGCAGTAATTAGTAGAATTTTGAGTAGAGTCCGTGATAATTACTCAAAGAAGTCGAATTTTCATAGAGGAAACCGACAGTCCCGCCTTTCATCCTGCTTTAGAGAAAATCTGCTGTAGAAGTTATTCATTGCTAAGACGTTAGCACCACTATAATTACTTGACAAAAAGACGTCTCTCGGTTCCCCAAGAGTAGAAAAGTAGAGACATTGAGACGAAGCAGCGACATAGCTGTTATACGATTTTTACATTTCACTTAAATCATTAATAATTTTTCAACAGCGTTTCTTCTGTTGGAACGTTTACAACTTTTTCAGCAAGATCACCCAACGCTGAAGAAACGGTACGATGGAAATTTCACCCAGATCAACAAAACCAACGCCTCTAATTTTCTCACAGGTACAGAATTCATTAGAAGAGACATTCCGGTGAATGAAATGAAAGAGGGAAATTTCTTTCACCAAACTTAGGCCAATTTCATCGAAGTGTAGAATACCCCACCTAACCTCATATGATATTCATAACCTAGACAGGTGTGTTGCATTTGGTAACCAGCACAAGTATGTATTATATCTTATCGTTACAGCCAGGGTTGGGGGTTATGCAACCATAACCTTGAGAAAGTCATTGAGACAAAAACATATAAGATGTTGTGGGATATTTCAATACATACATATCATTTATTATCTTCTTTTACTCAGGCCGATCTTAGGACGTGACTTGACGATCAGAGGAGTTCTATCATATATTTTCTCTCTTCATTGATTGAAAACGACTGAAACGATCGAATGTTTATCCAGAATTTTGATTCCAATACACAACACCTTACCGCAATAGAATTCTGGCTATCACAAGCTAAATTCTGGGGCATCTCAATTCGAAGCACAGTCTTAATTTTACTCACCAAAGCTTGGACTTGGTCACAGTTCCAAAGGTGCCCACAACAACTTATAGTCTCTTAAGCTTTTATTATTATTGTTATCTATATACAAGGGTGTTGATGTAGGAATTATGCCTGCAAAACAGACGCCATATTGGTTCCTGAAAATGACTAAGAAAATACTGAAATAAAAATAATAAACGCTTTTTGTTCAATTGATTGTTTTATTAACATATATAATGAAAGCTTGTTTGAACGTAACATTAATAGTTGCAACAATGTTTCGTTGTATGGAAGAAAAGCGTAGAAAAATAGATTAACAAGCAGTAATTATAAACTGAATACGAATAAAGTGTACAAATAAATCAGAACAGTTGAGTTTTATTATGAAATTAAAGTTTTGCTGATTGACTTTTATTTGTAATGGAGTTTTTGTATGCTCTTCAAACAGTAAATTTTGTGAACAAAAGTCCTTTTTGTGTAGAAAACAATTATTTATTGAATTTGATTTCATCTTCTTGGCCAGAGAATTCTTTGTTTCATGCGGATAGAATGGAATAGATCGGAACAGCAAAATGATCAACACAATCTGCTGAATTAATTTAAGTGTGAACGTCATATATATATATATATATATATATATATATATATATATATATATATATATATGGTGGAATGTATAATAGTATCGAAACAAATGTGGAAATGACGAGACAAGGTGGAAAAGATAAACGACGCGTTTCGTCCAATGTCTGTTGGTTTGGGCTTCTTCCGGTCTGAACTGAAGAAGCTCAAACCAGCTGACGTTCGACGAAACGCGTCGTTTTTAGCTTTTTCACTTTGTATCATCATCTCCATATGTGTGTATGTGTATTCGTGTGTTTCTCTGTGTGTGTGATGTATTTTTACTTCTTATATATAAAAGTTAAAAGCTAAACCATATTCAATAGGAGAAAGAAATCGTTATATAAATGTGAAATGGGTTAGAATTGTTATTTCAAAATACAATCTGCCGTTTCTACCCAATCACAAACCGACAGATTAGGATTGAAGTGAAGATTGGCAGGACATAATTTATGGAACGCTTTACCATAATCACATTGATAGAATTTTGTGCAATCTTTAGGATCAGGGTACAGTCCCCCTGGGTGTTCCTTGTTCGGACAAACAAAGTCTGGAAACAAAAGATAAAAGATTAGGTCACAATATTAATTACATTATTCCAGATTAACACAAGTAATAATTTTAATTTTGCGGGTAGCAATATTCTATTCTTTAAATTTAAAATTTAAAAATGAAAAATTAGTATAATGTCCGCTGAAAATGATTAAAATAAAATAGAAATAAAAGATTTGTTGCCATTGTGGATGGAATATTTAAAGTATTTCTGCCCTCTCCTTTCATTATCTATCTATCTATATATCTATCTATCTATCTATATATATATATATATATATATATATATATATATATATATATATATATATTTTTATTCATATCTATCTCAGTTTATTCACATCTAAGTTTATTCATATCTATCTATCAATCTATCAACCGAGAAATGATTTCATTCTGTTCTTTTCATTCTTTCTTTTTTCTATCTATCTATCTATCTATCTATCTCAGTCTATTCATATCTATCTATTTATCTATCTATCTATCTCTCTATCTATCTTAGTCTATTCATATCTATCTATCTATCTATCTATCTATCTATCTATCTATCTATCTATCTATCTTAGTCTATTCATATCTATCTATCTATCTATCTATCTATCTATCTATCTATCTATCTATCTATCTATCTATCTATCTTAGTCTATTCATATCTATCTATCTATCTATCTCTCTATCTATCTTAGTCTATTCATATCTATCTATCTATCTATCTATCTATCTATCTATCTATCTATCTATCTATCTATCTAATCTACTCTATACACGTGCCGATGGACAGCGGCTCGAATTGAGGAATTGGAGAGGTGAGTTCGAATTTCAGTCGAATCCACTGCAGCCACTCCCGTGCTAATACCCTTGGGAAAGGTATGTATCCTCCTCTCCCCCCCCCAGCTATGGGTAAACATATAAATAGTCGAGGAAAAACACCGCACATGGTCTTAGGGTGTTATTTAGTTACGATAAAATACCTTAATGATATGTTTATATTTGTTTCCGCTAGTTAAGGGACATAAGACAAACATTAGTAGATACCACCAAAATACTCTACAACACCCAAAGCAAGGAAGCTCTCAAAACACTAAAAGCTATTATTAAAAAAAGATAAACAGCCCACATATCATTCACCACAGGAGATGGCATCATGAAGTGCATATGATAGAATTAATATTCGCAAATATTTTATTATTATTATTATTATTTTTATTTTCTTTGATTTCTGGCGTTTACACATTTCTTTCCGGGTCCCGCCCAGGGACCTAAGGTTAGAAATGGCGTCATGACACTTTCCACTGACAAAAAAAAAAAAAAAAAAAAAGAAAAAAAGTATTATTATTATTATTATTATTATCTAAAACAAAAATAATAAAATAAAATAAATAAATCGCAATCTTTTAGAAAGGATTCGTTGCCAATCGTCGTTACCCATAACATCATACAAGATCTTTTCACATTGAAAAATATGGAAATACAGTTTAAAAATACTACTGGAAGACTGGAAATTTTGCCAAAAACATCGATGTCGAGATAAAATTGATATTTAAAAGTTAAGTCTTTTCTTATAATATATATATATATATATATATATATATATATATATATATATATATATATATATATATATATATGTAAAGACTGAAAGAACAGTAAGATATATAATCCGGTGTTCTTTTAGATATTTTTATTTTACAAAATAGTGCTCAATGTAAATTACAGAGCATTAAAAAAATCCAGACGACATGCATTTAACGGATGATAGATTTCATTGAAAATACATCCCTACCCCTACCAAAACGTAACTAATAACTGATACATCAAAATACAGACATGATGAACACGGAGACACCCCTTGTCTAGTGGAATTGGATTTATCTGTAACCTTGGAAACGTGATTTATGATTTTAGCTGTGTCTTTAAAACCCAGTAATTTTAGAAGTTACTCCAAAATTCGCTTGAGGATGAAATGGAACTAATGTCTTTAATTTAATTACAAAATTAAATTCGGAGCTTTCAGCTTCCATTTTGAAACATGGTTAGAACTGTGTAGCGTAAAACAACCATATTCTAAATCAATTAATTTATAATATATATATATATATATATATATATATATATATATATATATATATATATATATATATATATATTCTTATTAATATAAACATTATATTTAGTGAAGACAATTGTTTGATTATACATTATTGTTATTTTTGTTTTTTTCTTAAGAATGAAATTAACGTTTACCGGCCTAGAGATTTATAAATACGACTAAGGAAAATTTATCTCTCGACAAGAATCAAAACTATATTTCCTTTTTTAATCAGTGAAAAGGCGGCCACCATGTAAGAGTAACAAAATTTTGATTTTTTGTCTTTGTCCAGTAATTGTTTTTAATTTCTTCTGTTTATAAAACAAAGGAAATGACAATTAATTTCTTTAAAGTTTGCTTTTGCTGACTTGCTTTGAAACTAACCTATTTTCAGTTACATTCAAGATTGATTCAATGCTGAATTACTAAAGGATTATTTTCTAGAACTTTCAGTTTTTGAGAATTGCGAAAAATTTCAAGAACTTCTTTAACATTGAAGAGACGTCTTTTTGTCAAGGATCGTATAAGGAAAACATGATAGGAGTACATAGGTTCACCAATCGTCACACTTCTCCTTGGTCTTTTGAACAGGAGTAGAGGTTTATCCCTTGTTACCTCTTTAGGATTCGGTTTTCGGTTCCTTGTAAAGTCTGCTTCAGTTCTATACTCTTAACGCTTGTTCTTTCCTACGTTAATTCCACGCACTAACCCTCTACCTTGAGTGCTTCTTGCACCTTTTATTGTAGTAAATAAATAAATAAAATGCTACGAGAATATACTTAGGGGCTGATTCGTGAAAGTAATTTCCAGTAAATCGCGAAAAACTACTCATTTCTATATTTTTAAGTTGTCTCCCTTGTGTAATCCTAAAATACATAAATGCTACTTTTGTTTCCTACCATTTTGTTCCTACTTTGAGCGAACGAGAATGTTCCCATTCGCCAGTTTTCCACATTGATAATAGGTAACTTTCAGAAATAACATTATCTTGGTCACAAAAATAAAGTTTGAAGAAAATATTAGTCATTCTCATAGTTTCTAGGCGTTAGGAAATAGAAAATAATAATTGATACCTAATAACAAAAAATATTTTATACGGTGTAATTGAATCAGAGTAATCCATCATATCAAAACGAGGCTTCGTTACCAGATTTACGAAATGTACATTTCCAGTCGGAGATTAAATAGGGTGACTGGACTTTACTTTCACTCTTCCCATAACTGAATTGGTTAGATACACTTGGCTTAAATGTGGTTCCCTTTATTTGAAAAGGGAAAAAATGTCCGATTTCCTTTAGAAAATATATATATATATATATATGTATGTGTGTGTGTGTGTTTGTTTGTTTTTGTGTGTGTGTGTTATTTTGATCTTAAACTTACAACTGCTTCACGATTGTGCTTATAAAGACTTAATTGAAGTCATTCCCAGTCGAATGAAATGATTCTTATGTCCGTTTTTTTTACGTTTTGCTTCACCTTCCATACGTGTCTAGTCATTGCTAAACTCAGACACAATTTGAAACTGATTAGAAATTATCAATAGGAATTAGAATCGATACTTACCGCCGCCGCCACCGCCTGTTTTAGCTGAAAAAATAAGGATGACGTCAAAATTAATATCACAAAATTATTTTCATAAATTCGTTGCATAAATTCTTTTTCGGATTAGAATATACATTAATGCATATATAATGAATACACTTAGATATGACCAGATTGAAAAAAGATAGATATGAATAGACTGTGATAGATAGATAGATAGATAGATAGATAGATAGATAGATAGATAGATATGAATAGACTGCGATAGATATTTCTTAATATTGAGTACAAACACAACATGCCTTAAAACCTTACCCTGCACAAATGCACTTTTCTTTTCGCAATACAGTCTTTATTATTATTATTATTATTATTATTACAGTTATATATTTATATAGATATAGTTATGGGATTGACGTTTTCCTTAAAAGTTCGTGAGCGCCATTGATTAAAATTAGTCATGATTCACTTTTATATAACATTGACAAAAGAATAGGTATGTAAAAATAGAAGCACGTACTAGTTTCTGATTTCATAATAATAAAAAAATGTATTGTAAAAAAGGGAGAATAGGTTCCCGCCAAAAAATCGAATCCAATTTCTATTTCCAGCCTCGAGAGTTCAGAAACGTTTAGGCAACGTTGGTGGTAATGGTTATTTCTCACCCTACAATACTTTATTTTAAAAAATGAAACGTCGCAAGCATATAGATATATCCAAGTGAAATATTTTTATGAATTACATTTCCTTCGTTTCACTTATGTGATTAGGCACCTTGAGGTGGTGTAATGGTCAGAAAGCTATCAGATCTCCCAATAATTTCCTAAACTTTGGTCGTTCTAAGGAATAATTGTCATATTACTGTCGCGTCTTTGCCCATGTTTGCCATTCATTTAGACAAATGGGATAAATAGCTTCAGCATGCCTTGTGAGGTTTAAATTCTCCAACCCCTTTTCTCATTATGTGTTCCATAAATTTCAACTCTTTATTATTTTAGATATATGTTCTCTTTTTATTTTTATTTTTTTATCATTTCACAACAATCAAGGCAATAAAGCCACTAAGATGCAATGCTTTACTGGGTGTTAGTGAATATGAGAAAATACTATTAATGAAGGAGAACAATAAAAGAACAGAAATTAAGAAGACAGAAGATAACGATAGACATTGCGTTCACATTTTTGAAAATCAAAGCGGATAAGAAGGAAAAAGACGAAAGAGGGTTCCACAAGAGAAAAGTAAGAGAGAAGAAACTGTTAGCATAAAACTTACGGTTACATCTAGCCATTTCAATTGTAAAATGGTGACACCTTGCCGCCAAACTAGTACTGCGCTTAAATTCATAAAATCCAGGTACCATAGAAGAAAGTTCATCAGAAAAATTACCATGAAAATATTTATAAAAAAGGCGCAAAAATAGGAAATTTACGGCGATGGCAAAATGACGAGATGCTAGGTTATGACGAATAATATTGCAGATTTTTCTTTTGATTTTATCAAGATCTTTAAATACATTGCAGAAGCACCAGACCAGATGTGACAGCAATATTCAATGTCTAAAATAGCTTCTGGCGAGAAAAAGAATTTCTAGCACAACACAGAGAACCAAATTTACAATCAGCTGACCTAATGATTCTATATAATCTTTCTATTTCATGTCAGTGGAAAACGTTAGACCAAAATGGCGTCATGAGTCACTCACCTGGATGTTAACTGATACTGAATTTTTCTTTGCATTGTATTCGGAAGAATTTTGCGTCAGAGAGATTAACAATTAGCCAAATGGGATTATGTTATCGATTATTTTAGCTTTGATTAAATAAATGAATTAAGAAAAAAAGAAGCATTTATTTTGTTTCCATTTGCAACAGAAGTTCATTTACCGATTTTCCACAATTTCAAATTATAACAAACTAATTCAAATTAAGGTAGGCACGGTGGATAGCAGCTCGGAGAGCCGAGTTCGAATTCCAGTCGAATCGATTACATTCACTTACGTGCTAATACCTTACGAATCCTCTTCTTCCGCCACCAGTTATAGGTAAATAGCAGGACAGACTGCGTTGTCTTGAATAGCAACTGGTCTAGCGCAGAAAGAAACCTACTACGGGAAAAAAA